CCGAAAGAGCTCCGCCCAACGTACCAATGGCTGTTTTCATCTTGGCCTCCTCCAAGAGGACCAGAAGCACTGAAAAACCCTGAGCCCCGTATAAACGCTCTGCAAACCCCTAAACCTGTTTAGGGTTTAGGGTTTAGGGTTTAGGGTTTAGGGTTTAGGGTTTAGGGTTTAGGGTTTAGGGTTTAGGGTTTAGGGTTTAGGGTTTAGGGTTTAGGGTTTAGGGTTTAGGGTTTAGGGTTTAGGGTTTCACCCTAACGTCCAAAGGTTAAGGGCCTTAAGGGTTTAGGGTTAAGGGTTTAGGGCTGACGGTTGGAAGGTTTGTAGATACAAGTAGGGTTTTCGGGCTGCCGAAGGCCGAAGGTTATGGATGTTGGCTACTTCTATCTGCTTTTGAGACCAAGTGTTGCGCATACTCTTCGTACATTTCGGGGGCTAGAAGTCTACGCACTCTTTTGGCTTTGGGGTGCTTATAGTTATAAAGTTTGCTCTCTTGTGCCACATCATGCCAGAACTGGGGCAACACCCCCTAACATGCTGTGACCCCCTGACCCAAAGTAGAACCCTGAACCCCAAAAAGCCATACCCACTTCTATCATCCCGTGGTGTCCTTGGCCCGATACTCCAGAAGCTCATCGAGGTCAGCTGCCTGGTACCACTCTGTCAAGACGATGGCCGTAAAGATGCACATCGTGAAGGCGTCATTGAAGATCTCCTCCAAAGATCTGCGCGGAAAATGTATTCCCAGGATGTTTGCTAGAAGGGTCACAGGCTCTATAAACACCACATCCTACAAACCTTAAGCCCTACACTCTGCCGTAATAATGCACGCAGCTCCTTGGCCTCGGCATTGCGCTGAGCAAGGGGCGAGGAAGGCGTGATCGCGTTGTATGGCGAGTTATCGTCGTCGAGGAGCGTCAGCGCGACCAAGGCGAAAAAATAAATCCTGCTGCTAAACACAGACTTGGACCCCGAAACTCTGTAAGCCCTTGCTTCAACGACACCTAGTCCCAGAACTTGAAACGCCAGAGCCGTCAAGCGGGTCAAAACTTAAACCTGCTCCTTTGTCAAAAGTCTTGTTGGTCCGGTTTGGAAGCAATCTGAGGGATCCTAAACCCCGCACCCTTAAGTCCCTAAAATGACTACGCAGAAGTCGGGCGGCCGTTGCAGGGCAATTGCCTGGGAGTAGCCGAAAAGTTTTGTGGCCCAGTACTTGTGCCGGACGATGTCCTGCAGGGCTAAGGGGTGGATGATGCCTTAACATACGGGATTTGGAGCTCGACACGTTGATCCGACCGCTCCACCGACTTGACATTCGGCGCAGCTACCCACTTGCATGGTAGCAGAGCCTTTGCTGCAAGCGAAGGCTCAGAAGTCACCTGCTACGTGCCGGAGAAGGATGGCTGCAACAGGTCCAGCCAGGACCAAGGAAGGGGTACCTGTGTGGGACGTGGACCCCGCAACGTTCACGCAGTTTGCTGAGTTGGCTCGCGACGGCTGCAACAATGACTTCTTCACGTATGAACAGACCACCGCGGTGCACAAACGGGCATAGATACGACCCCGTATTGCCTCAGAACTGCCCGGAGCAGCGAGACGCTTTGTGGGGGACAGCCAGCTGACTGGCTTTCCTACAATGGAGGCGTGGGGCGGCTCATCGAGCACTTCAGGGAAGGTCTGGAGCAGCCAAAGATCACCGGAGTACATCGGGAAGTACTTCAAGCACAGCAAAAGACGGCCTGAGGAGTCCATCAACGAGTATGTGGCCCGGAAGAGCGAGGTGTACCCCAAGCGCAACAAGCCATGGCACGAGTTCTTCCACATTGTGGTCAGAAGGACAAAGAAAGGGGGAGCGGCTCACCACGATGGAGCGATTGGAGTTCCCGAGAACCATCGGCATCGATGATCAGCTGGAGTCGCAGGACCTGTGTGGAATCGCAGACGGAGGACACGAGGGTACAAACACCGAGCCACAAGGAGAGTTCCGAGAAGGACGAGACGATGGACAAGGGCAGGCTTGGGGGGAACGTGACGACATGGTGGAGCACAGCCCCATGGAACCAACACCTCGTGGAGCTGCTCGAGTTGGTGGACCAGCCAACCCTGGAGCCAATCAGTAAGGCAGGGAAGCCACTACGGGTCGACAAGCACAAGTTCCAAGACAAGGCCACTGCCCGAGTTGGCGCCAGAACTCGTTCAAGGGTGCAGGACTAGATCCCACAGAACTGGTGCGACACACTGTCGCAAAGGACTACACCGTTCAGGGTGTGGCTCATGCCTTGCGGACAAACTTTTCAGACAGTGATCTGACAAAACGAGATCAAAGGACGGTGACACATGGGTTTTGGGGCGAAGACGACGGCGCCGAAGTGGAAGACGACGATCCCGAGGCGACCTTGGCAGAGGATGAGCTCAACGCGGAGGGCTTCGCTGTGTGGCAAGAGGCAAAGACCAGTGCGGAAGAGGCACTGGCAGTGATACAACACGCGCGAAGGACATTGCGAGAGGCAAGAGCAAAACAACATGACACGCCGCTGTCGCGCCAATACTTCCTGCATGGAGTGGCAAAGGAAAAAGCCAGGCCGCCGGATCCGGAGGCGCACACAAGGCTCGGGACGATAGCAAGGTGGTGCCCCTGAAGTGTGGCAAGGTCGGGCATTGAGCTGCAGTTTGTCCGGAGAAGCAGCACACGTGGACATCGTTCATCTGCTACGCCGAGGCCCAGGACGCGAGCATCTCCGATGTCGAGAAGGCCATGGTCCATGCAGATGGCGCGCGCCACTCGAAGCATCGGATCCGTGAAGGCGGAAGGTGATGTCATAGAACCACCACAAGCATGGCGAGTCGCGAGCGCTTCAAGTGGAGAAGGAGGCCAAACTCACGGTCTCTTTCGGCAACTCTTCATCGAATCCATGCCTCTCGACCGTGAAGGTGAAGTTGCTGGCGGAATGAAAAAGCTAGGGATCCATGCGGATGCACTCACTGCACCATGGTCAAGGTCCAGTCCTGATGTCCATGCAATCGACTACTCCCAAGACCTTATGTGCCTGCGGAATGTGAACCCCAACAAGCTGATCCGCCTGGAGCGTTCGGCGACCGGACATCAACTTCTCCCGCTGACTGAGGATTTGTTTCACAAGTCAGAAGACACTGTTAATGCAATCCCAAGCTTGCGCTCTGTGGGCACTGCGGACTCCGCCGAGGGACAACACCTCTTCAACTTGCGTCCTGACAGGAAAGAAGAGGACCCAACTAGCTTTTCAGGACAGGGGGATAAGCGCAAGGATGTGAAAGCATCCGTTGCCAGTGTAGCGTAGCGCAGCAGTATCTGGAGAGAATGCTCAGAAGTTGTGGGATGGGTAGTTTGCGTAATGATTCCACTTCCGCGAGTCAGCCACAACAGACTGCAGCAGACATGACGCAGCACGGTATGAAGAACCCGCATGATGCACAGCAGCCACGAGGTGCCCAGATAGTTCGAGCACAGTTCTCACAACCTACACGAGGACAACTTCGCAAGCTGATCGAGGATCAGGCCGAGACAGCGCCCACCCGATGATCAGTGGACAAAGGCAGAGTTGATGATGCGTGTGGAGGAGTTGACCAAGGCCAACCCTGCCAAGACACCGAGAAAGAGAAGTCCGAGCACCAAGATGGGCCCGCAAAGAAAGGCGACTTGCAGAAGTTCTGTGCCGAGAGGCTCCAGATGGCAGTGAATCCCAATGCCAGCATCGCCCAGCTTCAGCGCGAGGCGATGAGGCAGAGGACTTCTTACACAACGTACGCTATCAGTGGAGTGAGATGACGTATGGGACCCCCGATGTTCGAGCCCCCGATGAATTTGTCCAAAATTACGATAAGTTGCAGACCGAGGTTCTCACAGTGAAGGGAGCTGAGAAACGGGCAAACCTGGAGCTGCTAAGTCTGAAGGAAGGACTCACTATAAGGTGGGTGCACTCTGAGGCACAGCTCGTCAGCAGCTTGACGAGGTATGGGGGTGGCCATGAGATGGAGTCGTTCTACCGGAGGAACAGTGCGTGGCGAATAGTGGAGGATCCATGAACAGCGCGTGGCGAATAGTGGAGGACCCGAATGTGGCATCAGCAAGGAAGCGGAAGGCTCAAGGTCTTCGACCCCTACAGCAAGGTCGTGATGATCCCGACGTACCAGAACCAGCAGGGCCAGCAGAGGATTTGGAATCCAACATTTTTCTTGTAGAATTTCAGGGCATTCTCTCCTAAGACATTCGTGGGGGGGGGGGGGGGGGGGGGGGGGGTGGGGGGGCCGGGGGTGCGGGGGCATGCAATCTTACAACTTGTTCATTCCCACACACGGATGTGTACATGAGTTCGGAGCTCAAGGTAGCGTAGCGAGTCTTAGAAAACGAAGTGCGCCCTTCGGTAGCGCCCATACCTCTGCCGACACGTTGGCCCGACTTGACATTCGGTGCAGGTACCCACTCGCAGGGTTTTAGGGTTTGGCCGCGTTTAGGGTTTTAGGGCTTTCGGATTAAAGGTTGAAGGCTTGGGGACTTTTGCGCATGAAGCATGCGGTTAAAGCTACAACTTCTTTTTTGCAAACTGTGGAAAAAGTGCCCAGGAACAAGATTTCCAGCGATCCTGTTGGTTATTAACCGTTTTCTTGGACACCTACAAGGGGACATCCAACCTCTCATTTAGAACGAGAATCAAAAGCGAGCCTGAGTCTTAGGAGTGCAAGGATTTGGGCTTTGAATGTAGCTACGTTTCGCGCCGTCTTCCTCACATAGTAGATGGTCTGCGCGAGGACATAGGCCATGGCCAGGGCATAAGCAGTGCCTCATGTGGCTTCAAGGCAATGGCAGACTGATGATTTCATTTCGAGCACCGAAACAAGATGACCGAATCTCCACACCTTGGCCCCAAACCATTTGCTGAACAGTTGTTACAAAAAATGCTCAGCGGTGACCCTAAATCTTACACCCCCAAAACCATATATAGTCTTGGATTGCAAAGACTTTCCACCCGAACCCGGGGTCGAAAGGCTACAAGACGGGGCTTGCGGCTCAGGGCAAAACACCCCAATTTTCGGGCAGCCGCCTTGGGGGGGGGGGCACAAAATGTAATTAAGTGAAGTTGAAGAAGGGAGTTGCATAAAATAGAAGAATTCAACGACTTGTATGCAGACCTCAAAGACGCAAACACAACCTAGCTGGCTTCCCAGGCGCTGACCATTTTGATGCCGGGTGTGGGGGAGCCGCTTGCCAGGCCGATGCCAGTGATGATCTGGCCCAGCATGCAGGTCGCCTCCAAGTGCTTGAGCTTTCTTACCTAGGGCTTGGCGTTCATAGCCTGTTGAAACCCCCAGATTCCTCCCCTAAACCCTAAACCCCAAACCCGTTTTGGGGATGCATATGGACCCTAGTTTCCTAATTCTCTACGAAGGACGAGGCAGGCCCCGAGCCCCTCCGACCCCAAAATGCACCGGACAGGTACCCATGGCCTGGAGCCTGCCATTCCAGCGATGGATCCTAGGGTTCAGTTGTTGTTCCTTTTTGTTAAACGGTGTTTGAGGTGAAAAAGGGTTTGTAGGGATCCCAGGGCTTAGCGCTTTTGAGTTTTGTTGTCTGTTTGTGTTTTTATTTCTTCTTCTTTTTGTGGGGGGGGGGGGGGGGGGGGGGGGGTGTGGGGGGCTGTTGGGGGGTGTTGGGGGGGTGGGGTTGTGGGGGGGGTGTGGGGGGGGGTTGGGGGTTGGGTGGTGTTGGGGCTTGTTGGGGGTGGGGGGGGGGGTTGGTATTTATAGGGTTTGAAGGACTTATAGGGTTTGTAGGGTTTGCAGGGTTTATCGGGTTATAGGGCGTTTATAGGGTTTATAAGGTGTATTGGGTCTTTTGGGTTCCGGGTTTCGGGCAGACTTCCCTCTTTGCTTTATTGGCGCTTCATTGAGGCGTTTCGGCAGATTATCCTAAGAGCAGATCGGTCTAAGGTTCAGGGTTTAGGGTTCAGGGTTCAGGGTTTAGGGTTTAGGGTTTAGGGTTTAGGGTTTAGGGTTTAGGGTTTAGGGTTTAGGGTTCAGGGCTTTTGCCCCAAGAGAAACAAAAACAAACTGCAAAACTAGCTCGGAGTCCACAGATGCTCTGCCCGAATCCACTTGATGAGCTGCACCCAGGAAAGGTTCCACCACAGGATCGCCGAGAAGACGTGAGGGCCGAACCACATCCAGCGCCTTGGCTTGAGCAGCTCTTTTTCCAATCCAAAAGGCCGAGAATCGGGCTAGAAAACCCTAAACCCTCAACCCCTGCCAGCCAGAATTGAAGTTCCCCGCGGCGTTTGTTTTCATATGCATTTGGCATTTAGGAGGAATTATCGTGAGGCCATGAGCTTCAAGGTTTGTGTTGCCAAGAAGTGAGCCTTGCCTTTGAGGGTTCAGGGATTACGGGGTTTACAGGAATAAGGTGAGCCCAGCCTGGAAGGGGTATGTTCGGCCCGATGCTGGCAGCAGAAGCTCTTTCATAGAAGACAGCATGATGACTGGGTTTCATTCTGGCTTACCGTTCACAATTTATGTCGCCGAAGCCTCTCAAATCTTCCACCTGGACGGGTTTAGTCTCAGGGTTTAAGACCTAAACCGAAACCCTCAACCCCAACCCTTGAAACCTATAGGCTCAACAATGCGCCGTTTCGGGGATGTCGGAGAATCCGTTAAAATTGCTCCCAAACCACAAACTTCGGCCATCGGCTGGCTAAGGAAAGATGCGAGAAAGCGGGAGGGCTTGGCAGCTATGCTTGGGGCAGAAAAGGCGCGGGCCCCAATAAGTAGTGGCCTCGTCCGTTAAGAAGGAGTCACCCAGAGGGCCGTCGTTCTGCAGGGATTGGATTTCGCATCAACGGTGTAGGGCTTTAGGGTTTAGCCGCTTTCGGTCGAAGGATTCGAAGCCACCTGGTTTCTAGAAAGCCTATGATGTATATCCGATTCCCCGATTTGGGGCAACTACCCACATAAGGCAGACCGGACTTGGGAGCTAGGATGTAAATAGTCAAGCCGGTAGCGAGACCTTCAAAGCACTAAGCCTTACATCCTAAACCCAACGAGCTGGGGCCCGAAACCCTAAAGCGTCTCCCGGCACGTGGCCCTGCACCCTATGAAACGGCTTGCATATCGCTGACGCTGTAGAACCTGAGCCCCCCCGCCCCCCAAACCATAGATTTCCTTCCCACCTTGTTCTTCGAGAGCTGTTCCAGCGCATACTCCCTGTCCGGAAAGCGGTAGACAAACAGGTTTGGTCCTGTCGCGGGCCCGGCTTTGGTTGATATTTGGTCGCTCCCAAATAAGCCTTAACCCTGAACCCTAATCCCCAAACCCTAACACCTAACAGACTGCATCACCCTAACCCCCGCCCCCCCAAAAAACAAGGACCCGGTACTGAGTAGTCATACAAGTCATATGCCCAGGCCAGATTTTGCTTAAACCCTGAACCCCAGATGGGCCCATATGGGGCAGTTGGGCTTAAGGGCCCCAATCCCTGCAACCTACGCCCGAGACCCTAAACCGTTCCTGCATCCCTAAAGACAAGCCCCAGCCCAAAGAACATCCTCCAGGGTCGGCCCTAGTCCTAAGCATCCTCTACAGGGTGCTCCCAAGAAGCAAGACTTCTTTTGACTAGCCCCGTTTGTAGTTGCAAGGTTCCACGTTTTTGGGAGGCCCCCTGCCTAAAGAGACGAACCACGCGACGGCGAAGCACACGACGCTGAGGACCACGGCCAGAACATCTCGGATCGTCCACCGGGGCGACGACATGGCCAGGAGAAAGGAGCAAAGTACTTTGCGGGGGGGGGGGGGGGGGGCAGGGGATCTCCCGCGGGCAAGATGGCTGTCGCTGTGAGCCGTACAAGCCCGAAGCCCCAACCTTTTGGGGCTTCAAGAGAGGTTGTAAGGGCTGTAAGGGGTTAACTTGTGCCTGTGGAAATGGCTTTGGGCTTGCTGGGCCAACCCCCCAACCAGGGTTTCCGGCACCCCGAACTTCTGCCAAGGCTTGCAAGGTTGATTTTCAGGTTGTTCGGGTCATTCGGGCGCTTTATTGGGTCAAATGTACATGTGGGCTAAGCTTCTGGGGCAGGACTGAAAGGTCTTGCAAGGCACAGGTGCAAAGGCATGAGCGCAAACATATTGACGAGGGCGACTTAGAGCTCGACAACGGGCCGTCAACACGCGACTCATGTCTCTTTGTAATTCTGAGTATTTGGGGCTCCCGCAGGCTTCTGCTCTGCTCTCTTACGCAAAGGGTTGCGCGTTGGGGGGAACGTGCTGCAGCTTCCTGGCGTGGAGCACCACACTTGCCACCCAAAGCCCTGAAACCCAACGGCCAAACCCTCGACTCAAGGCTGAGTCTGAGGCCTCGGGCGGGCTTGGGTTCCGGAGGGCTGCATGCAGTTTTCAGTGGCTTTAGGGTTGGGGGTTTTCAAGGTCCGAGATTTTTGCGACAAGCAGATGCTCTTGTGCGAGCTCCTCTCCCAGAAGCACCAAACCAACTGCACCCTAAACCCTGGAGCCCCTCGGCCTGATACATGCTAGAACCGAAAACAACCCTAAACATCTGAAACCCCTATTCGCCCCATGGGCCCTATATTGACCCCATACTAACCCTTTACTAACCCCATATTAGGCCTATATGAACCCTACATTAACCCTATATTACGCCTATGTGAACCCTATACTAACCCTAAATTAACCCTAAATTAACCCTATCAACCCTGCAAACCCTAACCCCAACCCAAACCCGAACCCGAAAGCTTCAGTGCCATCACCGCACCAAGGGCTGCTCCAGCGGGGGAAGGCCGCTCTTCATCTTGGCTTCCTCGAAGTCCAACCCCAAACCCCAAACCCCAAACCCCAAACCCCAAACCCTAAACCCTAAACCCTAAACCCTGGACCCTAAAAACCCTAAACCCTAAGCCCGAAGCCCTAAACCCTAAACCCCGATTATAACCCTCCCATATGATTCAGAGACTGCCTGCACTCCCATCCAAACACCTAGAGCAGGACGAGTCCTCCGAACTATAGCCCAAAAGACTTAACTCTACCCAAATGGTTTAGGGTTTAGGGTTTAGGTGTTATCAAAGTTATCAACTGGTGTCCTTGGCCCGATATTCCAGGAGCTCATCGTGGTCAGCCGCCTGGTACCACTCTGTCAGAATGATGGCCGTAAAGACGCACATCGTGAAGGAGTCGTTGAAGATCTCCTCTATCTTATGGCCCTTTTCGGCTCACTTCTCGGGAAAAACAGACAAAGAGTGGGGTGCCCGGAAATCGGCCAGCATTCTGAGAATGGTGTCAGGTATCGGGGGTGGGTTTTAAGGGATTTCGGGTGTAGTGGGGTCAGGTGTCTTGTTCGCGAGTTCGGGGGGTTGTCCGGTATAGGGTTAGAGGTTAAAGGATGAGGTCGAAGAATGTAAGCAGATGGGTGTCGAGGGGGGAGAAGGTTAGGAAAGGTTAGTTTCTCCGCGGGTTTGGGTGGAAGTGTAGAGGCCCAGGCGTCGACGGGTCTTGACGGGGTGTTTATGTGGGTTGAGGGTTGAGGGTTTAGGGTTTAGGGTTTAGGGTTCAGGGTTTAGGGTTTAGGGTTTAGGGTAGGCTTTTTTTGGGTTCCCCGACCAAAACCGCTGATGCTCGTTGCAGTGCTTGAGGGTTCTCGGGCTTTAGGACTCTAAGGACTCTAAGGTGTTAGGGTTCAGGGTTGTGAGTTGTGCGCTTTCTGCTTGTGGGGAAAGAAATGCGGGGTTCCGACTTTTGTTCGTCAAAAATGCATTAAAACGTGCGATTGCTCTGGGGAAAGGAGCCTTAACGTAGCAGAACACTCACTCTGGGTGAGCAGAGGAGCCATGCAGACCTCCAAGGGTCACAAAACACCAAATGACGGTTCGGAAGCCGACTAATAAACCTCCCCAACCCCCGAACCAAAGACTCTGCCTGAACCCTATAACCCTAAGTCCTGAATCCTAAGCTTCTAAACCCTAAACCCTAAACCCTAAGCACTGAACCCTAAACCCGCCTAAGGGAGCCCCTGCCTTGGATTCGGCATTGCGCTGCGCAAGGTGCATGGAAGGCGTGATCGCGTTGTATGGCGAGTCGGCGTCGTCGGCGAGCGTCACGACGACAAATCCGACCAAATAGACCCTGAAGCCGCAAGCCTACAGACCCACGAAAGATAGAGGATACCTTGTGCCGATTTTGGGCTATGGCATCATCCACCCCCCCAAGTACTCAGGTAAATACCTGATCACATTGCGGAACCTTAATGCTCTAGATCCACCTGGTTAAGGGTTTAGGGTTTAGGGTTTAGGGTTTAGGGTTTAGGGTGTAGGGTTTAGGGTTCCACACTCTTCTGGTGTGCTTATGAATCACAGGGAGCATCTGCTTCCGTTTCACATGGAGCTCTTACATGCCTTAGGCGACATCTGCCATGCTTGACATAGAAATATGTATTTTCATATGCTAAAAGCAATATCTTCCTTGAGATAGTTACATCTTCGTCTATCCTTTCAATATTAGTTTCTAGCTTCCCTAGTCTTTCCCTAACTCTTCTGGTGTTACTCTTCAGCTTCTTCGGTGGTACCGCCCAATAATACCATTTAGATACCTTAACTTTCTTGACTATCTCTAGAACTGCCTGAACCACTTCAACATCTTTTAACTTGTTGCATCTCCTGTACCGTTTCAATCTTAACCATTGTTTGAGAAGATATTTCTTATTCAGTAGTGAGCGCAGAAATCCCCAACGTGGAGCCGATAGACATACCCGTGATATGATGCCAAAGATACTAGCAATAATGTTATGCATGGCCAACTGGTGGCAAAACAGTATTAATCTATGGAGAACTTTTAGCTCTAATATAAACCATCTACAGAGGATCCTGTGAGAGAATATACATCCTTTCACTGTGTTCATGTGGACGACACGTCAAGAAACACATATAAGCGACGCAAACACACCACACACCACCCACCCACACACACACACACACACACACACACATGATAGACTTCCAGACGAAAAACAAACAAAACCTATTTGTTCAGTACTCTGTTCGCAGTGGACAATTTCGCTGACGATCCGACAAGTGAAAAAATGTGGGTTGTTCGCGAGAGGGAGGCACAACACCATCCTCTTCACTCTTTCAACACAGACGCATAACATGTTGGCACCTATTATGACAGGAGTCGCTTCTGCTCTGTAAAGGGCTTGACGAAACCCATGGAGTTTTTGAGGGGAAGCTGGTCCCTGAATTCGCTCGGGTGAGAACAGCTCGCTCGTGCGTGGTCTTGAGGGCCCTGGGGTGTGGTCGCGAGATCGCTCTCGTGTGGAGAAATTCGGGGTGTCAAGGGAGGACCTCAGCGTTCCCAACCCTTAACCCCAAACCCAGCACCGATTTCTACAAGACTACCCTGTGCCTTCTTTGGGCTATCGCACCTAGGTTGATCCTTTGGTTCCTCCCAATGGTTCAGGTATCCTCTGACGAGTGAACTCAATAAGATGATGAGCGGCCGTTGCAGAGCGATCGCCTGGGAGTAGCCGAAAAGCTTGGTGGCCCAGTACTTGTGCCGGATGATGTCCTCCAGGGCTTTGCACAGGCTTTGGAGTGGTTTAGGGTTTAGGGTTTAGGGTTTAGGGTTTAGGGTTTAGGGTTTCGGGTTTAGGGTTTAGGGTGTAGGGTGTAGGGTTTATGGTTTGGGGGCTAGGGGTAGGGTTTAGGGGTTTAGGGGTTTAGGGGTTTAGGGGTTTAGGGGTTTAGGGGTTTGGGGGTTTAGGGGTTTAGGGTTTAGGGTTTAGGGTGCCCTCAAGATTCGCCTCGGCTTCAGGCCGAGAGTCGTCTAGAACAAGTAGACCAGGATCCGGTTCCTTCCCCCAACCCTTCTCCCCACAGATCAATGCCAAGAAACGGCTTTTCTTGGGACCTGTCCCGTCCTCCGACAGCTGCACAAGAAGGGGGCCGTCCGAGTGCCGAGGTAGAAGGCTTGGGGGAAGGAGAGAGGGGGGGGGGGTACAATTTGGGGCTTGAAATCGGCCAACCGGAGGTTGCGTGGGGTTTTGGATCTCACGCCTTCTTCCTGACGTAGTAGATGGTCTGTGCGAGGACATAAGCCATGGCAAGGCCATAAGCAATGCCTGAGTGCAGCTCCAAGCGACTCGTGAGCTGAAGCCACGGTTTCCAAAACCCTGAACTACCCTAAGCCCTAAACCCTCAACCTTCCCTGACCCGCAATTCAGGGACCAAGGGCTTCGCACGGAAGGATTTGGGGTTTAGAGGTTCAGGGGTTTAGGGCTTTAGGGGTTCGGGGCTTTCGGATTTGGGAGTTGGGGGTTTGGGATTTAAGGCTTCAGGGAAACCCTTTTGCCAGCGCCTATGGCCCCCTATTGTGTGTGCCCCCTTGCCCTGTGTTTCTACGGCGTAGGATCTGGGTCTTGGGGTCCGAAAGCCGGCGTTCTTGCTACGCCATGAAGATCTTTGTAAGATTCTAAGTAGGTCTTAAACCCTAAGCCCTAAACGCTAAGCCCACGAAGAAAGGAAGGGGTCTTCGCAATAGCAATTCCTAAGAGCAACCGAGCTCTTTGCAGCCCAATGGGACCCCGAAGTCTTTTATCAAATGAAATCCCCAAATCTACCCCTTTCCCAAAGCCGCTACACCCTAAAGCTCTCCTAGCTTACAATACGCCCCACAACCCAAAAAACACACAGTGTGTGTGCGTGTGTATGTCTTGCTGTATGCAGATGCAGAATGTAGACACTGAAAAAACAAACACACACACACACACACACACACACACACACACACACACACACACACACACACACAGAGAGGCCGCTGGCTTCCCAGGCGCTGAGCATCTTGATGCCAGGTGTGGGGGAGCCGGTTGCCAGGCCGATGCCAGTGATGATCTGGCCCAGCATGCAGGTCGCCTCCAACTGCTTGAGCTTTCTTGCTGGCTTCGCAATAATCAAGGCTTTTGGGGGCTTGAGAGAGGTCCCTGAACCATCACCAGGGCCTCCCTCAAGCATCTGAACCCTTACGGATCATTCTAGTTCTTAGCAGTTGGGGGAACTCGGAACCTTATGTCCCCTAGATTGCCCTTTAAGGGATGTGTATGGAGCTCTGTAGGCCCTAAGCACCCTCAACCCTTCGAGCCCGAAACGCTCAGCACGGCACGTGCCCTCGGCCTGGATCCTCCCATTCCAGCGATGGATCCTTGGCGATTCTCTCTTTGCTTCATGTGGGGGGTGACTCACTGAGGCGCGCCGCCAGAAACCCCAAGAACAAATCGTCCTGTAGGGTTTAGGGTTTAAACGTCGCCCCGACTCCACAGATGCTTTGCCCGGATCCACTTGATGAGCTGCACCCAGGAAAGGTTCCACCACAGAATGGAGGAGAACACGTGAGGGGCGAACCACATCCAGCGCCTCGGCTTGCGCAGCTCCACCCCTACATAACACCCCAGGCCCTCACTTCATCCCTTAACCCAAAGCCCTAAAACCAACACTCTGAACGCCGAAATAAAGCTCTTCGCGGACTTGAGCTTTTAAAGTGATGGAGGCTGTGTCCAGCAAAGGCATTGATACCGAAAAGTCTCGCCTTTGTTTCTGGCAGTAGGAGTTGGAGATATCCAGTCTTGTTTGGGGTTTGAGGCTTAGGGTATGGGGTTCAAGGGCTTAGGGTTTACCTACGCGCGTTTGGGATTTACAGGGCTCCAGGCACCTCCTCTGTGAAAGAAGCGGGGAGTATGGATGGCCTATAGTATAAGATTATGAGAACATAAGAGTGTGAAATTATACTAACAGAAAACAGAGAAAACAACAATACAATCATAGCATAGTAACACAGTGAAAAAAGTTGACCTTGCAACGGTATAACGGTATATGTCAAAAGAATAAACATGAAAGACTATCCATATAGAAGCAGAACAATACACAAAAAGAATATTGTCATGTAGCAAGACAACATGCTCTTAAGAAAACACTTTACTACGATCATAAGATGCTGATGCAACGGCAAAAACAACAATAACCTACTAATGATCATGATTGAAGCGCTACTGATGTTTAAGTGTAGTGGTATAATAAGATCAGAACTTGCTAGTAGAATGCGCTAATAAAGTTAATAATGCACGATGAACATAGTCAAACAGCACAAACTAGAAGAATAGAATAATATAGCGACATGATCTGAGAATAATAAACAGCCGAACAAGGAAAGACATAATACTAGAATTTGTTAGTAATGTAACAATTGATAATGCAATAATACATTACAAAACGAACAGTAATTGAAAACTGCAACAATACAAGTATATGAAGAGTGAGATAGTCAGAAATCCAGTAAGCATCTGGGTCCGTTCTCGTGCCCAAGGCGGCAAAGTCTAATGCTGTAACAACTCGTCTTTGTCGACGGCCTGAGAAGATTCAGCGAATGAATTCTTGGGGCCTTATGTCTGTCACTTTAGGTGAGTTTTTGACGTAGACAAAGGACCGAATGCGAAGGAAACGCCATCCCCCTATGTCCGAAATCCTAGGCATGAACCCTGAACCTGAACTTCAGGATTGAGGGTTTGAGGGCTTAGACATTTAGGGGGGCTGTAGGCTTTGGCTCTTTCCAGATGAAAACAAAGATTAAGGCTGGAAGGGCACGGGCCCCAGAGGCTAGCAGTCTCATCCACAAGGAAGGAGTCACCCAGAAGGCCGCCATGCTGACGCGGGGCATGGATAGTTCTCTGATGGATGGTTCTCTAAAGGGTTTGCAGCTTAGGCAGATGTAGGGGCTACTTAGGGACTATATAAGGTACATATAGGGGTTCAAAAGGGGAAGGAGATTGAAGGTCCCTCCTAGCTGGGCCCCCCCTGCTTCATGGAAACCCTCCGGGCTTCGTCAGAATTCGAGTAATAATGGTTTGGGGGCTTAGTGTTCAGGGTGTAGGGTTAGGGTCTATACGGTTCTAGGGGTTAACTAGGGTCTTCTTAGGGTTTCTGGGGGAGGAGAGGGCGCGGGTGACCCCCAAAATCCCCCGAACCTATGACCTTCTGTCCCGCCTTCTCTTGCGAGAGGACTTCCAGCGCATACTCTCTGTCCGGAAAGCGGTAGAGGAACAGGTTCTGTCCTGCGCATGAATTCAAAGCCTCAAGCCCGAAGTGCTGAATCCCTTATAAGCCCTTAAGCACAAACATAACAAGGCCTTAAGGTATCAAACGCCTAAAACACTGAAGGCCCCAAAAACCCTAAAAGACCAAAAGCCCTAAAGCCCTAAAGCTCAAAGCCCTAACCCCCAAGACCGAATCATGCTCATTGTCCCGTCGCTGAGGGCCCCGGCCTAAGGAGATCAGCCACGCGAAGGCGAGGCACACAACGATGAGGACCACGGCCAACACATCTCGTATCGACCACCCAAGCGACGACATGGCCAGGAGGAAGGCCCTGAAACCCCCCAAAACCGGCGCCTAAAGGCCAGCAAAGCCCCAAAGCTGTGAATCCGTTCTCGGGCTCAGGGGGCTTTTGGGCGTGGGGGCGGTGAAGGGGCCAGGAAGATTCAGGCCCCTCTCTTGGCAAACCGCTGGGCAAAGTGGCTGGCGTTGCGCGGGCGCGCAAGGCTGCTCAGGAGCTTCAGGTAAGTGGGCAGACTTTGTGGGTTCGGGGGGGTTTGAGGTTTATGGGGTTTAGGGTTAGGGTTTAGGGTTTAGGGTTTAGGGTTTAGGGTTTAGGGTTTAGGGTTTAGGGTTTAGGGTTTAGGGTTTAGGGTTTAGGGTTTAGGGTTTAGGGTTTAGGGTTTAGGGTTTAGGGTTTAGGGTTTAGGGTTTAGGGTTTAGGGTTTAGGGTTTAGGGTTTAGGGTTTAGGGTTTAGGGTTTAGGGTTTAGGGTTTAGGGTTTAGGGTTTAGGGTTTAGGGTTTAGGGTTTAGGGTTTAGGGTTTAGGGTTTAGGGTTTAGGGTTTAGGGCTGCCTCTCATGGGGCTGAGGATGCCTGCTGAGGCTTCACGCATCTGCAGGCTGCACGAGACCCCTGCAAGGAGTCCCCAGACCCGAAACCCCCCCAGCCCTGAGCCCTGTCGTGTTTAGGGTTTAGAGGGTTTAGGGTTCGGCGTTTAGGGTTTAGGGTTGGGGGTTTAGGTTTAAAGGGTTTAGGGTTAGGGGTTTAGGGTTTAAGGGCTTCAGGGGTAGTTGTAGGCTTGGGATTTGAGGCTTGGGCCGGCTTGGTGTGCTTTGCAAAACGGCCGCCTGTGCTGACGCTGCCGACGGCTGCAGGGCCGCCAAATCCATCACACCACTGGCACGCGACCTGATCTGGGTGCAGGGTTTCGGGTTAGGGCGAACATCGTGTCTGAGGGTTTACAGTTTAGGATATATATATATATATATGTATACATATATATATATATGTATATATATATAGGCTTTACCATAAGGCAACGCCGCGCGGGGTCGGGGCTGTGGATCCAGGGTTCGGGGTTCGCTGGCGTGCCGCAGGTGGTCCTCAAATGCGTTGAGCCCTGGAGACCCTAAACCCTAAACCCTCAAGCCTGAATCCTAACTGTTGATTCTTATACGCCTGCACGCTACCCCTCTTCTGCGCCCAGCTTCTCCAGATCCCATCCCACCCCACCCTGGGAGGTGCAATTTTCAGACCAGGTTGGGGGTTCAGGGTTTAAAGGTTTAGGGATTTGATTAGACTTGACTTTACATGAGGCCGCTTCTGCCGAACAAAGGGGGGCAGGTGTACCCCGCCAAATGCTTTGAACCGTGCAGGCCCAAAGAAACCTCTTAGCTCTGTATAGGCCCTATATAAGATGCTCTACAACCCTAAACCCTGCAAGGACCAAAAATGCAAACCGTGAACCCCTGAGCCCTATCTCCGTGCACCCCGCTGGGTCGGTGCAGGGGCAAACGCCACAGTCCACCTTTCCTGGTCCAGCGGGTGTCTTTTATTTCCTTGTTTTTTCTCTTTTTTTTTTTTTGGGGGGGGGGGGGGGGGGGGGAACTTTACCTTTTGTTTCGGGATTTAAGGTAGCGTTTCACATGCTTTGGTCGCTGTTAAGGTTACAGGTGTTTAGGGCTTCGGGCTTCGTTACAAGGGCTTAGGGCCTCTGTTTTTGTGTGCAAGGAGTAATGGCTGCTGCGTCCATGCCCTGCCTCACACCCCCTTACGGATGTTGGGGCGGGCCAGGGCTGTTTTCGATTTGGCGGGCTTCCACACAGTGACAGGCTTTAGGGCTGTAGGGCTTGAGGGCTTGGGTGCCCTGATTTCAAGGTGGGGCTGGACCGGGGTTGAGGCTTTAGGTCCCAGGGGGCAAACCCCAAAACCAAATTGGGAGGAAAAGCAACCCGAAGCCGTAAACCCTAAACCCTAAACGCCTGGCCCTGAGCAGTCGGACCCCAAGGCCCCAACCCTCCTAAACCCTGAGCTCTACACACCAAAGCCTTTCAGATTTGACCCGTGAGAGGCCTCAAAACGCCAAAGCACCCTAAGACCCCTTCAGCCCCAAAACCTAGGCAAAAAACGTAAGCAACCTGAACCCTCCACCCCAAGATAAACCTGAACAAAAAGCCAGCTCCGAACCCTAGGCCTCCAAAACTCCTAAGACATCCAAACCCCTACCGCCTAGAGCCCTAATCCCCAGGCCACCTAGTCCGCCAAAGCAACCTCATCCCCCCCCCCCCCCCCCCCCCCACCCCGGACACGAATATTTCAAAGCCATGAACCACGAAAACCCGTCAAGCTGAAACCTCTGAAGACCCTGAAAGGAACTGACAAAACCTCTAAGCCCTAAAGCCCCTAAAACTTAAGAACCTCCAAAAGCCTCTGAAAACAAAAATTTAAAACCCCACACCTTTAAAGCCTAACAACCCCCATCCCCCTCAGTCCCGAAACCCTAAACCCCAAACCCTGCATGGACCCTAAACCCTGAACTCTAAACCCTAAACCCTAAACCCTAAACCCTAAACCCTGAACCCTGAACCCTGAACCCTGAAGCCCAAGCCTGCCACTCCGCAGGAGGCCAGGTGGCGCGGCTCAGCGCCGCGAAGCGTGGAGTTGCCAAGCTGGTGGTTGAGGGTTTAGGGTTTAGGGGTTTAGGGTTTAGGATTTAGGGTTGAAGGTTGGAGATGATTTAGGGGTTGAGGGGTTTAGGGTTTAGGATTTAGGGGTTGAAGGTTTAGAGATTGAAGGTTTCGGGCTCCGCGTCAATGCGATATGACAGTTGGCGAGAGTTTAGGGCGGAGACCCAACGCCGCTGGCAGCATAATCAGAAGCAGTCGGCAGATCATGACAGCTGTATCACTCGGTATTGGTGGGGGCCTCACACATAGGACAATACACCAGCAGGGAACCCGCCAACCCGAAAACCATGACCATCGTATCATCGGTACTATTTGCCTCTGCTTCTGGCGAAGCAGAGGCTTAGAACCCCTTGTTCTTAGTAGGGAATGAGGTACCCTATATATACATATATATATATATATATACCCTTTGAGAGACTTTCTAGGTCCCTCATTCCCTCACTCCCTACTAAAGCCAGCCAGTAGAGTTGGCGCAGCCGAGTTTGTTTGCTGCTTGCGGCGGTGCCCAGCTTCTTCTCTTGTTTGCGGCGGCGCCAATTCCCTTGTTGGAGAAGCCGAAATCTCTTGCTGTTTGTTGCGGTGCCGAGCTCCGTTTTCTGGCTTGCGGCGGGGCCGAATCTATCTCTTGTAGACGAAGCCGAGTTCTCTTGCTGCTTGCGTCTTGTCTGCGGTGGTGCCGAGTTTATAAATTACATTCATTCAGCTAAAGCCAATGAGCGTTTTAGACATAAAACTGAGGAAGATAATTAGTTCAAGACACTAACTTGCCTATCGCAGTTAAATTAAATACGTTTATTGTAAGTATGTCCATTAAACTACGAATTCACCATGTACCTGGATTAAACCAACAAGTTAGTTTAACTAACTAGATCCGTGATACGCAAACTAGACCTAGCAAGAGCCCGCCCCTCCTCTCTCCTCCTCTCTCATATAGACAGATACACACACATATATATACATATATATATATGCTGTATGTACATCTTATAAAGACATACATCCTATAGATCACACCGCTCATCCGGGGAAAACCACACCCTGAACCCCCAAAGCATCGGGGATCGGCCTTCAAGCCGGAAGCAGCCGGCCTTGGGGATCCAGCATTGTAGGGTTGAGGGCTTGCGGTTTGGGGTTTAGGGGTGGTAGGGCTCTGGGTCTTAGGGTTTAGGGCTTGGGGTTTATAGGGAATAGGGTTTAGGGCATAGGGTTTGGGGTGTTGGGTTTGGGGTTTATAGAGAATAGGGTTTAGGGTAGAGGGTTTGGGGATTTGGGTTTGGGGTTTATAGGGAATAGGGTTTAGGGAAAAGGGTTTTGGGTTTGGGGTTCTTGAGGAATAGGGTTTAGGGAAGAGGGTCAGGGGGGTTGGGGTTTCGGACATAGGTTTTTGGGCTTGGGGTTTCGGTGTTCCAGAACTAGAGCCCTGCAGCAATGTAAGGTTGTGTTGATAAAGTTCCGCCAAAAGCCCTCAGCATGCTTTGATCGCGCATGGAGAAATCGAGAGTGCGTCACTGAGACATGCACGCACACACACACACACACAGAGACACAGACACAGATACACACAGAGACAGTGACTGAACCCTAAACTAACCCTAAACGCTGAAGAGACGGACAGAAGCCATAAGCTCTGGGGCTTGTAGAGGCCCGGGGCAACTCTGAGGCTTCGGGTTGTGGGTTTAAGGAGGCTGGCTCTGGGTTGGGCTGGTAAACTTCAGGTTTCCGAAGAAGAGTGCAGGACGTCGGAGCTCAACAATCTAGGGCTTCAAAGGTGTTGACGATAGAGCTGTAGGTTTTTAGGACTTGAAATCTCACGACTTAGCTGGCACTGGAGCCACTTTTGCTAGGAGGCGTAGGGATTTAGAGGTTTGGGGCTTAGGATTCGGGGTTTCGTGGCTAGAGTTTGGGGCTCAGGTGTAGGATTTTCGGGCACCGAAACACTTCTGGGCTCACGGCTCTGCCGCCGCAGCGCCCAGGACAGCCAAGACAACTAGGAGTGCCTGCAACGGGCTCAGGGGGGTAAGGGTCTCAGGGCTTGGGATGCGAGATCTGAGACCCTGCACCTCAGGCTTCCCCCCACGGGCCTCAGCCCTCCCCCCTACCGGTTCTAGGGCTCAAGGAATATGCTCAATATCGACCCTAAACCCTAAACCCTAAACCCTAAACTTGCCCTAAACCCTAAACTTGCCCTAAACCCTAAACCCTCAATTTCGGCCCTGAACTTGGGTGGCCCTATAAATCAGGGAAACTGAGGACTCGGCCGTCATGATCCCTGGGTTCACGATCAGGGACACTACTGTGAGCTTTCTGTATAGTGAGACAAAATGGGCTGCGCGGGGCTTGGGATAGGGCTTTGAGTACAGCTTGGGGTAAAACACACGCAGCACCAGGCCCTGACCCTTCCTCTTGAGGTCTTTTGTTGCCAGTGGCTTTCCGGCGCTGAACGGTTTGGAGCTGGTTGTGCTATGCTCGAGCACTTTGAGCACGCCATGGTCTCAACCAGTCCAGGGCGTATTGGGTTTGCAGCGTTGCAGAAGCCCATATGCCATATTCCTGGTGCTGTTGCGCGTTAAAGCTGATTGCTAATCACCCAAACGGTCCCGAATCCCGTCCCTATCAAGGGCAAGAGTACAGCGGAAGGCAACTTGTCGCCAAATCATGCCCAATACAATCGGACGAAAATCAGCGTCCAATCTCTCTCCCTCCCTCCCTCCCTCCCTCGCTCTCTCTTCTTCTTCTTCTTCTTCTTCTTCTTCTTCTTCTTCTTCTTCTTCTTCTTCTTCTTCTTCTTCTTCTTCTGCTTATTCTTCTTCTGCACGCTTAAGAGAGCCCCCAGAGGGGACCCCCGACCTCGACGGCCAAGCGGCTCTCTCTCTCTCTCTCTCTCTCTCTGTGCCTCTTTGTCTATTTAATTTTGTCCATAATCTCTCATCCTTTTTATATGACGACAATACAACAACATTCATCATTCATCATTTGACAAATAAGACGGGACATTTATCTGATTCATTGTAGAAGAATCTTACGGATTATTCTTTGGAATAACAACTCGAAGCGAAGAATCCACTCTTACATGTTCTTGATTAAGTCAAATAAGCCTATTTTCTGTTGAAGAAGATTCGTTCTGAGAAATGAATTTGATTTTTGAAGAACCCAAATCAATTCTCTTCGAGTGATCTGAATTACATTAATACGGCGAAGGAGGTGTCTGCTCTCTCAGTCGTCAATTAAGTAGGCAACCTAATGATGGTTTCTCTCCTGCAAATTCCGGTCCCCGATTGTCTCAAAGGACCTCGAAGAGAACCTCAAAAAGAGGAAATTGCCTGCCACCACCCCGAAGTCAGGGAACACGTGGAGAATGCCAATTGCAAAATACGATTAAACCAAACGAAAGGTAAGCCTCAGTTCATCAGCGCAACGCAACGCGCGCAGTCCCTAAGTCCAAAAAAACACACGAACATGACCAAACTTTTGACCTGTGCACAAACATCATTGCCATCACTACCCTGCCATCTGTACAGCCTGGACAAGGCAGGGCTGAAGGCCCAGCCACTCTCGCACGTAGCATGGGTAATCAAAAATCAGCAAGGGATGGGGACTTCCCGGAAATCGGAGGAGTTCCAGGTACCGTGCCACCTTATATCAGACTTCCAGCTTGAAGTTCAAAGTTCTGGGGCCTTCTGCCTCATACAGGTTTTAAGCTGTACCTGGCAATTCCTTCCTACCTGGGCCACTGCAACTTGCAATGCAATGCCCAGGTCCCCAGGAGGTCCCCACGAACAAAAATGGAACACGTTCAATGCTTTGAACAGCCGGGCGAAGGAGGAAGACACAGCCAGCAGATATAAGTAGCCGACTGAGCACTGGGCAAGGCCTTTTCTAGTGCCTCTCACGCAAACAAAAACTCGCAGAACGAGGAGTTGGCTCCGTCGCTCCTGCTGAAGGGAACATCGGCCGCATCGCCTTCCTGGCCCAAGCAGAACTACAAAGGTCGATATACGGGGGATATACTATACATCATGGATATACGCCTAAAGAAGCACTCCCCTGCTTTCGTGGGTGACACAACTCGCTGTGTCGAGTTGCCGCATGCTGCCGCCAGAGTGCCGCCGGTGTCTTTCAAAAATCAGGCCCAAAACCAAGGTTGGGGAAACTATAGAGTATGACACTCGCAAATCAGAAGGGGTACGAAGTATGCCCCCAGCACATGAATAAACACCGCCATGATAGCACTCTCTGGATTGATGGAATGGGAAAGTTTTTGAAATTGGGTTCTGTGTGTTGCGTTCTGCTTACAATCATAGTAGACAACAATCCGTACTCCATCAATCACAGGTCCTACCCGAACCGTCATTATTCCCCCGTCACGGAACCATCTCCATCCCCTCTCAGAACGAACACAAACCTTCCCCAAGTAGCATACTAGAAATCAGTATACAACATGTTCTGAGCCACGCAGCATCACAACCGAGCCGGTCAGGCAATTTCCCAGATAGGGTCGGCTCTTGGGCTCACAACACACCACGACCCAGGCAGCCTTCGAAGAATTTCGAGCTTGGTAGTTCGATCGGGTTCGCAGAGCTGCCATAAGGGAGATTGCAGGAACCTTCTTGCTAGTTCGATGTAGTATAGTGCAACATATACTGTACCAACCGCCAACCCAAAGAAGAAGATTCCTCCATGGCTACCGTGATTGTAAAAAATGCCTGCCCGGTGGCGATGCATCGTCACTACCAGACGTCTCCGTAGAATCGCGCTCCGGGCAGGCCTGACAAGCTCAACTCGCTAATGATATCCATCTATCACAAGCCCATGCCTTTGAGCCCAGGCCTCGGTGAGGTGGCTTAACACTGGCTGCTGCTTCAGCTCCTCCACACCACATACAGCAGCACATGCAACGTCACGGTCGCAGATTGGTGGGCGCCCTCTCTTCGCTGCTGGCAGGTCGCCCTCCTTCATGCACACCACGCCGAGCTCGTGCAGCGTCAAGGCCACTTCTTGGTGAGCTCCTTCTCCATGCACAGCTCTCTTCATGCTCAGGGCCTCCGTGAGGTGGCTCTTCGCTGCTGGCAGGTCGCCATTCATGATGCACACCACGCCGAGCTCGTGCAGCGTCACGGCCACAATTTGGTGAGCTCCTGCTCCACGCACAGCTCTCTCCATGCTCAGGGCCTCCGTGAGGTGGCTCTTCGCTGCTGCCAGGTCGCCCTTTTTCATGCACACCACGCCGAGCTCGTGCAGCGTCACGGCCACAATTTGGTGAGCTCCTGCTCCATGCACAGCTCTCTTCATGCTCAGGGCCTCCGTGAGGTGGCTCTTCGCTTCTGCCAGGTCGCCCTTTTTCATGCACACCACACCGAGCACGTGCAGCGTCACGGCCACAGTTTGGTGAGCTCCTGCTCCAGGCACAGCTCTCTCCATGCTCAGGGCCTCCGTGAGGTGGCTCTTCGCTGCTGCCAGGTCGCCCTTTTTCATGCACACCACGCCGAGCTCGTGCAGCGTCACGGCCACAATTTGGTGAGCTCCTGCTCCAGGCACAGCTCTCTCCATGCTCAGGGCCTCCGTGAGGTGGCTCTTCGCTTCTGCCAGGTCGCCCTCCTTCATGCACACCACGCCGAGCTCGTGCAGCGTCAAGGCCACAGTTTGGTGAGCTCCTGCTCCATGCACAGCTCTCTTCATGCTCAGGGCCTCCGTGAGGTGGCTCTTCGCTGCTGCCAGGTCGCCCTTTTTCATGCACACCACGCCGAGCTCGTGCAGCGTCACGGCCACAATTTGGTGAGCTCCTGCTCCATGCACAGCTCTCTCCATGCTCAGGGCCTCCGTGAGGTGGCTCTTCGCTTCTGCCAGGTCGCCCTTCTTCATGCACACCACGCCGAGCTCGCGCAGCGTCACGCCCACAGTTTGGTGAGCTCCTTCTCCATGCACAGCTCTCTTCATGCTCAGGGCCTCCGTGAGGTGGCTCTTCGCTTCTGCCAGGTCGCCCTCCTTCATGCACACCACGCCGAGCTCGTGCAGCGTCAAGGCCACTTCTTGGTGAGCTCCTGCTCCATGCACAGCTCTCTTCATGCTCAGGGCCTCCGTGAGGTGGCTCTTCGCTTCTGCCAGGTCGCCCTCCTTCATGCACACCACGCCGAGCTCGTGCAGCGTCAAGGCCACTTCTTGGTGAGCTCCTGCTCCATGCACAGCTCTCTTCATGCTCAGGGCCTCCGTGAGGTGGCTCTTCGCTGCTGCCAGGTCGCCCTCCTTCATGCACACCACGCCGAGCTCGTGCAGCGTCACGGCCACAATTTGGTGAGCTCCTGCTCCATGCACAGCTCTCTTCATGCTCAGGGCCTCCGTGAGGTGGCTCTTCGCTTCTGCCAGGTCGCCCTTCTTCATGCACACCACACCGAGCACGTGCAGCGTCACGGCCACAGTTTGGTGAGCTCCTTCTCCATGCACAGCTCTCTTCATGCTCAGGGCCTCCGTGAGGTGGCTCTTCGCTGCTGGCAGGTCGCCCTTCTTCATGCACACCACGCCGAACTCGTGCAGCGTCACGGCCACAGTTTGGTGAGCTCCTGGTCCATGCACAGCACTCTTCATGCTCAGGGCCTCTGTGAGGTGGCTCTTCGCTTCTGCCAGGTCGCCCTTTTTCATGCACACCACGCCGAGCTCGTGCAGTGTCAAGGCCACATTTTGGTGAGCTCCTTCTCCATGCACAGCTCTCTCTATGCTCAGGGCCTCCGTGAGGTGGCTCTTCGCTTCTGCCAGGTCGCCCTTTTTCATGCACACCACGCCGAGCACGTGCAGCGTCACGGGCACAGTTTCGTGAGCTCCTTCTCCATGCACAGCTCTCTTCATGCTCAGGGCCTCCGTGAGGTGGCTCTTCGCTGCTGGCAGGTCGCCCTTCTTCATGCACACCACGCCGAACTCGTGCAGCGTCAAGGCCACAGTTTGGTGAGCTCCTTCTCCATGCACAGCTCTCTTCATGCTCAGGGCCTCCGTGAGGTGGCTCTTCGCTTCTGCCAGGTCGCCCTTTTTCATGCACACCACGCCGAGCACGTGCAGCGTCACGGGCACAGTTTCGTGAGCTCCTTCTCCATGCACAGCTCTCTTCATGCTCAGGGCCTCCGTGAGGTGGCTCTTCGCTGCTGGCAGGTCGCCCTTCTTCATGCACACCACGCCGAACTCGTGCAGCGTCAAGGCCACAGTTTGGTGAGCTCCTTCTCCATGCACAGCTCTCTTCATGCTCAGGGCCTCCGTGAGGTGGCTCTTCGCTGCTGCCAGGTCGCCCTTTTTCATGCACACCACGCCGAGCTCGCGCAGCGTCACGGCCACAGTTTGGTGAGCCCCTTCTCCATGCACAGCTCTCTTCATGCTCAGAGCCTCTGTAAGGGAGCTGATGGCGTCATCGAGCTGCATATTTTCTAGGCATTGTTGGCCATACAGATGCATTTGATCAGCTTGGATCGAGTCGATATTGATCTCCGAAAGCCCGGTGATGCAGGTGTCACACAAATCCACATCGCAAGTGCGGCAGCCCTGCCCGTGCTGTTCTGCCAGCGGCTTTCGACAGCCGTCGCAGATGCAAGACGCGGTAGGTTTTGTCAGCCTGTGGCCCAGGTGGCACTCACCGACCCGGCAACGGTGCGCAAACTCCTCGAGGCGCTGCCGGCGCTGCACTGTGAAGCCCTCGAAGGACAACTTGGCCTCCTCGATGCCCATGAGCGGTGCTGCCCGGGCCGCTCGCCCGTCTGAGGCCGCGCACGCGCAGACCGCCGAGCAAGGACGCCCCAGGCGAGAGGTCTCAGGGGGAGCCGTCTCTGTCGCGCTGGCGGTCTCCGAAGGATCCCTGACATTGTCGCCGTCGCCAAGGTCCCCGGCTTGCATCGCGGCGGCGGCGTCGAAAGCTTTCGAAGGCGCTGCGGAGGTGACGTCCTCTTCGCCGTCCTGCCATGCAAAAACAATCCAAAGCAGCCGCGGCGTGATAACGCTGTCAGCAATGCCCCGAGCCTCTTCCTGGCCCTCCGAGGAGCCCGGGCCCTGGTCGTCGGCTGCATTGACATCCTGATGGATGTGTTTATGAGATTTCTGCGTGAACCTGAAAGCTGAGTCAGCATCTCTACATGTCTACATGTCCTTGAAACCGCACTCACACAGCGTGCTGGTTCCACCGCTTGCGGACATACTGTGCAAGGCACGTGCATGCCAAAACTCACCGGTGGCTCCCGTCTGACTCTTACATACTCTTACACGTCATTGTTGCCGCCTCTCACGAGGCTTGCTGTAGCAGAACCTCTGGGCATTTACGGATGCTTCTGTTGCGAGAGCGCACACGTATTCTTCCTTAACACCAGGGTGGCCAAGCTGCCAGGCGCTGGCGCCAATTGATCTTGCGGGGCTGGTTTGGGGCGTCATCCCTCTGAAGACTCTGAAGCCGCCGGCTTTCCAGCTCTTCGGCCTGGCTCAGCGCTGAAATATATATATATATATATACACACACATGCATACATATCCTACATACAGTGAACAAGAATATAACATCTCTGGATCAGCATATGTACATGTATCATGTCTTCGACCCCCCTGATGCCGGAGATTGTAGGATGGAGACCACGGCAAAATCCCATTCCCTTCCCGAACCTGAAATCTCAAACTCAACCTGATCCTCAACCTGAGAAGTCTCTGAAGGTTTTCCTGGATGTCGCTCGGCCTCGTAGGCCCACCGGACAAAGTTCGTCAAGTCCCTCAGAGGCTGGAGCTTTCTTTTAAATTACCTTCAACAATCTTCGTCTGTGACCGTCCAAGCGGCAGAATTTGGCCAAGTGCAGGCAGCAGTTCCCGATCTCTGCGCCGAGCTGCATCAGCTATGTCCAGGATCTCCTGCAAGGCCTGAACGCATGTGCTTGGCATGCTGGCGCGGTCTTCGTTCCTGCCCTCGCCGAAGACAGGCTCGCCAGGCCCGTCGGCACGCAGCATGCGCAGGTCGACCCCGAGACGCTCCAGGATCTCCTCGATCATCCGCGCAGAGTCGACCTGGGCCTTTGTCATTTTGCGCCGCTTGGCCTCCAGGCTGCGCGCTGCCGTCTGTTTGATATCCTCGAGCGCCTTCGCTGGCTGGGCAGAGCTCATGTCAAGAGAATGCATGTGTTAAGAAGCGACTTGTTAGGGGGGATGTGTCCCCAGCTTCACGAACTTCGTTCAGGGCATGAGACAGGCAGCTGCCTAGAAGCATCCCAAGGGTTGGTTGCAGTCCTGGTGCATGCTGTTTTCATGACAGCCCGGAGGCTGAATGTGGCCACTTCTGGCCTGGTTTCCTCGAACAACGATGTAATGATTGTTTACACTAACGGCGTACGCGTATTCTGCAACCTCTTCACGAGGCTGCAGTATGGTGTCGGGGAGTGGCGAAACAGCCTTGACTTTTGCTACGTGGGCTAGCCTGTTGTCAGGAAGCTGATACTGGTAGGCGGCTAAGAGAGTACAGCTGCCAAACACATTGGCTGGGTTAGCCCGGCCCGCCACCCATGAGGGCAAGGAGCCTCCGATGTTCTCAACGCTTCTACAAATCTTCTACATATCCATGGAGCGCGTAGGGTACCAGTTTGTTTTTGCTCGGGTCTCCCTTGAACCTTGAACCTCGACTCAAACACCATAAAGTTTGCGCTATTTGTTATATAGATAGATATATAGAAATATAGATATATAGATGTAAAGATATGTAGATACACAGATATACAGACATACAGATATACAGATATATGGATATATAGGTATATAGATATATTTCTATATATATATATATACACACACTTATACATGTGTATATATGTATATATATATATATAGATATAGATATAGGTATAAATATAAATATATATATATATATATACATATACATATACATATAGATATATATATATACACATATATACATCTGTGCGTGTGTGGGCGCTATGAACTCTCGCTACCAGCTTCGGAATCCTGAGCCTGATAAGCCCTGGAATGTGTTTTTTTCCGTCGTTTTGCATGTTTTTCATTTACACGCGCGGCACGTGGAAATACGTAATGGATCAAAGAAAGATAGTCCTGGAGCACCCCATCATCGAAGTTCAGATGAGGCCTCGGTGGGTGCGGGCGAAACAAAGCATCAGAGACCCGCAGGCTTGAGTGGGCAGAGTTGGTGGAAGGACTCTCAGCTGCAGTTCAGCAGCCCAGCTGGAATCGCTTGGTCTTCCGCGGTCTCCCGCGCCATGTTAACTGAAGCCGCCGCGCACTTTGTCTCGGAAAAATATGCTACTGGCATATGGTATACGTACTGCTGCGTCACAACTGCTTGCCAAGCCAATCCATGCGTCAGGTTCTTGCACGGATGTGATCGATAAGATTCGATGAGGCCGATATGTTTGGTCCATACATGTCACGGCCCTGAAGTCTGAAGCTCGTGAGTTCACCGACGCGGCCTTGAGCCGGTAGGTCACGGCAAGTTGCAGGGGGGACTTGGTGAAAGGCTGCAAACTCACCCCAGCAATGGAATTGAAGGTTTTGCGAGCGTTTGCTCCGTAGTGCCGTAGTGGAAGCCATAGGGGACGTCCTGACATCTGTAGGGTGTTTTGGCCAACACGGTCTGTGGCGCCGATTCCGGAAATGGCCTTCGGAATTCAGAGGTCTAGTTTAGGGTTTAGGGTTTAGGGTTTAGGGTTTAGGGTTTAGGGTTTAGGGTTTAGGGTTTAGGGTTTAGGGTTTAGGGTTTAGGGTTTAGGGTTTAGGGTTTAGGGTTTAGGGTTTAGGGTTTAGGGTTTAGGGTTTAGGCCAAGCAAGTTTTGCATTCTCTGATTCGGCCTCACAGGGGTCCAGGGATGTCACTTTGCTCTCATGGTAAAATCGCCAGATCTCTCGCTCACTCCTTAGGGTTTATACACTCCACGTGTCAAGTCATACGAACTCAGGACTTCGACTCCTCTGACTGTGTCGGGGGTTAGATGGGAGCGATATGGACGTGTAGATTCGTGTGTTTCGGGTTCGTGTCAAGCCCTCGTGCAAGGCATCCACTTCCTGACTAAGGAATCGGAGGGCACGGCGCGCATGATGACAGCACGTCAGGGCATTAATTTTGCACGGCACTCCTGCACATGTGCCGGCCGAGGCATTAGACACCTCATTGAAGCAACCCGCAGCCGAGAGGTGCTCACAAAATCACACAGGGTTTAGGGTTTAGGGTTTAGGGTTTAGGGTTTAGGGTTTAGGGTTTAGGGTTTAGGGTTTAGGGTTTAGGGTTTAGGGTTTAGGGTTTAGGTTTCTAGTCAAAAAACCACATCTGCATGGCGGTCTGAGCACCTCTGAGGCCAGTTTAACACCTTGTGCTCTGTACAAATGCGCATGTGGGAAACAGAGAGGTGCGCAGACTGGATCATGGGTGGTGTTCAGAGTCTAGTCTATCAGAAGGAATTTTGCCATTCAAAGCTACAAAGCCCCCTGAACCCGACAGGAAAAAAGGCGCAAAGAGCCATCACATCGCGCCACAAACTCAATAGAGCCGTCTCGGCAGGGCTGAAGAAGCCTTCGGCTCCCTCAACGAAGCCAAGTCCCATGCGCTCCACACCTCAGCCTCAAACAGGCTGCATGGCCCTAGCTCTGCCATCATTCATTTGAAGCGGGCCCAAAGCTCCACCCCTGAGGCCCTCAGCAAAGTCGACTCCCCCTACTACACTGGCAAACGCTTGCAGTGTGGCAAAACCATAGCAAACAAAACGATCGCGCCAGGGCATCCGAGGAATCTCCAGGTTTGAGCTTTGAGGTTCGGGGTCTCTGAAGCAAAGTTGGGAGCTGTAAGTGGCTGATTCCTTCAGGCCCTGGCGCCCTGGCAGACGCAACTTGAAAGCCAGGTACCCGGATATCGACAGTGGATGGAGCGCAAGCCGCAACAGTACAGCAATATCCAGAACAAATCTTGAAGCACCTCAACGCTAGGGTTTTAGGTTTTCAGGTTCCAGGAGAATGTTCAGGTCTATGCAGGACCCGACTTTTGATTAGAACAACCTCCCCATGTGTCCCCCGATCTCGAATCTCTGGCTCCAGCTCACAAGAGAAACCTAGCCGGGGGGGGGCCTTAGGGAGAGCAGAAAGAGTTTCTGAAAACAATTAAGTTGGAGTTTCGAGCAGATTTCTTGATTTCCATGGGCTTGTACACGGCTTTTTGATTTGTGGTTTGCGATGGTCTTTCTACAGAACTGTGTGCTTCCTTTTTGTCCTACGTGTATTTCGTGCCCGTGAATCATAAGGCGAATCCTGCCAGCCAATATTTCAAGAATACGCGTGGACTGGTTGCAGCTTGCGACAGGCCCGGGTGCCCTCAAGATTCCCGATACACATTTTGTTGAAGAAAACATACAAGGCTTCGCTCTGTCAACATGAGACATACCTCTCCTGAGCCCTCTACCGGCCATAAAAAGCCTCGTCCATCTGCAACTCTCCGCGACTGGAGTGCTGGGTGCAGGGCCACCTGTACCGTAGGTCCACAGCCACGCTTCAAACCTCACCAGCGCGTTCACACTCTGTCACTGGGGCAATCCCGAAGCCCAAAACCCTCTGCGAGAAGAATATCGCCACAAGCCCAAAACCCTCTGCGAGAAGAATATCGCCACAAGCCCAAAACCCTCTGCGAGAAGAATATCGCCACAAGCCCAGGTGATGTCCAGATGCTCTCCTGCCAGTTCTTTTTCAACATGCAGGCTGAGAGATCAAACTCACAATCATCGCCATCCCAAGCTCTCATGCTCGGGAGAGGGATGCAAGTCACAGACATGAGCCCTAAAGCGCAACCCTGAAAAATGCTGGGGGGCAATCCGTGTCCCTACGGCCCTACGGGCGTGGACATGGAATCACATAGGGGCCTGAATAAATAGAATAGGGCTTCGGAGATCTATTCTGGCTTGCAGCTTAAGTCAAAATGTACGTAAATCAACAACAAATAGAATTTGATATACATACATACATACATACATACATACATACATACATACATACGTACATACATACATACATGTATATATATATATATATATACATGGTACCCCCCCCCCCAAGTACCTAGGTCTCATTTTCTTCCCTATCTCAGATACCGGCCTCAGATGACTTGCCTCTTGGAGGGTTTAGGGTTTAGGAGTGAAAGTGCCGCACTGTCCCTAAAAAACCAATCCCAGAAGCCGGAAATGCTGTACTGTCCCTAAAAAACCTAAATAACCAATTCTGCTGGCCTATACAGACAGGCTCTCTGCCAAAGATTGGTTTTTTAGGGACAGTGCGGCACTTTGAAGGCCTGAGGTGCTGAAAGTGTCGTACTGTCCTTAAAAAACCCATCTTTGGAAGAGGGCCTGGCTCTATAGGCTACCAGAATTGGTTTTTTTAGGTTTTTTTAGGACAGTACGGCACTTTCTGCTTCTGGGATTGGTTTTTTAGGGACAGTGCGGCACTTTGAAGGCCTGAGGTGCTGAAAGTGTCGTACTGTCCTTAAAAAACCCATCTTTGGAAGAGGGCCTGGCTCTATAGGCTACCAGAATTGGTTTTTTTAGGTTTTTTTAGGACAGTACGGCACTTTCTGCTTCTGGGATTGGTTTTTTAGGGACAGTGCGGCACTTTGAAGGCCTGAGGTGCTGAAAGTGTCGTACTGTCCTTAAAAAACCAATCTTTGGAAGAGGGCCTGGCTCTATAGGCTACCAGAATTGGTTTTTTAGGTTTTTTAGGGACAGTACGGCACTTTCTGCTTCTGGGATTGCTTTTTTAGGGACAGTACAGCACTTTCAGCCCTTCAGATCCCCAAAGTGCTCTACTGTCCCTAAAAAACCAATCTTTGCGTGACGGCCTGCCTTGTATAGGCCTCCAGAATTGGTTTTTGGTTGTTCAGAGAGACCAGTTCAGCAGAGCACAGTTCAGCAGCAATAAAGCTAATTCAACTATTTGTTAAAAACTGCGATGTAAGTCACATTTTATCTAATCGGTGTAATGCCTAAATGACGCGACGAGGTCAAGTTTCCTGATAAGTAGGCTTTAATTAATCTAATTTGCTTTACAACTGTCATTCATTTAGTCTGGTTGAGGTAAAGGTAAAAAAAGGATAGACATTTAGTTAGTTGAATGCTATCTACCTCTTAGAATAAGAAACTAAATGTAGTTTTTTCTTGGGAAGGCCTATTAAAGTATTCGTTTAAAGTAATTAATCTAGTCAAGCTGAACCAATTGAATTGTTGTTAAGGATCGTGGCTTGTTTATTTAAACTATCGAATTCGTTTAGTTAAGGGTATACTAATTAGTTTCATTCATTTGCTTCACCTTTAAGTAAACTAAATCCACAATTGAAATGATTTTGACTACATTTATATCAGCAAACAAAAGGCCGTAGTTACTGTTCTTAGTAAGTTTAGTTCATTGAATTTCTTTAGTTAATTATTGGTCTACAAATTCAATTTATTTACTTAACCCTTCAGAAGACTAATCAAACTGCTGGAAAGACTTTACGTATGTTATTTCCAGAAACCAAAAACTTTAGTTAAATTAAGTACTGTGCTTGTTCACGAAAAGAAGAAGGAACATGTTTTAGGAGACGGCGCCTCTAAGAGGCCGTGCGAGTAACCACAATTTCTGGGGCTCGGGGTGGGGGGGTGGGGGGGGGGGGGTGGGGTAATCACGTGACTTGGGACTGCACACCTGCAACTCCAAAGCCTGAACCCCTAATCCCCAAAGGCCTAAACCCTTGCTGTTTAATTCGGGGTTTATAAGCAAAACGCGCCCGCGCCTAGGCGACAGCGCAATTTCAAGCAAAAAATGTGTCCGAAACTTCAAAACAAGACCCCCTAGAAAAAACACAACAAACAAACGATCCTTAAACCCAAAAGAATAGTCCAAGCAGTGCAAACCCAAATCCTGAAACCTGAACCCTAAACTTTGAACCTTGAACCCTGAAGAAGAATCAACTTGAGGCCACTTTCAGGATCCAGTGCACAAGTCTGTTGGGTTACAACCAAAGCACAATTCCAGAAAATCATGCCTGCGCTGTGGCGAAAGCACTATTTCGAACCTGAACTGCCGGAGCCATAACGCAGAAAAAACTGCCCGAACCGAAAATCGCCATTTGAAAGTTCAACATGGGGAATGAGCAAAACGTGCCCGCGCCTAGGCGAGAGCTCAAATTCGAGCAAAAAACGCGTCCAAAACTTCAAAAAAAAGGACCCCCTGGAAAAAAACAACAACAAAAAACGATCAGGCTTCGAGCGAAAATGCATTTTTCCGAAAAAATGACCTAACCCTTCAGTGTTTTCGAGCCCTGCAAATGCTGCGGTGATCACGAAAATGTGTGTTTTACTTGGGTTTTGAGCACCCAACGCGAAAAATGTAAACAAAAAATGTGTTCAGTCACACGGCCTCTTACGGGCGCCGCCACCATGTTTTAGCTCATTCAATGAATGCTTAAGTGAAGCCATTAGGTCAGGTTCCCTATTGCGCATTCTGTTTTAATTTATGTAGTGTATGAACAAGTTTAATTACAGGCCTGTCTTTTCTAGCACAGAAGCAAAAACACCTTCAGAAGACTAATCGAACTGTTGGAAAGACTGTACGCATGTTATTTTCCAGAAACGAAAAACTTTAGTTAAATTAAGTACTGTGCTTGTTCACGAAAAGAAGAAGGAACATGTTTTAGCTCATTCAATGAATGCTTAAGTGAAGCCACTAGGTCAGGTTCCCTATTATGCATTATGTTTTAATTTATGTAGTGTATGAACAAGTTTAATTACAGGCCTGTCTTTTCTAGCACAGAAGCAAAAACACGTGTAACATGATTCCGTCGCACGCTGTGTTGCACTGCTTGCTGCGTCTGTCGCCTATGTGTTGGGCAGTATCCTCCATTCCGTTCATGCGATTCAAAACAACACGTTGTTTAGTAAATCCTACGAACAAAACACTCTTTTTTAGTAAAACCTAGGCGCTACGGGGGGGGGGGGTAGCATATATATATATATAGATACATATTCTGTCAAGAGTTACATCCTTGTAGGGCATCTTGGAAATTATTCAGGCCCGTATATCTTCTCTTGCCACCTCCAGAAGCAGAAGCAAGGCCTAAGGCCAGCCTCTGCGGGGAGGGCCGATCGAAACGAACCATTCCAGGCGACCCCACCCCGCATCTCGAGAGCGACCCTCAAAATGAGCTCAGTGCCGAGCGAGATCCTGACACACCTTAAACATCCCTAAACCCCATGAACCCTAAACCCTGAACCCGGACGCGCCAAGCTGAGAAGTTTCCAAGCTGGAAACTCGGCTTACACAGTCCGAACCACTTCAGGCGCTGGAGACGGCTCGTCTGCTCCCGACGCCTCCGTTGCCTCCGTTGCCTCTGTCTGCTTCGGCTGGAGTCGACGACCGAGTGCCTGCCCTGTACAACAAGCTAGACCAAGTAAGACAATGAACATGCTGACAAAGAAGGTGCCACTGAGGTCGGCAAGATGAAGACCATCCTCTTCACTTCTGTCTTCAACTGCTTCACACTGCGACACGGGAAACAAGTCAGAATTCAATCTCTTCATGTCTTCCATGACTCCGTTGGAAAGGGCATAGGTGAAGGCCCATGACATCGTGTGTAGCATGCGATCGCTTACGGGGAACGACACGGGAATGCTCCAGATCAAGTCCCCAACTTTCATGAACTCACAATCATCTCTTGGCCTTCCGGTGTAGTCTGTTTGGCAGCGACCCACATCTTCGGTGATGGAGCCGCTGGCCACATCTGCACAATCCTCCTCCTTCACGTTGCCTGACGGCTGGGTCAATAGCTCACATGGAACACCCACACTCCTACCCTAACCGTTACTGACCCCCGCAGTTCTGAGAACAACACATGCAGTCCATGCGTCACCTGCGTACGCACGGTCGATGGTATCTTGTGGCAGAATCATCGCTTCGCAGAGGTTTGAGAGAAGCATGCGGGGAATTTCATTCGCTGTTCTCCCCGGCACAAAGATGGCGGTGGGATATAAGAATTCGAGTGTTTCGACCAACACACTGTTCACACATATTGGGACCTTCTGAAGAACGGCCTCCTCAATACTGTTCACAGTGCCAACGGCTTGCCTCTCAACCACCAGCATTGATGCCAAGCTTGCAGTGTAGCTTGCAAGGGTCACCAACACAAAGAAGGCAAAAGCAAGACTGAGAAATTTCCGCATTGGGTTCTTCTCGATGTCTTGGCTGCTTTGACCCAAGAGGAAATCATGCCACGTGTTAAACTGCATCTGGGCAAACTCAGTCACGCTCCATGAACAGCCGTTGACTCGATGAGCTTCAACACCATCTTCGAAAACTTGAAGGAGCCAAAGCAACACCGAGACACCGCAAAGGAAGGCACAAATGCCCAACCATCCATCCACCGAGAACGGCATGAATGGCCTCGATATACGAGTCCAAAAAGTCACTTCCTCAAACTTCCTTCGGACGACCAGGTAGAAGTGATCCTGTCTTACCGTAGGCAAAAAGTTGGCAAGCTGATTCCGCTCAGGAGTGACCCAAAGATCTGCGACGCAAATGTCACGGATCCCGACGGCCACGTCATGGACGCAAGCAGTGTACGAGCTGTCAAACTTTTGCCTGCTCAGCTGGCGAAATGTCTGCTACACACTCCCTCATGCTCTGCAAGCACCCCCTGCCCCCCAAACAAAAAAGCTCGCGAAAAGCCACGATTTCGATATTTTAAGGCCCGTAGGGTGTTGAAACTCGAGACTCCTTGCAGTGCCCGCTTTTGCATTATACCATCTTCATGAACAAACCTCGTGACAGACATTCGTGAAAACAACGCCCTGCCCACAGCAGGTCCAATTCTGCATTTCCTGACAAAAGAAGCTTGTTCAACGTGAATTAGGTCAAAAGGGCCGCTTTTGCAAGTAAAGAAGGAGCTATCTGTGAACTTGGTTGCGACGCCTCATGATCATGCAAGCATGGCCATTGCTTGCCTTGGCTGTGCTAACATGCGTGATTGGACGCACCGTCAGACCACGAGCACGACCACAAAGTCGCATGCGCGTGATGCTGAAGAGAAGCAGTCCCCTCGATCTGTCTCTTGCCCTCTCTTAGGTACTGGGGGTATAGCTTCCTTTCCCCCTTCCTCTTGGTCCATGACGCGAATGCTTGACCATGTTTCACCACAAGCACGAAGCCTGGCCTGGATTGCTGGGATGCCCAGCCAGGGATCACCCGAACCACCGGCCGTGGCTGAAAGGACTTCAGGGCTTCATCGAAGAAGTCCCAGAGTGGCCCTCCGAACTTCTCTTGCCCATGGGCATCCGTCTTGACCACCTGCAGGACTACCACGGTAAGCTGCAGCCACGTGCGTCACATGAAGACGGTGCTGATCTGATTCTTGCTCTCCACTCAAGGGTCTCTGCTCTCAAGAGTCCCAAACACCACCCTCCTAAAAAAGTATCTCTACTTGGGAGAATCCTGCAGTCCTGCAAGTTTCATCCCAAATGCATTGGCAGCGATGCAAGCAAGGCACCAGCCAAGGACCCCAGTCATCCACAGCAGCCTTCATGACCTTCCCCGCGACTGGTGCAAACAGCCTGCTCTGGTCATAGACATTCACGGAGCCGCACGTCTCGTAGCCTTGCTGTTGTGCTATGAAACGATCAAGCTTTCCGGACATGCAGCAAGCTCTCTCGCTCTCGCTCTGGCTCTATCTCTCGCTGGAGATCCAGTCGGCGTGAGGCGGAGGGAGGCGTGGGTGTGATGCTTCCTCGCTCGCTCCCTCTCTCTCCCTCTCTCTCCCTCTCTCTCTCTCTCTCTCTCTCTCTCTCTCTCTCTCTATCTATCTCTCTCTCTCTCTCTCTCGCTCTCCCTCTCGCTCTCCCTCTCGATCGATCGAAGTCTTTGCGAGAAACTCTCATCAGTCAGCAAGAATGAGGCAAATTCACAGCTATCAATTGTGAATTATGGTTGTGCCCTACCCTCGGTGTGGGCTTGTTGGATTTTAAGTCAACCAGGCTCCTCGCCTCCTCGCCCAGTGTTCGGCCAATATCCTGGGCCTGGAGAACCCCACCAACCCCAGAGAAGCCCACCGAGAGTCCCGCCAAGTATCCAAGGAGTGCCCACCCCAACCCAGAGAAGCCCACAGAGAATCCCGCCGCCGAGTGTCCCGGGAACGCCCACGCCCGAACTGAAGCCTGCTGCCACTCTTAGGGAAAAAAAAAGACTCCCACCGAGCCACTCAGAGAAGCCTGCAAAGAATCCCGCCGAGTCGCCCAAGCCCACCGTGGGATCCCTGGATCGTAAAATCCTCGGAGTAACCACCTCCGGAGTCCCGCCGACAACTTCAGCCGAAAACGGCTCCCACATCAGGCGTGGGGGGGGGGGGGGGGGTGATGATCGAAGTACATATTTCTTGCTCTTCTTCTGTTCCAGTTTCTTGAACATATCTTCGCCCCGACCCAGAACAATAAGGACAAGGACCAACGCCAGTCAGATGAGATGCTGTAGTAGAGCGACAGATTCACATCAACGCCGCTCCTGTCGTTCTCCCGCGTGCGACAATGCGGCGATGCATCGCTTCCAAGCACCTCACCTGCTGCCTCGCAAAGCGCTTGGTTCATCGGGCATACTGCCTCGGCTCTGACCATCGGTGGGTGGGTGACCAGATCTTGGGATTTTCTGAGAGGACTGTTCATTTTACCTCCAACAACACCAAGGGTTCCAAAGATGAAACGTGCTGCTGAACAACCAGGCTGCCGTATCGATGAAGCACCAGGGGTTGAAACAGTGTGCGCCGGTATTGGACTCACAGCCATCCGTTGTCCTGTTCACGTCATAGGCTGCGCACCCCAGCGTGCCGTAGTCCGCATCTAGGCCTGCTGCAACAAGCTCCGAACGCAGCTGTTCGTAGAACGCCGAGGTGCTGTTGATACAAGGACATTCTGGAGCTCCATGAGTCCAATCAGGGTTGCCGAGGCAGCCATGCGCCCACAGCAGCAGTGCGATTCCTCTCATCAGAATCACCATTTAAAGAGGCGTCGAATCAGCGCGCCAGTTGTGCGGTGACTCCTAAAACTTTGAGCAGACATCAGGAGATTCATCGATACCTTCTGGCTCAAAAATTGGGTGTTCCCAGCCTCCACGAGCATGGACATTGGAGACTTCGACATGTCTGAATATTTGCTGAGGCATTGAGAACAAGAGTTCAAGCTAGGAGAACACTGTCTCAGATTCGACGCACTCCACGCTTGGTTAGACCTTCCGCCTCTAAAACTTCGGAGAACCTCTCACCGAGGCCATGCCCAATGAAGGTAGCCACGACATGCCCCAGGAACCCTAAGTCCGCCTGGCAAGCTCCAATCTGTCAGGACATCCGCCGGACTGTGGTGGAAGACCTGCTGGAAAAAGCCCCAGGAAGGCCCAGCATCCCGGGGCGGGGAAGGGGAGACTGGGAGGGGGGAGGGGACTCTGCCCTCATCGGGTATACATCGGCTCTAAACCTCAAACAAGGGGCATCTTGTTGATCTCTCTTACGTCGGGTGGGGCTTGGTTGCTTCTTCGTGCGTTGCCTGCTTCTCTCAACACCCTCAACACCCTCAAGCATGAAGTTCTCGGCGCAGCCTCTTGCCATCTCCCGTGTGACTGGGGTGGAAGAGATGCGGGGCTTACCGTACACTCCCAGGGGAGCGGCATGCAGCTCCCGCTCGATCCCCCACACCCGTTAAAGGTTAGAGCCCTGCAGACAACCAACCCAGGAGGGGCTAACCCTAAACCCTAAACCCTAAACCCTAAACCCTAAACCCTAAACCCTAAACCCTAAACCCTAAACCCTACCAGCGCGAGGATGTCACAGATGTCCATACAGTGTAGCCTTTTGCTGGTTCGGTCGGTGCGCTGGCTGAGGCTTTGACTGGTGCTCACTGCATGAAAGGATAGGAACCGAAACCAAAGAGGAACCAGGACTCGAAACTGATTCGGGTGGAAAAGCTGTAGCCGCCGTTTTTTGGAAGTGAACGGAACCTCAGAAGCCCTAAACCCCCTGAACCCTAGTAGACCCTTAACCCTAAACCCTAAACCCGAGCCGATCAATCGGTTCCAGCTACAAAATCGAGGGCCTTGCAGCTTCCGGAAGGGAGCCCGGATGCTCAAAGGTTTCAACTTGGCTAATTAAGGAGATTTTTTGAACTTTTGATCGGGATCCTCATAAGATTTGGTCTCTGGGTATTAACGACTCAGACTTGCAAAGGATTTCGGATCCTCGCTCTTGGGGGGTTGCCTGTTGCCTACCGAGCTGGACACTAATTCGCCAGACTTGCTCTCATCTTGGACATCTGTCAATGCTTGCTTTGGTTTTCGTGCTTTGGAGTGATAAAGCTTGCCTTTAAATGTCGTGTCTCTGACTGGTCACTTCTGGGGAAGTAGATATATATATATATATATATATATATATATATACAAAGACTTCATGCCAGCTGGCATCTGCGCATCTTTCTTGGCCTTCTTGATGCTGTCATTGGCATTTGCCTTTCGCCCTAGCAATTCTTGAACGAGTACTGGGTCGCCACCTGCAGCAGCATAGCATAGTGGCGACCATCCAGCGGAGTCCCTCTCCTCGACTCGGCTAAATCCATTCTGATGAAAAAAGTCCCCCAACAGGCTGTTCGCCAACTCCTTGGCGTCACTGGGAGGCACCAAGCCTCGAACTGGCTCTACCGGAAGACCACGGAGGCGAACTGATTGCTGGTTTAACAAATATCGGTAGCCGTGCCAATCTCCATTTTTCAGGTACGAAACCAATCTTTTTCGTATGAGCACCTGGAGGACCTCCCCAATCTTAGCACGATCGCTCTCAACGCTGAATGCTCCGAGCCCGGGTGGGTTGAGCCTGGTCGTGAGCCGTGCTGTCAGGGTTTGATGCTTTGCACTCTCAATCCTAAGCATTAAGTCGCTATGACCCGCAAGCTCCCACATCATCGCCTCAGCAGAACACCAACCTCATGTGGCCCATGTGTGTCGCAGGACCTCGTTGGTGTCAGCATGTCCCAGAATTGGGCACAGGATGAAGAAGAAGTGGCAGCGAGCGATGTAGTCAGGAATGCTGTCTCGGAATTCCTGGATTGCGGACAGGAAAAAAAGTCGTACCAAAGATAGAGCGGTCTTCTTCTCAGCACAGTTGCCGAGACTTTCTTCTGGCTTCCTCTTCCGTATATCAGCTCGGTGTTGGTTTGCACCGAAACCTGGCTTTTGCTGGACAATAGGCTTCTGACCGCATCTTGCAAAACACACATCTGCTTGAAGCCAGGATCTGGATGTTCCAGAGAAGACCATTGATGCGACACAAATACAACCTGGCCCAAGTGAGGGTGAAACTCGACAAGGTCACCACAGCTGAGCAGGTCCTCATGATCCCTGAGCGCAGTCATTGCCAGGAGCTTCTCGATAGGAAGCACATACATCGGGAACGCTGGAGCGCAGACGTCCGAGGGCCTCTTGTCTCGCAAAGCAAAGGCCTGTTGCTCCAGCGGTGTCGGCACTCCACCGAGAGATGCGCAGGAGTACATCGCAGGGTTTTTTCCTAACCCTAAACCCTAAACCCTAAACCCTAAACCCTAAACCCTAAACCCTAAACCCTAAACCCTAAACCCTAAACCCTAAACCACGCATGAGGACAAGCATGTCAGCTTCCCGAGCAGAACCAGTCGCTGCAGGTCGCGTGGACATTTCCCAAAATAGGGGTAACCCTCTTAGAAATTAGAAAAGAAGCCCCTTAAAGGGACCCCCAAAAAGCGTACCCGCATTTTCGGAAACCCCCATGTGCAGAGCCAATCTTAACATAATGGTCACCAAGTCCTACTTGAATCTCCAAGCGTGCTGCAACCTTTGCGCACTCCTTGTAGTGCAGTCGAAACCCAACATGGTGAAACATCGTAAGCCGCCCCCCCCCCCCCCCCCCCAGAAGCTCAGAAACCCAGAGAAGTCGTACTCAGAGATGGACCTCTTCGGCCACCTTGTGGCCATGGCGATGATGCTTCAGAGACTTTAGGGGCTGCAGGGTCCTTCTGAGGCGGTTTCGAGTGCAGGGTTTAGGGCTGTGATGGGTTATGGGCTTTTGGTGTGTGAGGAGTCGCCGCAAGAGCTTGAAGGCTGCGAAACCAATGAGTTGATGTTCAGGATTTCGTACTCTAAACCCTAGAACAAATCTTCGCAGTAGGCTCTAAACGCAATAGGCACCATTTTAGGCATGCGCTGGACTCCTGTTTTGGACATCGGCTAAACTCGGAAGGTATTCCTTTAGGGTTTAGGGATTTAGGGTCTAGGGGGGTTTTGGGGTTTAGGGTTTAGGGCGTTAGTGGTCTTCAAGTTCGACTAGTCACGGTTTTGGGGTGCCCGGTTTGCAGTACGATTGCGATTCTCAAACTCTGGAGATGCATCCTCTCCGCCATCCGTAGATCAATCTCTCTAACCCAAAAACCCCAGACCCCTAAGACCCTAAAACCCTACACCGACACCCTAAGACAGACAGCTTGGGATTTTCCCCCTTATACGAACAGTCCTAAATGGTGGCTATCATAGGGGCGGCGGTACTATAATCCCTGTTAAGGACTGGTTAGTCTAATGGGGAACATCCCAACATCCAGTAGAGTTGGCGCGGCTCAGGGCTGATGCAAAAAGGAAGAAAACCCCCGACGCCCCCCGAAGAGTCCACCTGGCTGGCTATGTTTGGAATGTTACGGGCCGGCAGGTGGCCCTTTCTGTGTCAACTCTAAGAACACCCCTTTAGGGTCGAGCGTAAAACCCTAGCTCCTAAAAGCAAAAACTATAGAACACATTTGTAAAAAAAGTAAAACGAGCCCAAAGTTGGGCTCAACCCTCCTGCCCTTGAGTCCTAAACCACCCCAAAGCCACGAAGCACGAACCTTAAAGGCCGCCAGCCAGACTATAATCAACAAAGCCAACAACGCCTATGCCCTCAAGCTCCACAGCGAAAAATCCCTCCACCACCCTACAGGCCCTACACCCTAAACCCGAAAACCCGAAACCCTCAACCCTCAACGCCAAAACCAGGCTCCTGCGAGGCTCCCGCGTCGAAGTGCTGTTGGGGGGTACCTTGGGGACCCTGAGGAGCCCTGGACTTCCTCCCTCCTCAAGCTGAAACCACCCCCACCCTCTCCACCATCCCCCCACCCCCCACCCTGTTTAGGGTTTAGGGGGTTTTGGGGGGGGTTAGGGTTTAGGCATGAGAGTGGTCCATAATTCTGAGTAGGGCCCCAAGGCACCGGGTCTGCTGCTGAGGAACTTACACGAAGTTAGCATGGAGGCGGTACTATTTTAGCGGAAAAAAGAAGACAAGCCCGACATATTCATGCCCATGGTATGGCAACACAATTTGACAGTTCCTGTCATCGACACCTAAACCGGATGAACATAGTTATGGGTCAAGCTTGAAGCCTAAGCCCTAAGAATGTTAAGTTCCTTAACAGGCATGCGGCTTATCAGGGCTCCGGGTCCAGGGCTTTGGGGCAGGCGGGCTGTGAACTGTGTAGGTTGAGGTGGCGCGAAGCTAGGGATTGGGTTTAGGGTTTTTGGATGGGTTGAGGGCTCAGTGTTTAGGGTTGGAGCTGCTTACATGCCACATCTCATCGTAGCCCTAAACCCTAAACGCCAAGCGCAGCTTTTTGTCCTGCCTGGCCTTAAGCTCACAGTACACGCGTATCATATTGAGAAAACAATGGGAGGCTGTCGGATAAGAGCTGGTTCTGCCGGCATGATGCAAGTGAGCGATGCCACCGACTTAATGGGATTCAGACTCCTATGCTACTCAATTTAAGGGGTCTGGGGACCTTGTTTTGGTTAAGGGGGTGGTTTGGGTAACCCGAATGACTGTAAAGCTCCTTTTGCTGCAGAGGGCGACAGGCGACCGAATGACCAAACCCGGATTTCTAAAACCCCCAAAACCCTATAAACTGCAGAACCGCCCAATCCCCCCCCCTACCTTTAGAATCCAGGGTTTAGGGTTACTAAAGCCCCTACACCCTAGAACTCCCAAACCCCCTGCACCACTTAAGCCCCACAGACCCTGCTTGCACGGCCTGCACCATGAGAGGCAGCTCTTACCCTGATAGCACTCTCTTGGCTTCACCACCATCAGCGTCAAGTCCCGAAATTACTACAGGCTTCAGGGCAAAGTCTCCACTGATACTTCTGAAGGTTTGTGTAAGGCTTATCGGCGGGCTTGTAACTAGAAAGTTAAACCGTACTAAACCGTTAAACCTCCATCAACCACAAAGAAGTTACCCTTTCAACCCATCGGTCAGGTGCCCTGACGGAAGTCGTCGCGTTCACTTCATGGCCTTCATCACCTTCATGACCGCCATGGCCTTCATCGCCTTCATGGCCTTCATGACCTTCATAGCCTTCATGGCCTCGGTGCTGTGTGGGCTTAGGGATATGGCGTCTCCTCGGGTTTATTCTAGGCCTGCAGGATTGAGAGGGTCAAAACAGGTTGAAAAGCGGGTGGGGTGGCTAAAGAAGCAAAGTGTCATTCAAACTAGAGGCCCTTCGTCAGTAGCAGAATTAGCCCCTAAGATGCACTAAATAACCAGCCCAAGTCATTAAATTGCATCGCGTATTGCACCGTCTTTTGATTGAGCTATAGTTTCGCGACTTTATTTCACATATGTGACCACAGTTGTATCGGCATATTATGTTAAGCCACTCACCGTTTTCAGTTGGGAAACTGGCCAGGAGAATAGTTCATTAAACAAGAAGCATGTCTTTCAAGCTAGAAGCCATTTCGTAGTCACAGAATTCGCCTAAAAATAGCCCAAATCATTAACTTGTTTGAGAAAGTTCTGCTTTCACGCTTTAGCTTCTCATATTTGACCCACAGTTATCTGTATGTATTTGACAAGCAAGAACATGTAGAAATGTCGAGTTATCATAGAACTACTTCATTTTTCATCCGCGAAACTGAATCACACGTTTAATCGCCCTAAGCTGTTTCACACATTCTACACGTACTTCATTGAAGTGACCTCCAGAGCTAGTCTCTACGATGAAGAACTAGGTACTCTGCGACGTAGCTTTAGATGCCAAACGTGGTCCGCCAAAGGCATGTGGTGTTAGGGTTTTAGTGTTTCAGCCCCGCCAACACAACTGCCTAAACTCGAGTTCAACCCTCAGAGCCCTCTTCTCTTTGTGCAAAAGAAGCGGCCTTGGTCCGGGCGCCCTGTTTCGCCCCCATCTTGGCGATGAAAGTGCGCACGGCCTTGTCCCCCGCCGCGGTGAACTTGTAATTCTGGCGGGCAGAGTGGGCTGAAGCTTCGTCTCTCAACCCTGTGGTGTAGGGATTCGGGATGATTCGGGTGACCCCCCCGTGTGCCGAATGCTTAGGGTTGCCCTCGCCGTTGAACAGCCCTCTACAGAACCTTAAATGCTCTTGGGAACCCCTTCAGAGTCATCCTTCGAGATCTATAAATGCTCAGTTTTCCGGCGGCATACAAAAACGTACCCTAAACCCTAAACCCAAACCCTAAAACCCCAAACCCTAAACCCCAAATCCTAAGTCCTAAGCTCCTAAACCCAAAAAAACTAGCTTTCAAGAAAGGGTCTAGAGCCTTGGACTCAAGGTGTTCTTCATAAGGGTATATAAGCCTCTTTCAAACTACAGAGTCTGATCTAAACTTTCTGCAAGAGAAGAGCTCCGAGGCCTTGCGCACGTAGGCCATGGTACCCTTCTCCATCGCCGAGTACGTTGAGCGGCCGTCCTTCGTGGGGCGGCAGGCCCGGCAGATGATCTTGGCGTCCTGTGTTTTGGGAGGGGTTGGTCCCTTCTGGAGGGGGCTCCTTCTTAATTTTCTTAATTTTGAGGGTTTAGGGGGGCGTGGGGGGGTGGGGGGGTGGGGGGGGGGTCATCCTCATTTTCGAAACTCCAATTTAAGGCTCTCCGGGTTTAGGGCTGCAGGCACTCAGTTTCGAGGCCAATGGCGCTAGATCGACTTCACAAGGCCTTCTGGGAGATGCGGCCGTCTCCTGCTCCCTTCACAGCGATGTCCGCAGCCTTGAGAATCGTGCGGTCGTACTTCTTGCCTGCTCGGGCAGGTCTCAATGTGGTCGGGGATTGTTGCAGCAGAACAAACGAGCATAAAAGAGCACAACACAGGCTATACAAAATTCAGTCCAGTTTGCCCTTGATCGTCTTCACGCGGCCATAGTCAATCTTGCGGTACTGGCCCTTGGTGTTGCGAGAGATGAGCTTCTTCATGGCCTTCTTCATCACCGCCATGGCGAAGGTGCACAGAGGTATGCTGTGACGGGAGCTGAAGCCAAACTTAAGTAATTAACTTTGAGCCGAGCAACGCGGCCCAATTGAGACTTCGATTTAAGACCCAGGGCTAGTCAGAACAAATGTTGAAACATACAGGGCTTCCGAAAATAGGGGTACCCCAAAATATACCCAATCTTACCAGAATCATCCTTTTTTAAAGAGCCCCAAGATGGTACCCCCGATTTTTGGAAACCCCCGTACGAGCACTTGCCATCGCTCAACTATCGAGAATGCCCCGAAGACCGCCATGTTGTTTGCGGGCGGGCTGCTGTGCACCTCGGCCTGCAAGTAGGTAACCAGCCTGACACAAAGCACAACGGGAAACAAATGTATGATCAACAACATGGTCAGAGGCCTAAGAGCAACTTCTGGAACTTCTGGACATGAAAAGAGCATGAAAAACAAAGCAGCTCTATATCCATAAGCCCGAAGTCCTAAACCCTGAGCCCATCTACCTACCATGGTGAATCCCGGCAGCTGGTGAACTTTCGATTGGGTTTAGGGCAGTTTTGGGATTTGGGTTTAGAATTTGCAGCTTTAGGGCTTGCCCTGCATCTTCCTGGCCGGAACTGTCCTGCACAAGCTGCAGGACACCTTGAATGCTCGGGCGCTCGGGCTAGGCACTGCTAAGCATGTGATTCAGGAACTGTGCTGCTGCAGCAAACATGAAGAGTGCTTCGGCTTGCTGATTCCAACCGTATCTGCAAGTACTTGGTTCTTTGGCTGAATTATATAAGGCTTGAAAGGGTAACGGTTTAGGGCTTGAAGGGCTTCAGGGCTTTCAAAGGTTCAAAGGGCTACGGGTAAAGGATTTGGGGGTGGGGTTTGGGGTCTATAACCTGCGTGACGCATGCGCCATGCGCCATTGGCCTTGGAATTCGTTTTGGTACCACACGCTTCCTGTAGCCTGCAGCACTTCAGTAGTTTGTGTGGATTGGTTCTCCTGTTCCGCCATCAGTCCAGGTGCAGCCTGAATACCGTTGGCAAGCTTCGGTGTGCTGCGCCTTCGGCAGTTGGCGCAAATGAGGTTTACCCGCGCCGCAACTCCATGAACCCAACAGAAAGACATGTTCACCTGACTCTGCTTTTCCTGTCTGCACTGGTCAATAAGCATCAATCCTGCGCAAACAGCCTCCCGACAATAGCCTCGACTCCTAAACGTTCTTCAATACAAAGATTCAACACCTGGCACTCGACATGAGCTCGGCAAGCTGTTTACCAACTTTACAACACATTGCTTCGATGCTATTAAACTTTTCAAAATTGTTTGATGAATCAAATTCATTTGTTAAAAACAATCTTGCTTCTTTAATGATTCAAGCGAGAAGCAGGTGAACATTCCCAATTGTCTCAGAATCTCCCTTCGCTATGAGCTTTGCCCGGAACGAACAAAATTCCTCTAAATCCGCCGAGGCCTCGGGCCGAAGGTGTCTAGGTTGTCAGAACAGGCACCCCCTCTAGATCCTGTTAAGGTTTTCAGCCACATGTCGGCCCCCTGTTTTTGAGAGCTGATAGTTTGCCGGGACCAGGGTGCACCACCCCTCGCCTCACCTCCCCGGCAACCCCCCCCCCCCCCCCCCCCCCCCAGCTGCCAACCCCCCCCCCCCAGCCACCCCTAATTCTTTGAGCGGTTTTGCAGCCTAGGTTCCCGATTCAGGAGCCCGTATCTGGCAGCCCTTATCTGGCCTTTTATTGCCCTGGAATGTGTACGTTTTGTAAGCGACAAGTGTGCGGTTCCCCTGGGCCCGGCCGAGGCGGGTCGCGTAGCGTTATAATTAAGGTTTCAGGGCGTAGGGAACCCCCTAAGGGACTCTGATTTAAAGAACTGCCATAGACATGAAAGCCCGCTTGCAGCTGCTTTTTTATGAGGGTAAAAAGCTCTCAAGAGGTTCGTTGGTGGTCTGGTGCACCAGTTTGCCGTCTCGCCGGCTCATGCGAAGACGGGAAGCCCACTTGCGACAAATGGGCTGCCAAAAGCCACTCAGTATTCGTCTGAATGCTGTACAATCAAAAATCCAGCTGGACTGGATAAGCTAAGAACTAATAACTGACTGTACTTCATCTGAATGCTGTACAATCGAATCCGGTTCGCAACGCGGTTTGTGCACCAGTCACGTTCACCTGCTGCATCATGACAATGCCCTGCAGCCAGCTGGGGATTGGCGCCAACCAAGTCAGCCAATATGCCACTGTTTGGGCCTCAACATAGCTTTTATGCTGGCGGTAGCACAGAGCCGATTCCCAAGGAGCCGTGACGTCCTCGGTGTTCGATCCTGTCGGGATGGTCTGGCACGCGTCCAAGTACTGGTAGCAAGAGACCGAGTAGCCAGTTTGCCAGCCACATTGCTGCCAGGAGTCCCCATATGCTTCTCCAGTACACTGCGTGCATTGCCCCTGTAGGCTGCAGCACTTCACTGTGGAAGTGCTTTGAGCAGAAAAGGCCGCCATCCTTGCTTTGTAGGACTCGGTGGCGCGCGCATACACGCTCATGGCGTAGCAAGCGGTGATGGTCTGGTAGTTGAAGCGATCGCCTTGGTCCCTATACTTCAAAGACCCCATGAGATTGACCATGACGGACGAATGCAAGGAAGCAAACTGCGACAAGTAGGCGCCCGCAGTCGTGTTGATGGAGTAGTTCGCCATAAACAGGGGGATGTCGCCAATCATGTCCTGGTAGATGCGGAAGAGGGTATCATACATCTTGGTCTGCGTCGCGTTGCTCATGCTCTTGACGCTGCCGTTGGGGAAATGCTCGGAATCCTGGTAAGCCGAGGAGTTCATGGCCCAAAGCCGGCCCTGATAACCCTGGATCCTGGCAGTCCAGAAGGTGTCAAAGGCTTGGTTCAGCTGCTGCTGCACAAAGAACTGCACGAAGGGCTTGATCTCCTGCCACACGCACTTGCCCCAATCCGTCGTGGCGTAGGTGCAGGGGTTGGTGGGCAGCCCACCTTGCTGAGGAAAGAAGACATCCAGAGCAGCTCCCATCCAAATGAAAGCCACAGCACCGGGTAAGGGAAGAAGGTCCGCTCCAGCAAGCACTGCCTGCAACGTGTTGAGGGCCGCTGCTGCTCCGGCTTGGGCGGCCTTTGCCGCGTAGGCTGCCCCCGGGTGTTGCTGCTGATATTGGATGACATCCACCGCACAGCCTTTTGGGGAGCACTGGAGCTGCGAGAGATTCTGGGAGAGGTTCTGAAGCTGTTGCGAAGTTTCGTTCAGATCACTCTGCGGACCCTCCGGATCCGTCTCCTGGCCATTCTGCCCAGTGAGATCTCCCAAGGTGCACAGGTTATCCAGCTGGAGCGTGATCGAGCGAAGCCCTGGAGATGATTGCACGGGCCAATCCGCAAACATCTTGGTGGACAGGCTACAAGCGAGCTGCCTTGCCATGCAACCCAAGTCGTTGGGGGAGCAGCTTTGCTCAACCATGTTGACCCCCTCCAATTCCACAGCGCGCTTCTCGTTCGAGGCAATCCCTCTCAGGGAGCCCTCCTCTGCCACGGCACCGCCTATCAGCCAGACCAACGCAGCAACCCCGAAGGACTTGCAGAGCAACGGCATGGCGCTAACTGCCAACTGCCAACTGCCCCGTTAGCCAAAACAGCTTGCAAACAAGGCCTTCAGGATAGTGTGTGCAAGCACGATCCAACTTCCCTCCCTGATCTCCCTGACACCTACTCAACCTGCACATGAAAGCCCGCTTGCAGCTGCTTTTCCATGAGGGTAAAATGTTCTCAAGAGGTTCGTTGGTGGTCTGGTGCACCAGTTTGCCGTCTCGCCGGCTCATGCGAAGACGGGAAGCCCACTTGCGACAAATGGGCTGCCAAAAGCCACTCAGTATTCGTCTGAATGCTGTACAATCAAAATCCGGCTGGACTGGATAAGCTAATAACTAATAACTGACTGTACTTCATCTGAATGCTGTACAATCGAATCCGGTTCGCAACGCGGTTTGTGCACCAGTCACGTTCACCTGCTGCATCATGACAATGCCCTGCAGCCAGCTGGGGATTGGCGCCAACCAAGTCAGCCAATATGCCACTGTTTGGGCCTCAACATAGCTCTTATGCTGGCGGTAGCACAGAGCCGATTCCCAAGGAGCCGTGACGTCCTCGGTGTTCGATCCTGTCGGGATGGTCTGGCACGCGTCCAAGTACTGGTAGCAAGAGACCGAGTAGCCAGTTTGCCAGCCACATTGCTGCCAGGAGTCCCCATATGCTTCTCCAGTACACTGCGTGCATTGCCCCTGTAGGCTGCAGCACTTCACTGTGGAAGTGCTTTGAGCAGAAAAGGCCGCCATCCTTGCTTTGTAGGACTCGGTGGCGCGCGCATACACGCTCATGGCGTAGCAAGCGGTGATGGTCTGGTAGTTGAAGCGATCGCCTTGGTCCCTATACTTCAAAGACCCCATGAGATTGACCATGACGGACGAATGCAAGGAAGCAAACTGCGACAAGTAGGCGCCCGCAGTCGTGTTGATGGAGTAGTTCGCCATAAACAGGGGGATGTCGCCAATCATGTCCTGGTAGATGCGGAAGAGGGTATCATACATCTTGGTCTGCGTCGCGTTGCTCATGCTCTTGACGCTGCCGTTGGGGAAATGCTCGGAATCCTGGTAAGCCGAGGAGTTCATGGCCCAAAGCCGGCCCTGATAACCCTGGATCCTGGCAGTCCAGAAGGTGTCAAAGGCTTGGTTCAGCTGCTGCTGCACAAAGAACTGCACGAAGGGCTTGATCTCCTGCCACACGCACTTGCCCCAATCCGTCGTGGCGTAGGTGCAGGGGTTGGTGGGCAGCCCACCTTGCTGAGGAAAGAAGACATCCAGAGCAGCTCCCATCCAAATGAAAGCCACAGCACCGGGTAAGGGAAGAAGGTCCGCTCCAGCAAGCACTGCCTGCAACGTGTTGAGGGCCGCTGCTGCTCCGGCTTGGGCGGCCTTTGCCGCGTAGGCTGCCCCCGGGTGTTGCTGCTGATATTGGATGACATCCACCGCACAGCCTTTTGGGGAGCACTGGAGCTGCGAGAGATTCTGGGAGAGATTCTGAAGCTGTTGCGAAGTCTCGTTCAGATCACTCTGCGGACCCTCCGGATCCGTCTCCTGGCCATTCTGCCCAGTGAGATCTCCCAAGGTGCACAGGTTATCCAGCTGGAGCGAGATCGAGCGAAGCCCTGGAGATGATTGCACGGGCCAATCCGCAAACATCTTGGTGGACAGGCTACAAGCGAGCTGCCTTGCCATGCAACCCAAGTCGTTGGGGGAGCAGCTTTGCTCAACCATGTTGACCCCCTCCAATTCCACAGCGCGCTTCTCGTTCGAGGCAATCCCTCTCAGGGAGCCCTCCTCTGCCACGGCACCGCCTATCAGCCAGACCAACGCAGCAACCCCGAAGGACTTGCAGAGCAACGGCATGGCGCTAACTGCCAACTGCCAACTGCCCCGTTAGCCAAAACAGCTTGCAAACAAGGCCTTCAGGATAGTGTGTGCAAGCACGATCCAACTTCCCTCCCTGATCTCCCTGACACCTACTCAACCTGCACATGAAAGCCCGCTTGCAGCTGCTTTTCCATGAGGGTAAAATGTTCTCAAGAGGTTCGTTGGTGGTCTGGTGCACCAGTTTGCCGTCTCGCCGGCTCATGCGAAGACGGGAAGCCCACTTGCGACAAATGGGCTGCCAAAAGCCACTCAGTATTCGTCTGAATGCTGTACAATCAAAATCCGGCTGGACTGGATAAGCTAATAACTAATAACTGACTGTACTTCATCTGAATGCTGTACAATCGAATCCGGTTCGCAACGCGGTTTGTGCACCAGTCACGTTCACCTGCTGCATCATGACAATGCCCTGCAGCCAGCTGGGGATTGGCGCCAACCAAGTCAGCCAATATGCCACTGTTTGGGCCTCAACATAACTCTTGTGCTGGCGGTAGCACAGAGCCGATTCCCAAGGAGCCGTGACGTCCGGGATGGTCTGGCACGCGTCCAAGTACTGGTAGCAAGAGACCGAAAATCCAGTTTGCCAGCCACATTGCTGCCAGGAGTCCCTATATGCTTCTCCAGTACACTGCGTGCATTGCCCCTGTAGGCTGCAGCACTTCACTGTGGAAGTGCTTTGAGCAGAAAAGGCCGCCATCCTTGCTTTGTAGGACTCGGTGGCCCGCGCATACACGTTCATGGCGTAGCAAGCGGTGATGGTCTGGTAGTTGAAGCGATCACCTTGGTCCCTATACTTCAAAGACCCCATGAGATTGACCATGATGGACGAATGCAAGGAAGCAAACTGCGACAAGTAGGCGCCAGCAGTCGTGTTGATGGAGTAGTTCGCCATAAACAGGGGGATGTCGCCGATCATGTCCTGGTAGATGCGGAAGAGGGTATCATACATCTTGGTCTGCGTCGCGTTGCTCATGCTCTTGACGCTGCCGTTGGGGAAATGCTCGGAATCCTGGTAAGCCGAGGAGTTCATGGCCCAAAGCCGGCCCTGATAACCCTGGATCCTGGCAGTCCAGAAGGTGTCAAAGGCTTGGTTCAGCTGCTGCTGCACAAAGAACTGCACGAAGGGCTTGATCTCCTGCCACACGCACTTGCCCCAATCCGTCGTGGCGTAGGTGCAGGGGTTGGTGGGCAGCCCACCTTGCTGAGGAAAGAAGACATCCAGAGCAGCTCCCATCCAAATGAAAGCCACAGCACCGGGTAAGGGAAGAAGGTCCGCTCCAGCAAGCACTGCCTGCAACGTGTTGAGGGCCGCTGCTGCTCCGGCTTGGGCGGCCTTTGCCGCGTAGGCTGCCCCCGGGTGTTGCTGCTGATATTGGATGACATCCACCGCACAGCCTTTTGGGGAGCACTGGAGCTGCGAGAGATTCTGGGAGAGGTTCTGAAGCTGTTGCGAAGTTTCGTTCAGATCACTCTGCGGACCCTCCGGATCCGTCTCCTGGCCATTCTGCCCAGTGAGATCTCCCAAGGTGCACAGGTTATCCAGCTGGAGCGTGATCGAGCGAAGCCCTGGAGATGATTGCACGGGCCAATCCGCAAACATCTTGGTGGACAGGCTACAAGCGAGCTGCCTTGCCATGCAACCCAAGTCGTTGGGGGAGCAGCTTTGCTCAACCATGTTGACCCCCTCCAATTCCACAGCGCGCTTCTCGTTCGAGGCAATCCCTCTCAGGGAGCCCTCCTCTGCCACGGCACCGCCTATCAGCCAGACCAACGCAGCAACCCCGAAGGACTTGAAGAGCAACGGCATGGCGCTAACTGCCAACTGCCAACTGCCAACTGCCCCGCTAGCCAAAACAGCTTGCAAACAAGGCCTTCAGGATAGTGTGTGCAAGCACGATCCAACTCAACATGCACATGAAAGCCCGCTTGCAGCTGCTTTTCTATGAGGGTAAAATGTTCTCAAGAGGTTCGTTGGTGGTCTGGTGCACCAGTTTGCCGTCTCGCCGGCTCATGCGAAGACGGGAAGCCCACTTGCGACAAATGGGCTGCCAAAAGCCACTCAGTATGTCGTCTGAATGCTGTACAATCATAATCCGGCTGGACTGGATAAACTTAAATCCTACTGTATCTCATCTGAATGCTGCACAATCGGATCTTCTGCATCATGGCAATGCTTTGCAGCCCGCTGGGGATAACCCTAGAACGAAACCCCGAAAAGCCCTTCCACCGCGTCAACGCTCGAAAGCCCGCCAGCCCTTTCAAGGCCGATTCCCACAGCGCTTTCTGCTCTCACTGTCAGGCGTCCGTAGGATGACTTTCGTCCTGCATCCAGAGGTTGTATAGTTTAGGGGTTTTGGGCTTAGGCGACTCCAGGGCGTTGCAGGGTTTAAGGGGGCCTTTCAGCAAGGTTTAAGGATAAGCGCTTCAGGGGGTGGGACTTTGTGGGCTGGAGTCTGACCTTGCGGGTTTAGGGGGCATAGGGTTTCGGTTTAGGCTCCGCTGGACTCTGCCCTTTCTGGTCTTAGGGGCTTGGGGTTTAGGTTTAGACTCCTGGCAGCGAGCATGAAGCCGTGAAACCGAGCCAGCTCAGACAGGTCACCCTAAACCCCTAAACCCTAAACCCTAAACTCATATAGGTCAGGGGCTTTTGGGGGGGTTTGCTTCGAGGCTTGTTTGGCTTAGAGGTTTTGGACTCTAGGGGCCAGGCTGGGGGGGTTTTGGGTTTAGGGTTTAGCGTTTAGGGTCTCAGGGCTTGTAGGGCCAGGGACTTGAGGCCGGTCAAAAGGTTTAGGGCTCAGGGTTTGTAAGTTACTTATAAGGCCTTTAGGGAGCTCACTCTGGCTCCAAAACCACTGCACCCCTATTCTTGCAAGCAGACGGAACGGCACTGAGTGGAGAAATCGACGGTCTCTGCATGAAAACACACACGCAATGAGAACAGGATGTTGGGGGACCTGGGTGTGCGCCAAACAGCATTCCAACGTTCAACGGAATCTGAACAGTCAAGGGTGGGGTTCAGGGTTTAGGGTTTACCTAAACCCTAAGCGCGTAACTTTCCCCGCATAAGCCCTAAGGCCCCAAGGCAAACCTTGAGCTTCATCGGCAACGACGCCCGAAGCCCAAAGCCACAAGCACAGGTCGGAAAGCCTAAAAATGCTGCTCCAACGCACCAGAACCCCTGTGAGGCCATGCAGCTAAACCGAGAAAAAAAAAAACGCGCGCCAGCACGATGCTACAAGGTCACTGTGGCTCAACTCTGAACATCTGCAAGCTTACCCGAAGTGCCACCCCTTGCTCCCCAAGACTGCGACATCCCGAGTCACCGAGCCTCCGAACATCTCAAAGAAGTCTCCAGGGCATCCCAGCGGAGCAGCGAAGGCAGGGGCTATAGGGGTTGTTGCGAGGCCCCAAGTCTGCGAGAAGCACGTTCCAGCCGAGCTCCATGGCTGACGACACTGCAACCCAGACACAAACCAAGAACTCCTCGAAAAGGTCAGACAGTTAAAAATGGAAATAACAAACTACCGCCCCTGGCCCAATGAACTCTTATAAGCCCAGGAAATGATCGATTGCCTCAAGGTCTTCGTGCAAGCTGACGCTTCGTAAGGTCTATGATATAGAAAATGTATGATATGATACCAATATTCTGTGCAATATCATGCTATAATGAAAACATAATATCATATTGCATTATGGAAAGTATAATACAGCACAATAGAATAAAGTAGAATAGAATTAGAATCAGAATCAGAATTAGAATTAGAATTAGAATTACGTAGAATTAAGAAGAGAAAAGAATAGATTAGAATAGAATAGAACCAGAATGGAATAGAATCTATCATCGTAGAAAACATTAGAAAAACAGAATAGAATAGCGTAGTGGAAGGCTAGAACATGATAAAACTGATCACAATTTCTTGGCTCCTTCCGCGGTCGAACTGTGCACCCCTCGTTGTAGGTCGAAGGCCTACGAAACTATTTTGTGTAAAGCTCGCACATGGCCTTCTTGAGAGCAGCCACGTCCTTGCAGCGCGCTGCCGCTGCTGAGAGCTGCTTCTGAAGCATCTCCAACTCATCGGCCTCGTCGTCCTCTTGGTCGTATGCAGCTTGAAACAGGGCGATGACCTCGTCCTTCGTGGGCTGATGTGGGTTCGTAAGGCCACAGGCATCTTTCATGGCGTTGTCCGCCAAGGCGGGGAAGTGCTCAACCTTCACCTCCTTGAAGGCCTTGAGATTCTTGGGGATGCCGACCCTGTTCTTCAGGTCCTTGATGGCCTTCAAGACCTTCTTGACCGCCAGATCCTTGTCTTCTCCGACCGAGAAGCCTAGGGCTCCGGCGATGTCAATGAAGAGGTGTGGGACGTACTTGGCATTGTACTCCTGCACGGGTCCAAGCAGAATGGCATTGCAGACCCCGTGCGGCAGGTTGTACATGCCACCTAGCTGGTGTGCCATTGCATGCACGTAGCCCAAGCTTGCTGAATTGAAGGCCATGCCGGCAAGGAACTCTGCATACGCCATCATGTCACGGGCCTTCAAGTCCTTACCATCCTCCACTGCAGCGGGCAGGTATGCGCTGATGAGCTTCATGGCATGCAGGGCGCATGCATCAGTCACCGGGTTCGATATGGTGCTGACGTAGGCCTCGATGGCATGTGTGAGGGCATCCATTCCCGTAGCAGCAGTCAAGGACTTGGGCATGCCAATCATGGTTTTCGGGTCGTTGACCGCCAAGGTGGGCGTAACCCGCCAGTCCACAATTGCCATTTTCACATGCCGCACTTCATCGGTGATGATGCAGAAGCGCGTCATTTCTGCTCCGGTGCCTGCGGTAGTGTTCACAGCGACCATGGTTAACATCGGCTTGGTGCTCTTGTCAACACCCTCCATGGCCCGAATGTCCCCTCCATTCGTGGCTGTTATGGCAATGGCCTTTGCACAGTCATGTGGAGAACCACCTCCGAACGAGAGAACGAAATCACAGTTTTCCTGCTTGACCAGCTTCAGACCATCTTCCACCTGACTGACTGTTGGATTTGGCTGGCAGCCATCGTAGATCGCGAAGGCGATGCCAGCCTCTGTGAGCACGTCCGTCGCCGCCTTGACAGCGCCCACCTGGGGGTTTACGAAAATGAGGGACCCCCAATGTAGACACCCCAATAGTAGGATCCCCTTACAATAAGGACCCCAATAAGCTACCCCTTATTTCGGCAACCCCCCACCTTGACCAGCACCGCATCGGTAACAATCAAGGCCTTCTTGTGCCCGAGCGCCTTGATCTGCTGCACTGCGCCACGCAACGCCCCCTCGCCGAGCAGGGACTTGCTGGGCATGAAGAAGGTCGTACCTTCGTCCCCCGGACTCTTGTGGTGGTAGTTTAGGCCATGGGCACCCTGAGTCGTGTGCCCCGCGAGGTCTTCGCTGATCGCGTTCGCCAACTCCTGGCTCGCGGTCCTGGCGTAAACAGCGTCCATGTTCTGTGAGGAGCCCAGGAGAGCGGAACCGTGAAGCAAAAGCTCGAGCCGGCAAAGGGGTTGCAAGGAATTGCAAGTACATGTCAGCATCTTTGCACACGACTGCATCGGACCACAGATAGATACAGTTAGATGCGTGTCGCACATCTTGTACGCGCAGAAACGCTCTGCAGGTGGAGGAGTACAGAGACACAGCACTCACAACCACCGGCCCTACCCGAAAAACCTCTCTATCAAAAGACCTTCGACCCTATGAACACTGCAAGCTCTATGAAAATACCCCTTCAACCCTCTGGCCTCTGACCCTCTACGCTCTGTAAACCCTACCAGCAGCCGGACAGAAACTTCAACCCTCTAAACCTGTACACGGTCTGAAAGACTCCCTCGAATCCAGAAGCCCTGCCATCGAAAACCTCTATATCAACCATCTAAACCCTGCAAACAAAGCCTGCAAGCCCTTTCAAAACCACCAGGTCCGGGCCCATTTTTCAGCACGGCTGTTGCTTTCACTGTTGGGCGTCCTCGGGATGGCTTTCGTCCTGGATCCAGGGGTTCTAGGGTTTAGGGTTTAGGGTTTAGGGTGGCCATAAGGAGGCTCCAGATTCAAACAAGGTAGCCCATGGGCCAACCCGATTCGATGTAGTAGGTTTGCGTAGGTCAAGCCATGAAGGAAAGCTTCGGGCCTTACTGGTTTAGGGGCTTAGGGTTTAAGATTGCCGGCAAGGCCACGAAGGTCTCAAGCTTTATGGGCCTTGGCTTCCAGCAGGAAAACAAGAATAGGTTGTAACCACGTCAGGGGGGTGCAGTTTGGAACTTTACGACGAACATGACAGGCAGTAAGCTCGCTTGTTTTCAGCAAACACAGGAGCCGCAACCGCCTTGGCCTGTCTGACAGGCCTCTGAGAGGCCCTAGTATGCAAAGGGCCTTTAAGGGTCGAGCAGCCCCCTAGTCTGTTTACGGCTTGGCCTGTCTGAGACGAAAAAGGATAAGGAAGCTTCTGGGCGAGAAGTCCCTGGTCTGTTTGTGGCTTGGCCTGTCTGAGAGACCCTAGTAGGCCCTGGAGACCTTGGAGAGCAAACAGTCTAGCTTCCCTGGCAGCTGCCTCGTCTATTTACGGCTTGGGAAGTCTGACAGGCCCTAGTAGGCCCTTGACACATTGGAATGACCTTAGTGGCCGTGAGGCAATTCCACAAGAACCAACTGCTTGTCATGTTTACACACAACGGGCTTGTCTTTGTAACGCATTTCTCTTTGTCATTGTAGCCTAAAACCTGCCACGGGCGCAGCTGCCCTTCGGAAAACTTCAGGTTGCCAAGGCCCCTAAAGGTTTCAGAAGGCCGTGGCTTCAGCCTCCAGGAAGGCTGGAAAGCTTCAGGCCTTTCAGCCGTCCAAGCTTCGGGTGTCGGCTTGGGGTTTTTGGGGGGTCTCAAAGGTTTCAGGGCTTAAGGGCCTAGCCCAGGCTCCCGACCAAAAGTTTGTTTGGCGGGTCCCGGGGAGATTCGCCCCAAACGAAAAACCCGAAACCCAGATTTCATTGGGACGGCGGGAAGAGGGGGGGAATTCTTTTAATGCAGGCCCCACTTTGTCATTTTTTGGTGGTGGAGGTGGTGGCGGCGGCGGCGATGATGATGATGCTGGTGGTGGTGGTGGCGGCGGTGGTGGTCCTACTAAGGTATAGTATGGTGGAGGAAAGTACAACATAAGAAGGTTAAGGCAACTCAATAAACATGTGTATATATATATATATGTATTTCAGCATGCCCGTCCTTCGACCAAACCTCCTTCAACAGATCTGCGCAACATCCAGGGATGCCATGCTGACCACACCTGAACCGGAGCAGCGAAGACTTTCGGCTTGCGGCTTGCAGATCGACCTACTGACATGAGTTCAACACCACCCAGAATGACTACAGCCGGACCTGGATGTTTTTTCATCGTCTCTGCACTCTCCCTGTGGAGTCTATGGTGCCGTATTCCCAAAGGAAGTTGCCAAAGGCCACCAAAGGCCATTGCACGCAGCGCGCGCTTGGGCTTCTTGGCAGAGAGTTGCCAGAGCTGGGGCTCGTAGTAATATTGTGTACTGATGTGATCGTATGACTAGATGACTCGGATGATAATAGAAAAACATGACAGTCAAAGTAAACAAAGAATGTCATAACACAACAGGCGGGCGAAAGGGCTACTGGTCTTGCCAGGATATGCGACTTGGAGCCAGGGAGCTCCAACGGCTTCCAAAAAAAAAGCATCTTATTCAAAATTCGGTGGACGCTGTGCATGCCCTCAAGGATGCCAAGGATCACCGCCTAACACCTCCTGCAAGCCAACTGCATTGCAGAAGTCTGATTCAAAAGTTGGCTTCCAGTTGTCTTTCAGACACTGGTAGGCTCAGCTTATGTCTGATGTCGAAGAAGAGCATTGCAGTCCCAAGAGAAGGAGGAGCCTTGTAAACGCACATGATCGAAAGAGAGCTCAATGACATGCTGGCTCCGCCAACTGCAACCAGGGACATTCATACTAAAGCAGGGGTTACTTGAGAAGGGACGGCGTGGGCATTGTCCAGAAGGGCTCAGAGCTTCTCTCCACGGTCTGGAAGATGCCGTTGAACAAGAAATCTGTGAGCGAGTAGGAAGCTCTGGTCGGGAGGTACATGTCTTTTGAGACCCACATGCCCAGTTCCTCCTTGTAGACGCACTTGAACTGGTAATACCTATCGACGAAGACGGCCATAACAACGAGGGTCAACAGGAGGCGCAGTGGGACCACCTGCCTCAAGAGATCGAAGAACTTGGGGCCTTTGGCATGATACGTTGCACCAGCTTCAGCATCTTCTGCAGTACCTGGCGGATCAGGTTCATCCGGGAGTCCCTGCTGGATCTGATCGATGACATTCCGGCCAGCTAGGGTGATCATGCAATCGTGCAGCATCTCGTCGACATTCAAGATGAAAGCCATAGACATGGCGCCCAGGACCGTGTCCAAGATGCCCGAGGTATCCATCAGAAGGGTCGTGCCCTCCAAGAGAACAAAGTAACATAGCGTCACCTTGGGGATCAAAACTGTGAGGCCGGTGATGAGCTTCCAATGGATGGGCATGCCTGCAATACGGTAGCTAACCTGTTGCTGCTTGTCGACCTCGATCCAGTCACACTTGCCAGGATCACTTGGTAGGTACCAGAACATGGCAATCATGCGAAAGCAAACTTGGATCTCGTGGTTCACTGACAGTGCGAACAGAAGCAAGCACAGCCAACGGCAGCTGCGGTTTTCCAGCCCATATTCTCCAGGATCAACCTTCTCATTGATGAGGTCTTCCTGGTCTGGCAGCACATCCAGGAGTGCCTGTTTGGCGAACTTCTGCACGGCCCACTGCGTGTAGCCGTAGAGCCGTGAAGGTGAGAACTGGGTTCCCCCAGGACCGGTGCACCGTGGCAGGAACGGTGCCTCTGGGCCCTCGCAAACATCTAAATCTGCACCGAAGTCGCAAAGGTGCATCTGTCCGCCCAGAGGGTTCATGATCTGGGTGGCTTCACCCACAAACATCACCAGTGCAAACTGCACCAGGTAGTTCAGCCCCAACGCCATGTACGCGCGTATCCATAAGCTGACAAACACGCTCCGGTAGCCAGAGCTTCTGGCAATCTGCGGGAACGCGAAGGCGCTCCCGTACACTGAGCTGGTTTCCAGCTTGAATATTGTCTGAGAACTCTCCACGTCGATCAATCCCTGAGCTGCCTTGCCAATGCCCTCCGAACGCTGCGCCTCCTCTTCACTCCCCGGCGTGGCGATGAGAGTTGCAGCCATGGCTAAGATGTCAATGAGTACAAAATGGATCAGGGATCAACCCTGATTTGAGTTTCGGATCTCTGCACCTTGGACCGGACCGGGCACTGGCAACAGCATTGTCGGGGCAAAGCCAGCAACTCTTCAGCAACTCCGGCTTCCTGATGCAAAAACCCATTGGGGTCTACTGCGATGTTGTGGGCTCGCACTTTCTCTTCGCCAGGGGTATGAAAACCGCACACATTCGTGCTTCATGAGCATACGTGATACTGCGGCAGGCACAAGCGTGCAAAAGGACTGTGCCTGCTGGCTCAAGCTTTTGGAGACGACGTGGGGACTGCTGCACCTCGCACCAGCGTGCACGAAACTGCAGTGTTTCAGGGCTTTCAGGTCTGCCATAAGAATGGTGATGACAATCTTGGGCACGGAGATTCCCCATCAGTCTGCTGTGGAGCTGCAGGTCAACTCGAACATCGCGGTCGGGCATGGGAAGCTTCGTGTTCAGGGTGCCGTACTAAATAGGGGGCGGACCCCAAAACGGGACCGTAATTTCGGAACTACCCAGGAAAACATAGATCTTGGGACAGCGACACCATCGCCACCACCATCGTCAAGCCTCATGCAGGCCGGCAAAGGCAGCTGGCTTTTGGGTTTAAGGCTTATGTGGAGCTGCGCAGCAACTGGCGCTCCTAAGGCGCTTCGGGATTACAACTCATAAGACAAGCAGAGGCGGTGGATACTGTAAACAAGCAGAACCTAGAAACCAAGCAGAACACTGCGAGAACAGGCGAGCGGAACCAAAAGCAAGGGCGCGACCCCAAAATAAATCAACAAACAAATTATCGACTTCGACCATCCTCGCCCTGCAGCCGTATTATAAGGATACTTCGCTGGAGGCTTCGGTCGCAGGACTCTGTGGAATGTTCTGGGGGTGGGTACTGCAGGGATACTTGGCGGGACTCTTTGCGGGATTCTCTGGGGATGCTCTGCAGAGGTTGGGCACTCTAGTGATTTTGGGCGGGACTCGCTGGGCACTCCCGGGATACCAGGTGGGGACTGGGGGTGTACTCCGGGGATGTTTGGCGGGACTCTCCGCGGGCTTCCATGGGGTGTAGGGTTTCGGGCTTAGGGCGGGTTTAGGGCGCTCCTGGGATACTCTCTGCAGGCTGCTCTGTGGGAGGTGGGAGCTCCAGGAAGTGACTTTGTTTGGGGGTTCTTTGGAAGCGGGCACTCCACGGACCAGGCCAGGAAGCCGGGCGGGACGCCGGACAAGGAGGCGAGGAGGCGGAGAGCATGAAAGACTCAACACCGAGAGTAGAGGAAAACAAGCCATGCCTAGAGCCTAGAACAATAAGTTGCCGTTTACAACTTCCGCAAGCCGACCACGCCCCGATCAAAGCACACTCTCTCCGAGCAACTTGCGCAAGCGGTGCATTTTCCTCTGCCCGCCTGTGCTGTACCTGCTTCATCCTACCCTAAACCCGAAACCCCGACAAACCCTAAGCCCTGTTTCCGCATGCCACCGACTCAAAGCCAACAAGATGCGCTCAGGCTGTGGCTGCCGTTTCTTGCCCGTCTGACCTTAGGGGCCATCTTCAAGTCACCTTAAAGCACGCTTGATGAGCAGGGACATGAGGGTGTCCGAAATTCGAGTACCTTCTTGGGATCCTTGTTATAAGGGAATCCTACTATCTGGGATCTATATTAGAGGCCCCTCGCTTTCGTAGACCCCCGCATGAGTTCAAGACATGAAAAGCAGAGGGTCTAGCGCGGTCCAGGCTGTCACCACATCACGCGGACCGACCTTCAGCCGTTTCAAACGGTTTGGGGTTTAGGGTTTAGGTTTAGGGTTTAGGGTGTACGCCAACTTCATGACAGGGGGGCCAAGGAAACGTTGCAAGTAGGCTGGGGATCGCATGCACGGAGGATAGCAAGGTGGCCCAGGGCGTACATTCTGCACTGACCTACGCTTTCCTAGCTTTGCGTATGAGCAGTTCGAACCCAAGCGCACCTGCACCACCGGGACCGTCCGGGACCTGTCAGGGCCCAGAGCAAGGACGGGAAAGAAATCCAACGAGCCAGACGTATTGCAATCAGCAATCCATGCATCCATTGTTTCTGCAGGCACGCAGCTGCAAAGCAGATCCACCCGAGCCGAAACCTAAGCCCAAAGAGCCATCGACGAGTCCAGGACAGTGAAGGTGGAGCATTTCACCAACTTTCAGGAATGCAAGCATGCCAGCTGCGGGAGCTGGGAAAGCAGTTGCACCCTGACTACGGCAGCTCAGTTCAAAGCTCTCGCGACATGACTTGTCCGCTCACCCTGCCAAGGCCACCCCCGTCAGCCATGCAGCCCATCGGTGTGGGTGTGGACGGCTTCGCTGCCGGCACTGTTCGGCGTGTTCGGACTCAAGCCGGCTGGGGTGTGGCGTATGATGGCGCATGTAGGAGAGGTAGTAGGAAAGCCCGACAGGTGATGGCACGACTACCAACACAAGTCACAGCCAGCGGGATTGTTCCGTGTCACTTTTTGGCTCACGGTGCTGTGTTGCGCCGTGGCTGTCCGAGAGGCACCCTTCTGGATGGCGGTTGCCTTCTTTTTTCCATGAGTTGAAGTTGACGCTTCAGTGAGGCTGCTGGAGCACTAGGGCTTTTCCCCGGGAGGTATGGCCACCAAACTTTGCTCCAACATGTATCTGCACTTCTGCAAGGCATGCTCACATTGAGCTTCCAAACCATCTGGTGCCAAGATTGGATTTTTGAAACGCCTCACGTGCGAAAGGGTTCGCTTTGATTCCTGGAGCAGCATTTCGTGTGCTGACACGGCGTGTGCCGCATGTTTCTGCATGGCTTCCTGCATCTTGGCAAACTGACGTGCATTTGCAGCTTCATGCTTTGCACGGTGCAGCTTCTGCGAGTCAGACAACAGGCGCAGCACTCCAGCGAAACCGTCCATGGCTTTGCCCATCAGGAGCTGGCACATGCGACGCCAGTGCTCGACACAAGGCGCCAAGGCTTGAGATGCTCGTGTTGTGTGCGCCACGGTTATCAGAGCAGACAATGTTTGTCGAGTCCCACGTGCAGATGCTTGCAAGTAGAGGTACGTGGCAAATCGTGCCCACCAAGCCAGCGCCACTTCGGCTTGCAAGCCAGCCAAGTGTGGCCTCATGGTTGAGTTTTCCAGTGCGATCTGCTGCACGGCTCGCTGTTGAGTGGCTACAGCGTTGAGCACATACTGATTACAGAGTCGGAATTGCAGCTGAGACGTGAAGAGCACGAGCAGCTGCCACCGTCGGATAGCAGCCTCCTGAACTCCAACTGTGGCAACCTCAGCAGCTGCCTTTGCTGTGACCATGTCCATCTCCTCTTGTCTTTGTACTTCCACCTGCTGAAAGTGGAGTTCTGACATCCTTCGTTGAGAAGCTGCCCGGCTGGTGACATTCTTCAAAGCTGTGCCGCTAGCAGCGGACTGCTGGTCGCGCAAGATACCCAAAGCCATCCGGCCCCAGCGTTCCTCACGGGAAAACTGGCGCTCAGCTTCCAACTGCCTCTTGCATTCCTTCAGCTCCGCCCGTAATGCCTCGGCTTCCATTTTCGCTGAAGACATGACCGCAGTGTGCTGTAGAATGCTGGCTTGCCTCTCCTGGGCCCCTTTGGCGTGAAGCTGGAGCACGACCATCCGAGCCCAAACTTCCTTCAGGAAGCGATGCCGCAACTCAGCTTCAGCCAAGCTGGCTGCCTCGCGCTGTATGGAGGCACAGCGCGCCCCCACCCATGATGCAGTGTCACGATGATGAGACGCCCACGCGCTGGGCAGCATTTTCATGTCAACTAGCTGGAACAAGAATCGCGCCCAATCCTGCTCTGCGGCCTTTTGGCCTGCGGCCTTCTCCAGCAGTGCGTCACACTCCTCCCGCAAGTTGCTCAGCCGAGTCCGAGCTGCGCAAGCCATGCCGGCTGTCCCCGAGATGCGATTGCTGATGTCAGACTCCCCGAGAAGCCGGAAAACCAAGCCCACCCATTTCGGGATGATCGCCCACTGTGCGCCGGTGGCCGTCAACTCATGAGTACGATCTCGAAACTTCCTGCCTGCAGTTCCACAAAACTGGGCGAAGGCAATGGAATGCTCAGCCTCCGCGGCTACCCGCTGCAAAGAAAGGAAGAGGCGGGCCCAGCTTCCGATAAGAGCCGATGAAGCAGAAGCCCCTTGCACCGCCTGGGATAACGCAACAACGTGCTTGGAGCGGGCGGCCAAAGACAGGCGGCCCACTTGCGTCATCCGGTCGCTGGCCTGCCACAGCAACACGAACAAACCGACACACGCTCACGATATGAAGATACATTAGGGGTGGACTAACCGCAACCTCGTCGATGCCTGAGTCCGGTCTTCAAGAGCCAAGGGCTTGTCTGCCACCCCAACGCCACCCTCCCAGAAGCCTTCCGAGTCTTTCCGACAAGCTAGAAACCAGTGGCCCAGAACCGGAATTTCGCTATGCTGAGAAGGCGCCTCTCCAAGCCTCTGGAACTCTCTAAGAGCCACAAAGGCCTTAGCTACCTTAGTTGAAGAACCTTGGCGACGCTATGGGTATGAAACCTGCCTGCAGAGTCCTTCAGACGGCTGTTGTGCAAAAACCTGTGGGTTGAACCAGCCGCTACATTTTTCAAGAAGCAGTGTCGATATCAGAGGGAACCGTGTACGAAGTATTGAAGCATCCCCTTACTGCGACGTAACGATTGCTTTTTCGGAACTACACAGAGCATCCCCCCTTCCTGAACATGAATCCCCCAAATGCCTGACATCTCCTGGCATGGGTCGGCTACAGCGAACAGTATTGTTCCCAACCCCCCTCCCAAAGATAGAAATTTCCAACACCACAGCAGTCAACCAGGAGTACAGAGGAGAACACGGGGAACACCTCGGTGGCTCTTTCCATCTGCTATTGAAGGCAAACTCGGCATGCGGGGGCGCCTTCTCTTCCGACAACAGCTTGGTGCACAAAGAAACCCATCGAAGGTCCATGATCTTTGACATGCGCATGTTCCGCGAGTCCTGCCCCACCCCCACGCCGTGGGCCAGTCGTCACTGGGGCAGACCGTTTCAACCTGCACATGCCACTTCTAAGCTGTCCTCCTTGATGAAACCCAGCGTTTCAGCCACCTCAGAGCTGAAATCCTGGCAGTGCCACCATGTGCCACCGCATGAATGCAAGCTTTGGTACTCCCGATGCATGCCACTTCATGACAACACACCTTGTAGTCTGAACTCCAGCTGACTCCAGATGCAAACATCATCCAGCCTTTGCTGAGGCTTGCAACACAAGTAGGACATGCAAGGCAACTGCACACAAGCAAGGGCTGTGGTGGTACTGTGGCTGCTTGAAAGCCAGCTGCGATTCAACAGTTGCCAGGAACGAGCCTGCAGCGGGAATCTTCGAGAAAGGGTGGCTGAACTAAGGCTAGCAGCAAGCTCTTCCGCATGTGTAATGTTGACATACCCTAATGATCCTTGCGAAGCGGATTCAAGCAGCGACATGGCCCCGATGCCTCACAGGTTGCCTGCTGAGCTTTGTGCGCCACTTGGTTCTCCACCTGCAATATGCGAGACAAGGGAGGCAACACCTCCACACATGCCGAATTCTTCTTCGAGGACAGGAGAACCCCAGTAAACTCAGTAAACCCGCACTGCGGCACCACATTTGCACCACCCTGCCATAATTACCCTACGGCGACGGCAAAGTGTGAGGAATGGTCCATGCATCCGGCAGAACCGTGGCAGAAACCCTGCCTCTTTTTCTGCTGCAATCTGCTTGGCCTGGCAGGTGTGACCAGTGCGACCTGCACCCTTCTGCATGTTCTAAGAGCTGGCTAACCGAAGGACGCTGAGTTAAGCAGGCCCACTATGTGAAGCGTGAGTTTTGCGTCAGTACTGGCTGGTGCAAAGAAGTCTAGAAACTTATTAGAGCAATCCTTCTAAATACGCGAGGCCATGCCTGCAAACTGGGCACATTTAAACATAAGTCAGCATCATTGCCACTTTGCTCTTTGTGCACAGACGCGCACCGGCCTTGGACAACAATTGTGCAAGGCGAGCCCATGTGCCAATGACCTGCTGGGCAGTTCTGCTGCTTTGTGCACGGCCCTCGTGCGCAAAGCTCAGCATGCACCAACTTCCGGTTCCGGACGGCGACTGTTACGATGGTTACGCATGGCCCCCCTGTACTGTCTGTGTGCCGAACAAGAACAGAAACCTCGCGACAGGAAGTTCAGCTTGTGGCCTGTCGAGTCTTTGACATATCTGCCGCCTCGAAAGTGCAGCACAAGCATCACAGTGTGCCGCTGATGCTTCTGGGCCATGGTGCGATAATCCAAGGCCAGGCAACCTGCTTCATATCTTCCTGCATGGAGATCAAAGCACGGGATGCCCGTGCTTCACGGTCCCTCAGCACACTCGTCACATCGGAGACCATCGCATCCTGCGGCATTCAGGCGCTCAACCGGCAAGTCCCGCTGTGGTCGAACCATCGGCAAGAGGACCCCGATGCCTCCGATCTGGAATTTTGAGCTTGCATCACCACGTGCGCGAGGAGGATCCATCGTTTCAAAACCTTGAGAAGTGCGAACGGCGCGTCACTCGTCGGGATGTTATGGGCATCCAAAACTGCTGCGGCCAACTGCATTTACGTGGCTTTGCTCTCCAAGGCATCCTTGGCCACCTGACGGGATGTGAAAGCGATGGTATAGTTTAGGGTTTGGGGTTTAGGGTTTAGGGTTTAGGGTTTAGGGTTTAGGGTTTAGGGTTTAGGGTTTAGGGTTTAGGGCATAGGGTTTAGGGTTTAGGGTTTAGGGTACAGACAGTGTAGCCAACTCGCAGGTGCTGCGTTCGTCTGTGTTGGCGTGCCTGCTTGGCAGCCTCTTCTGCTGAAGTTAGAGTGGCCATTGCCAGCGTCTGCCGCTTGAGCGTCAGGCGAGATGCATGATGGACCTGCGATGCAAGAGCTGTGCCAGCAGGGGCAACATGCAAGTCTGGCAAAATTCAAGGCATCTAGCTTGCCACATGCCATGCCTGCTCCTGCAATAGCAGACCATTCAGCCGATAAGCAAGCCTCACCCACTGGGTCCTGACCTGGGCGAGAGCGGCCGTATGCTTCTCAACTTCCTCGCCCTCGACCAAGTAACACCAATGATTCAGGGGCTCTGTTGAGCTGTTTGCTAATGGACAAGTACCCTTAGGTTAGTCAGATCAGCTACAAGATGCAAGCACCTCAACTTGCGGTCGGGATACCTGCAGCTTCTCAACATTCCATCCCCGTGCAATGCTTCTGCCCTTGCCTTTCAACGACCTCAACGCCAGCTCGGCCATGCGAGGCCAATTTCTCAGGATCTCGTCAAATTTGTGATCGCATCTCGTGTTCCTGCGCCGTCACACGCTCTGTGATTCGCAACGCTCGCCATGTTTCACAGAAGCGTCCTGACATCCACCAGCTCCAACCTGGGTTTGAATGGTCTGCTGGCGCAAGGCAGAAAAGGACATCTACAAGCTTCTGCCCAGCGTTGCCCAAGTGAGTGAACTGCATCTCACACTATTCCTGACGTGCTGTCAGGGCTCATGGATGTAAGGCGAGCCCAGGCTTGCACCACCCAACTTTCTCGCTCGCCCTGATGCTTGCTTATGACAACCACCAGCCTCAGGATCACGCAGGCGCACCCAATGCCCAAATGCCGGTTCTGCGCATGAACTGAGGACTGAGCCGAGTCCAACCAGTGAGCGCTCTACGAAAGCTGGCGCTGGCAAGGAGTGTAGACTTGTAGGTGTCCTAGACTGCGTGACATTGCGTGCCACTGCACTATGCACTGATAGCTGTCTGGAAGCAGATTGCCCGCCCTCCTCATGCCAAGAAGCAAGCACCTTCCTCTGATTGAGGAAGGCAGCCAGTCGACCCCACCTCCACATCTGCTGGGACGTGCGATATGCTGCGGCTGCCTGCGGTGATGAGGACTTGTCCAATTGTAGGATGATCTTGCAGCCCTGCTTGAAGCTCTTGGCACACAGGGTTTAGGGTTTAGGGTTTAGGGTTTAGGGTTTAGGGTTTAGGGTTTAGGGTTTAGGGTTTAGGGTTTAGGGTTTGCTTTCTTGCAGACGAGCGACAATGTCTTTGGCTTCAGCATCAAACTTGATAGACTGGAGGGCAGCGCCAGCAACAACTGTTCTCATTCTGGCCATCCAGTCGGTTTCTTGCATCCGCTGATTCCAGGCGATCATCGCCAGCAGGCTTAGTTGAGGAACCGAGCTGCAGGATCTAATCGTCCGTGATTGGATGACAGACGCGGATGGGCAGATGATGGCAGATGATCGCAGGTAGCACATCATACAAGTAGCACATGCGAAACAGCACATGCGATGGCAAATGAGCAGCATTTCGGGTTTACGAAAATAGGGGACCCTTAATATAGACCCCCAAATAGTCGGATCCCCTGATAATAAGGGCCCCAAAAAGGTACCCCGCTAATGTCGGAAACCCACACATCATCTTCTCTCAGAGGTACCGTCCCCAGCTTCCCGCTGCTCCGAGAGCTCCAGCGGAGCCTTGGGTTACTGCGCTGGACACAACTGCACGCTGCCTGTACTTGAACACTACTTGCACTGTAGCTGCTGTAGCTGATGATCATATGTGAATATCCAAAGGTCATAATTGTCATAACGTCATCATGTCATAATATCATAAGATGACAAAAACATATGTCATGATCTGTTGATGCAGACCTGGCAGCGGGATCTTGCAGACTCAAGCTCAGCTCTCCTGACAGGAACGCTTTACGGGGTTCTCAGCTGGTGTACAACATGCCCCACAGGTTCTCGGCTGCATCTGAAGGAGGTGATCTTGTCTTTAGGGTTTAGGGTTTAGGGTTTAGGGTTTAGGGTTTAGGGTTTAGGGTTTAGGGTTTAGGGTTTAGGGTTTAGGGTTTAGGGTTTAGGGTTTAGGGCCACCCGATTGCGTTGGCACTTACTCAATTCATCGAGGCTCAGAGTCGCCACATCTCCTTCAGCTTCTGCCACACAGTCCTATGGCATGCAGTTCTCCAGCAGTCTGTAGCAATCTCAGCAATCCACTCTTCACTCACAAAAGGCACGAGTGCGCAGCCCTCTTCATTCTCTTTCTGTGGCAATAGCAAAAGCTTGCACAGCAATAGCTGGTGGCCTGAAGGATACGACATTGCTTCATCACCATCTGCTTCTCCTACCAAACATCCACGTAAGCTTCTGGACAGGGCTAAATCGGGCGGCACATGAACATAAGCAAGCAGCAGCACAAAACCCAACACCCCAAGGCCAAGGCCTGCAGGAGCACTTGCCTCAATTCCTGCCACTGCAAGCCCAGGCCGCCGTCGCCCTTGGATGCGTGACTCGCGACTATGATAAGACGTGAGAGGTAGATCTGGGTCATTCCTTCATCATGGCTTAGGCCATGGCCGAGAACCTTGCCCTGCTATCGGTGCCTGTGTCAGTTCACGACGTTACGCACGATGCTTTCCATGGCACTGACGGGCCTTCATGCTCCAAGAGGTGTTTTGCATCCTCGGGTACCTGACACTGCTCCACCACACTCCGGTAAGGGATTACGACCCGGCCTTCTGGAACCTATGCTTGCCACTCCGACCAGCGCAAGTGCGATTGCGAAAGAAAGCTTGCACACTGGTCCGACATAACATGCCAAGATGCATTTACTCCATCCTCATCTTCATCATCGCGAATTATGCTGATGGTCAGAGAGCTTTTAGAAACCTTACTGGCCCATCAGATGCTGAGGAAATAGTTGGTGAGGAAAGCCGTCTCTGTCTCTGTCTGTCTTTCGGCCTGTCTGTGGAAATAGGTGAGTGTACAACTCTCATAGAGTCATAGTTGAAGGAAACGTATGTAACACACGGCGATTAGGCGGGTTGAGCACTGGTTGCAGGCATGGAGCTTTAATTGCACCCACGGCCAGGTCATCTATGCTCGGTACCGCAGCAATCCATGATTGGATGCTGTCAGGCAGCGAATTCAGGGAGCTCTTGAGCTTCTCCTGACAGTTTTGGTCTCGCGCTGGAAAACACCCTAAACTTAACCCTGAACCCTGAACCCTGGCCCTGAACCCTGAACCCTGAACCCTGAACCCTAAACCCTAAACCCTAAACCCTAAACCCTAAACCCTAAACCCTATGTCATGATGTGTGGTGCCAGTGCCATTGCACCTCGACAGCCTTGCAGGAAACGCTTGTGGGAGGCCAAATATTGGCATCGACGATCAGTGGGCCTTCGCCCAAGCTGACGGCCACCTTGTCCGTAGGGTTTAGGGTTTAGGGTTTAGGGTTTAGGGTTTAGGGTTTAGGGTTTAGGGTTTAGGGTTTAGGGTTTAGGGTTTAGGGTCTTTTTGTTTTGCTGGCTGGTGCTTAGCAGGGAATGAGGGAATTAGGGCCCTACATAACCCCTTAAAGGGTAAAAAAAAAATAGGGCCCTCAAATAAGAGCCAGGGGGGTTTACTGTGTGTTGCCCACCGTCAGCTTCACAGACGGGTTTAGGGTTTAGGGTTTAGGGTTTAGGGTTTAGGGTTTAGGGTTTAGGGTTTAGGGTTTAGGGTTTAGGGTTTAGGGTTTAGGGTTTAGGGTTTAGGCTTTAGGGTTTAGGGTTTAGGGTTTAGGGTTTAGGGTTTAGGGCTTAGGGTTTAGGGTTTAGGGTTTAGGGTTTGGTACGCTGATAGAGTCGGGAGGCATGCTCCATGCCAATACCATGGCCGCTGGCTTCGGCCAATGCCCCGCGCAATGCCTTCTTGAGAGCCTGTTTAGGGTTTAGGGTTTAGGGTTTAGGGTTTAGGGTTTACAGTTTAGGGTTTAGGGTTTAGGGTTTAGGGCTGAGTGCGGGGGTGATGTTGTTATGTTGTTACTGACTGGTGCGCTGTAGGGAATGAGGGAATGAGCTACCCTATAATATAAATCCCTTTAAGGGCAAAAATCTAGGGCCCCAGTTCCCTTCATTGCCTACTAAGAACCAGGGAGTTCTTGTTAGGGCCAAAATGTTTTGTCTTTGAGTTGCGGGCCTTCAATGTGGGCTTGCTCCGCGAGATCGACTCCGAGGTCAAACCGCGGACCCGGAAGCTGATCGCCACAGCATCGCCTCAGTTTAGGGTTTAGGGTTTAGGGTTTAGGGTTTAGGGTTTAGGGTTTAGGGTTTAGGGTTTAGGGTTTAGGGTTTAGGGTTTAGGGTTTAGGGTTTAGGGTTTAGGGCCACACTCAACAGGATCCTGCTGGTAATGACGATGATGCTCTGTCCAAGCCCCTACCTGGGCCCTACCCTGTAATCCCCTCCCCCTAATATTCAACCCGCCCTACCCCCTTGTACTAAATACCCTCAGTATACTTATAATTACAGTATATGGGGGGGTTTTAAATTTTTTGGGGGCAGTTGAGATCCACACCTGCCAGCGGCGATCGGGGAGGGGTTTGCTCCCTTCCCTTCGCAGTTTGGCCCGCCATGGCCCACACAGGGTTTAGGGTTTAGGGTTGAGGGTGTATATGGTTTAGGGTTGAGGGTTGAGGGTTTAGGGTTTAGGGTCGAGGGTCTTTCCAACTCTGGATCTGTGAGCCAAGGGGACAACCCATCACAACCAGTCAAGAATTTCATCGCAGACGCTGTGCAGAAGCTATACAGTGACAGTGTGCACCTCTTGGGCGTGGCGTAGATGCTGGAACCTCACAGCAAACGCCATCATCACAGCTTTGAGGCTTCAAGCACATTCAACATCTTTGGCCTACGATGCCCCCACCCGAAGTGGAGACACATCGCAAACGATCATTTGCGCTCCTCAACCTGGTTGCTTCCGCGGACTGCCGGCTCGGCTCGAGGGTGCGGGCGCAGGCATCTCCCATCCGGCACAGTCAGTTATCGTTATCCACATCACCTAAAAACCTCTAAGCCCCCCCCCCCCCCAAGTCCCAAACCCCTAAACCTCGAAGCCACCCAAAAAATTGCCTCGCGAGTTTCGCTAGGCGACTGGCATGTAAGCAACGAGATCAGCATCAACATCAACATGTGTCATCATGTGCTTTCCAATCTGACTAGTTCTTCAACAGGACTCAGGGAATAAGGTGCCGAACGAATTACCTACTAGGAACAGGTGAGTAGTTGAGCCCCAAACCGTGCATCCCGAAAAACCTCATACTGTAGAAAATGTAGGCGCGTGTAGGATTTAGCGTTAGGGTGTTTAGGGTCGGGGGTTCATGGTTTAAGGGCAAGATTTGGCTTCTCCTCTTTGTCCCAGTGGAATTGAGGCCCCACTGTATGCGCTGGACTCCAAATGCCGGTAAGCGCCGATTTCTTGAGCCCTTGAAATATAAAACCCATCCCGAAACCATACTCGTAGCAGCACTCACTGTTGGGTTCAAAGGAATCTCGCACCCTGCGAGTGCGCGTTCTGAAACGTCATGCAGCGCGCTCGCAGGACTTTTTCTGCTTTTGTCACGCCCAGGCAGGGCCCCCCCTTCAGAGCAGCATAGCGCGGTCCGGGCGAAGTAGCTTTACCAGCGCGCGTGCGCGCGGGTGTGCGCGCGCAGGTTGGGGGCCTGCAGAGGTCTCAGCATGCCAGTCCTTGGACCAAGCCTCCGGCAGTAGATCTGCCCTCCAGGGAACAAGGCGGCAGAGTCCATGCTGACCACACCCTGACAGCACTCCGCTAGCGGGTGATCAGAACCAAAACAGGGAAGACCATAGGCTTGCAGATCGACCTACCGACATGAGCTCAACACCACCAAGAATGACTGAAGCGAAGATGGACCTTTTTTGTCGTATCTTCAGTCTCTGTGGAGTCTATGTGTTCAAGAATGCGTGAGACTTGCCGAGCGCTCATGCGCACGGCACGTATGGTGTCTTGGCAGCTGGGGGGGGGTTCTTATATCAGACGACGGCTAAGCAACAGGGGTTGTCATGGACAGGATGTGAGGGAGCTACGATGAGGGGGGGGGGGGGGGGGGCTCCCACTGCCAAAAGCCATCTAACCTAAAGTCGGTGATGCTCCGCATGCCCTCAAGGATGCCCAAAAATCACCGCCTAAGACCTCCTGCAAGCCGATTCGCTTTGCAGCGCAAGCCTGGCACAACTAAGCAAGTGTCTAAGGCCCGAAGGCCGATTCTACAACTCCTTTGAATAGCGGTGGCCAAGAGTAGGAGGAGCCTTGTAAGCACGCATGATCGGGAGAGAGCTCCATGAAGACGCATTGGCTTTGCCAGCTGCAACATGGGACATAAAATTATTTGAGAAGGGACGGCGTGGGCATTGTCCAGAAAGGCTCAGCGCTACTCTCCACGGTCTTGAAGATGCCGTTGAACAAGAAATCTGTGAGCGAGTAGGAAGCTCTGGCTGGGAGGTACATGTCTTTCGAGACCCACATGCCCAGCTCCTCCTTGTAGACGCACTTGAACTGGTAATACCTGTCGATGAAGACGGCCATAATTACGAGGGTCAACAGGAGTCGTAGTGGGACTACCTGCCTCAAGAGATCGAAGAATGTGGGGCTTTTGGCAAGATGTGTTGCACCAGCTTCAGCGTCTTCTGCAGTACCCGGCTCAGGTTCCTCCCGGAGTCCCTGCTGGACCTGATCGATGACATTCCGGCCAGCTCGCGTGATCATGCAATCGTGCAGCATCTCGTCGACATTCAAGATGAAAGCCATAGACATGGCACCCAGGACCGTGTCCAAGATGCCCGACGTATCCATCAGGAGGGTCGTGCCCTCCAAGAGAACAAAGTAGCATAGCATCAGCTTGGGGATCAAAACTGTCAGGCCAGTGATGAGCTTCCAATGGATGGGCATGCCTGCGATACGGTAGCTAATTTTCTGTTGCTTGTCGACCTCGATCCAGTCGCACTTGCCAGGATCACTTGGTAGGTACCAGAACATGGCAATCATGCGAAAGCAAACTTGGATCTCGTGGTTCACTGACAGAGCGAACAGAAGCAAGCATAACCAACGGCAGCTGTGGTTTTCCAGCCCGTATTCTCCGGGATCAACCTTCTCGTTGATCAGGTCTTCCTGGTCTGGGAGCACATCCAGGAGGGCCTGTTTGGCGAACTTCTGCACGGCCCACTGCGTGTAGCCGTAGAGCCGTGAAGGTGAGAACTGGGTTCCCCCTGGACCGGTGCACCGTGGCAGGAACGGTGCCTCTGGGCCCTCGCAAACATCTAAATCTGCGCCGAAGTCGCAAAGATGCATCTGTCCGCCCAGAGGGTTCATGATCTGGGTTGCTTCACCCACAAACATCACTAGTGCAAATTGCACCAGATAGTTCAGCCCCAATGCCATATACGCCCGCGCCCATAGGCTAACAAACACGCTCCTGTAGCCAGAGCTTCTGGCAATTTGCGGAAATGCGAAGGCGCTCCCATAGACTGAGCTCGTTTCCAGCTTGAAAATTGTCTGAGACCTCTCTACATCGATCAATCCCTGAGCTGCCTTGAAAATGCCCTCCGAACGCTGCGCCTCCTCTTCACTTACCGGCGTGGCAATGAGAGATGCAGCCATGGCCAGGATGTCAGTGCAACTCGGATGCGGGATCCCCACGAATACCTGATCCTGAGATTCTGATCTCTGCACCTTGGGCCGGATCAGGCTGCGGTAAAGGCATCCTCCGAGCACAGGCAGCAGCTCTTCAGCAGCAACGGTTTTCCGACGCAACAGCAAGTTGGGGTCTACTGCGGATTTGTGGGCTCAGCACACCTTCTCTTCGCTAAACCGCACAAACTCGTGTTTCATGAGCACACATGAGACTGCAGCAAGCCTAGCTGGAAGCTTTCCAAGGAGACGACGTGGGGGCTGTAGCAGCAACCTCGTGCCAGCGTGCGCGAAAGAGCAGTGTTTGAGGGCTGTCAGGTCTGGCATAAGCATGATGATCTCAGTGGGACACAGAGATTCCCCGCAGTTCAACTCTAGACTGTATCTACATACAAACACCGGATGCTCGTAACACAGTCAGTACACACTGCAGTAGATGGGAAAACATCGATCTTGGGACAGCCACGCCATCGCCACCGCCATCGTCAAGCCTTATGCAGGGGGCGGCAACGCGGCATGGTTTCATCAGGAACTGCATTTTCAAAACAGCAAAAAACCCTACGCCCCAAATTTCAACAATGGCGGGTAGTTCTAGCTTTTTGCTCTAAACAAGTGCCAGAGGGGAGGCAGGTGTGTAATACCCGAACCAGCTTTTTGGGTGTTACGCAACATATTTCCCCAAATAGTAGGATCCCCTTATAATCAGGACGCCCAAGAGGTACCCCTAATTTCGGAAACCCCCATACTACTGCATGGACATGCAAGGACTGCACCGATGCACACCGCTGTTCCCTACCAGGGCCGCCTCCGGCAACATTGGCGGCGCGGGCTCGGGCAATGGCATAAAGCCAAGCCTACAAAACACAAAGCAGGAGGTGACTGAAATACTGCATGATACTGCATGGTTCTCAAATGTACCGATGACCACAATTAAGCGAAGTTTTGATCGGCTTTTGAACGGTGTGCTTCTTGGTCTTAGAGAGACGAGATATTGATCTGCACACATACGTAAAAACAAAAATTACATTTAAACAGAAAGAATGACAGACAGGAAGCGGGGAGGAAGAGAGAGAGAGAGAGAGTGCCTGCGAACGAGAGAAGGGTGGCTTTCGCCCCGAGAATGCCCTATTTCACCTTCTCGCCCCGCCTTTAATGGCACTCATCCCTGGGAAGAGCGCACTGAAGCAACTGGAGCTGTAGCACGCTAGGCGTCAACAATGAGGATCCTTTTTAGGGGATCCCTTTTCTTCACTAAGAGATTCCGCGGTCAGAGCTACGTAGTCTTGACTTTGCATGAGGGGACCCTCAGTCTACGAGCGCTGCGTGCTCTGCTCTCCCTTCAAAAACACGGCACTTCGGGGTTTAGAGGGCTGGACCAGGGTTCATGTCCTCAGGGCTGGGAGTGTCAGATGTCCAGAAATTTCTGACGTTAGAGGGCCTGAGGGGATTGGCAGTCCGCGTGGAATCTCCTAAGCCCAAAACCCTACAGTTTCGGGTTTGGGGCTGGGGTTAAGCCCGGCACAGTTAATGTCATGAAAGTAGGTTCAAGACCGGAGGATGTTCAGAGAGGGCTTGGGTATCGGATTCCGTGGTGAAGGTTCAGAAGGAGCTCCTTCAACAATTCGGCAAAGACATCCTTTCCGCAAGCATTCGCGAGTGCTCGCCCATGCCGCAGCACCGGTTTCGGGCCGAGCCGCAAAGCGCCCCCTGCGGGAATCGGAGTTTTGGGTGTTGTGGCCCGCCACTTTGTTGTCGGGAAAATACACAAGCGTTGTTCACCAACGGGAGACCCTGTCCATTTCGTTTTGGACAGCACGGGCCACTGACTTGATAAGGCACCTCCAGAAGCATCGCAAGTAGTCGGAAAGTCACACCAATTCACACCAGCACCTCCACGCGGCAGTAGGGCGTGATGTTCAAGGCAACGTGCTCCGCGTGCTGCTCGAGCGCCTCGCGCAACAGGAGCCGCACGGCCGCCGTGCCCTGCTCGATGGTGGCCACTCCCGGCGTGGCAGTGGTCGGCCATGGGACCTTCTGGCTGTGCGGAGTGCCCGGTGGGGCCTTCATCGGGAAGCACACCCCGATTGGCGGCCCACCTAGCGCAGGCAGCGCCGGCACGCTCGCGATGCTCGAGCTCGAGCCTGCAGCGGGCGCGGCACTGTCGTCACTGTTCTTCGCGGCGCCCGATGGGAAGTAGCTTCGAGTCGGGTCGCCCCGCAGCACGCCGTGCACGTGCAAAAAGAAGGGCTCGTGCTCGTTGCCGCACAAGTTGATGCCGCCAAGCTGGTCGTTGCGCGTCAGGCCAACAGAAGCACAAGCACTCGAAGCATCACTGGTTTCCTTCGGCTCCGCAGCGTCAAGGGCCAGGTCGGCCTCGGTGATCGGTGCCTGCGAGTTGTTCCCAAGCTGGTAGGTCTGTAGGAAGAGGCCGCAGCGGTGCCAGAACAGATCCCCGATGGCGCTGCAGGCAACACCGAGTGAGACACTCTCCAGCATGCTTGGGAAGCGGTTGTGTGGCAAGAGCCCAAGCAGAGACTCGTCGAGGGCAGTTGACGGAGTACAGCTGACCAGCGGCCGAAAGATGAGCCGATAGCCACGCTGGTCGCTCGGATTCAGGTAGACGCCAACAGGGCTCGTCATGCTGGTCGCACTGGCCCCGGGTAGTGCTGCGACGTGGACGATGGCCACTGCGAAGGGTAGGGACCGGAAGGTGCTCTCGAGGCCACTCTGCACGGACCAGTGCGTAAAGTCCAAGCTGCGCCCCGTGGTTGACATCCTCCGAACCCCTAAAGAAAGCTGAGCCCGAGTTGCTTCTGAGCTTGAGTTCGGAGGTGGGAGGAGCACCGGCTCAAGAGATTCCGAATCTGATTTGGGGCTTGGGGTTTAGGAATACCTGAACGGCAAAACCAAATACACCCCTTTCAACCTCGAGACCGACGCTGTCAGACCGGATATGTAGTTTTGGGATCCTTGGAGGTTGGTTGTGAGGTTTCCTAACAAGAGGAGGCACAGAGAAAGCTTATAGAGTTTCGCGGCAATCGAAAGCAACGCAACGAGAACCAACCAAACACTCCCAGCAGCAACTTTAGCTGCTTTTCGCCGCAAACATCATAGTCCCGAACCCTAAACCCTAAACCCTAAACCCTAAACCCTAAACCCTAAACCCTAAACCCTCTGGCGAGCCTGACTCCCGAAGCTCGGGCCGCGGTCGCCACGGCCACGGGGGGCTTGGGCCACGGCCCTTGGTGCGGTCGCAGTGTTCCATGGGTTGAGGGTTCCGGGTTCGGGGTTCAGGATTTAGGGTTTAGGGTTTAGGGTTTAGGGTTTAGGGCTTAGGGTTTAGGGTTTAAGGTTGGGTTTAGGGTTTGGGGTTCGGGTTTAGGGTTTAGGCTTAGGGTTTAGGGTTTAGGGTTCAGGTGCTTGAGAGCTGACTGGCCTCGGGACTTGAAAGGCTTCTGCAGCTCCAACATGTAGCGGATCCAAGGCTACAGCTCTGCTAAACCATGAGCTGTCACAGGCAATAAGCGTAGGCCCTCAAACTTTGGCTTTATTAACTTGGGGATGTAGGGGAGGTTCAGAATTCAGAGCGCGAAACGGCACGGAACGTGAAGTTGCCTCCGTTTCTGCGCAGGATACAGTATCTTATCTTCTATACGAGGGTAACTCAGTCTTCTTGCAAGGTCATGATCTCGGGCTTGCATCTCGCAGTTCAGCAACCATTAATTTTCCATAAATCATTTTGACTAATATTGTTTACATAACCACCAAATATGTATATATTACCATTTGCATCATTACATTGTCCAAATGAATATCTATTTGATAGTTTTTATTTGCAATGTTTAAAACACTTCCAGGCTGTTTCACGGAAGTGTTGGCAACTCCTAAACCCAAACCAACTTGGCTGATCAGCCATCAAACTCGAGAATACCCTCCTCGAAACCCCCTCATAGGGAATTCGGGAAACAATATGATCCCCTTGAAGAGACTGCCAGAACTCCTCGAAACCTGCCACAGCCCTGGACCCTAAACCCTGGGACCTCCTCCAGGCCGGAGGCTGAGCATGGTGGGGCCGCCGCTGGCATGCCTGAAGTCCACTTCGCACTTCTCTTCAAAAGCTCCTGGCTTAGCTGGTTTAGGGGGTTATTTGTAACTAGGGGCTCTTTGGGGATCTGAAGTCTGAGGAACAACCAGTCAAGGGCAGCGTCCGCCGCGAGCCCGCGGTTTTCCCCCGCCCCTCGGCGAAGCCGCCTTCGGCGGCTTGCGGTGCGCGAGTCCAAGGAAGCGTGGGGCCCCCTGAGCCCTGGAGCCACGAGCCTGGGATACAAAAATCCGCCCCAGGAGACGCCAGGGGGACGCCGGGGTGAAAGCAGGGCAGATGCTGACGGCTACTGTAAGGCAAACACCTCGTAGTCTACGAGCTGTGCACTCTTGGACTCTGCCAGGCAGTTGAAGCTCCCTCCGTTCCCAAGCACGCTTTGCGGATTGTAAGTGTTTCCGATGTTGAAAGTAACTCGAGAGCTCTGGATGAGCATGTCATGGCCACCACCAAAGGCGGGCTCACTGGCTGGATAGCAATAGATGCCATTCTGATGGTTCTGATAGATCGGGTGCTTGGAGGGCTCAACGCCGCCGGGGCCGGACAGACGAAAGAGGAAGGATTGGTAAGAGAATTTCCACTGGTTGGATGAGTCCCACGGCACCTCCGTGAAGCCGCCGAAGAGGTGGCCGCCCTGGCTCTTAGCCACCACGACGGTTGGGCCCCGGTTGTCACACCGCTGGTGGAAGGCTTGGGGCGTGTTCCCATCGCGGGAGGCCCGGAAGAGAAGGCGACGATTGTTGGAACTGTAGCCAGGTGGCAACATGGAGATCAGTACGTAGGCATCAGGACCCAGCAACGCGGAGTCTGAAAATTCAAACTGGCATTGGAAGACCTCAAAGTCAGCCACAGTCACGTCCTGCCGCGCCTCTGCCAAATACTCGACCTTTCCATCAGCTCCACTCGCAGTTTGGCGGTTGTAGGTATTGCCAAAGTCGTTGAAACTTGCCTTTGTCTGACCACCGTTCTGGCTGAAAGTCATGTCGCTGCCGAACTGAGGAAACTCATTCGGGCGGCACCGTACGCCATTCTGATGGTTCTGATAGATCGGGTGCTTGGAGGGCTGAATGCCGCCGGGGCCGGACAGACGAAACAGGAAGGATTGCCCGGAGTGTTTCCACTGGCCGGATGAGTCCCACGCAACCTCCGTGAAGCCGCCGAAGAGGTGGCCGCCCTGGCTCTTCGAAACCACGACAGTCGGGCCCTGGTTGTCACATCGCTGGTGGAAGGCTTGGGGCGTGTGCCCATCGCGGGAGGCCCGGAAGAGAAGGCGGAAAGCCCCTGAATAAACTCCTGGGGGCAACATGGAAAGCAGTCGATCAGACGAATCAACATCAAGCAACAAGGAGTACGGCAAAGAAATAGAGACTCGGAAGACCTCATAGTCAATGGCCAGCACATCCTTCGGCCCTTCTGCCAAGCAGCTGAGGTTCCCAGGGGTGTAAGAGCTGCCAAAGTTGGGGAAATGCACTTTGGACATCTGATCCTGGTACCGAACGATCTGCATGTTAACGCCGTCGCTGCCGCCAAATGCAGGCCCAGTTGTATTAATGCAACTTATGCCATTCACGTTGCCGTTCTTTTTGATCGGGTGCTTGGAGGGCTGAACGTTGCCGGGGCCGGACAGACGAAAGAGGAAGGATTGCCCGCATTGTTTCCACTGGTTGGATGAGTCCCAGCTCACCTCCGTGAAGCCGCCAAAGAGGTGGCCGCCCTGGCTCTTAGCCACCACGACGGTCGGGCCCTGGTTGTCACATCGCTGGTGGAAGGCTTGGGGCGTGTGCCCATCGCGGGAGGCCCGGAACAGGAGCTCCAATCGGACGCTCTCAGAACCTGGGCATCGCAGCATGGCAACTAGGTCCTCGTACCACCTGTCAAGAAGCACTGAATCCACGTTGGTAACTTCAACCCATGTCCAAGGGATCAACTGCGCAGGAAACTCAACGGCACGGAAGCCCTTGGCACCGTCCACATCCTGCACCTCGCACAGGGCGCCTTTGCTTCCGAACCCTGCCGGTGCTTGGCCTGGGTTCTTGTGAAGGAGCCAAAAGTCACGTTATCATGATGTGGAAAAGCTATGTTGCTTTACTACGGGAAATTGTGACCGACCACTATTCTAGCAACTCGACAAGAACCTAGCGGCTGGCAACAGCGGGATCGAGACTTGAGCGGACGTCCACCTTGAATTTGGCACGGCTGCCGGACATCTGCAGCAGGCGCTTGAACATGGCGGTGGCCACCAGGTTGCAAGCCTCATCTCGAAAGCCGCTGTCCTCTCGGCGATTGCCCTGAAGGGTCAGGCAGACAGGCCCAAGAGCGTCGAAGGGCCACCACTGCTCAAGAAGATCCCCGTCTTCGGAGTCGGTGTGCTTTCGGTGCATGTCAGCCAGCTTCAGCAGCGACTTCGCACAAAGCTCCATCCGCGCGTAGATTCGCTCACGGGCGTGGTGGCCGGCTTCCTGCTCCTGGTCCTTCAGGGCCGGAACAAGGATGCGCTCCTCAAGCGCCTCATCCGTGGAAATGGCCTCAAAGGCTTTTCCCAGGAAGTTGAGGCACACCATGCTGACGGTCGCCTTGTCCACCTTCATTTTCAGGGTCCCGGCCGGGAACTCGGCGGCGTTGGCTTTGAGCACGGCGGAGACCTCTGGTGTCAACGCCGTCTTCAGGTACTCGGTGATTTGCGCTCGGACCTTGTCAACATCCAGCTTCGGCATCTGAGCATGCAGATTCTGCTGCAACCTCTGGGCCAGGCCAGGGAGCCGCTCCAGCTTGAAAGCCGAGTCCTCTTTGCGGTCCAACAAGCCCGACATCATCTTCCTCAGCTCGTCAGCAAAGGTTGCGGGGAGCGGTTTGAGGGGCAGGCCTTGGCAGATCTTGTGGGAGGCATTCCGCAGGTGGAGGTCCAGCTCCAGGACGTTCACGGCCTCTTCCTCCAGGTCGCCCAGCTGCTTGAAGAGGTACTCCTGCATAGGCTTGGCGATCTCCTCGTGGAAGAAGCTCCTGTCGCAGGTGATCCGCCAAACCTCACCCTTCAACCGGGCACGCCTAAAACCCTATAACAGCCCTAGAAACCCTGGAAAACCCGACAAAAGCCCTGCAAAAAAAAAAAAAGACACATCCCCCTCGCCCCCGTTTTCGTGGGTCCTGGTGCGAGACACCACGGGCTCCAGCCGACTGCGGACTTCGGCGAGCGCCGCAGCCTTAAGCCGCTGGAGAGCTTCCCCTTCCAGATCCTTGGAAGGTTTAAGGTTTAGGGTTTAGGGTTAGGGTTTAGGGTTTAGGGCTTAGGGCTTAGGGCTTAGGGCTTAGGGCTTAGGGCTTAGGGCTTAGGGTTTAGGGTTTAGGGTTTAGGGTTTAGGGTTTAGGGTTTAGGGTTTAGGGTTTAGGGTTTAGGGTTTAGGGTTTAGGGTTTAGGGGTGCAAAACTCTACAGGATCCGCGACTCTACTCTCTCTAAAATCCCCCCTACGAGAAAGGGTTGGGGCTTTTCAGATGCTTTCAGGGGACCCTAAACCCTTTTGGGGTGCATCCCGAGGATCGCCGCTGGAGCGTGGAAGGCCCAGGGCCGTCAACTCCTCGCAGCAGCCGTGCCAGACCTGCCAGGGGTTCAGGGCTTTTGGGGCTTATGGGGTTCAGGAGGGCTGAGAGGGTTTAGGGCTTGTGGGTCTACAGGGTTTAGGGCTGAGAGGGTTTAGGGCTTGTAGGGTCCAAGGCATTTAGGGTGTAGGGGCTGGGGCGGGGCGGCCTGCATCAGCTTCTTTGCCGTCAGGGGCAGCCAGTTGTGGACCACGTGCCAGGAATACATCCGGCCGATGCGGTCAAGCAGCGCCTGCATGGATGCCTTTCCTTCCTCAACGCAGTCCTGCATTTGCAGGTTGTCGTTGAAGACCCGCAGCTCATTCTCTGCTCGCCGCCTCATCCAGTCTGCGTAGCTTTCTCCCTGCTTCACTTTGCCACACTTCTCGTTGACCACGGCCACGTAGCCATGAGGCTCCAAGGGCATGAAGCCCTCTCCTGCCTGGTTGCTCAACCACGAGCGGAGCAGCTGGTCTTCGTCATCATCTGCTTTCAGCCGGTCGCAGTTCGTGATGACTCCAACGCTTCTGTCTACAAGGCCATGCTCTCTGACCAGCCGGATGGAGGTCCAGTCGGAGGGGGCTGAGTTTGCCGAGGACACGGCCAGGAAGATGTCTTTGGAGGAAGCCTGAACGTAACGCTTCAGCAGCTCCTCCGTCTTCTCTTTCAGTACCGGGTCAATGCTGATGATGCCAGGCAGGTCCACGAGATTCATGGGGGGTAGGGTCACGGAAATGGCCGTGACATGAAGCTCGAAGTCCATACAGATCTTGTCTTCCTGCCCTGCCCTGTTCAGAAATTCGCGGGTCTGCTCGGCGATTTCCGCCTCACTGGTCTGCAAGGATATGGTCTTTGGCTCTCCTACACAAGGCACTGTCACGTCAAGGATGAACCAAGAACACGTGTTGTAAACCTTGAAGCGACAGGCTCTAGAACCGCAAACCCTATGAACCCTACGAACCGCTAAAGCCGAAGGAACCCTCTAAGCCCTAGAAGCCCTGTAAACCCCAAAGTCCTGTGTACGTCTTGTTCTTCACGTCGTAGATCTGCAGATAGGCAGGGCCAGGCGAAGTCGCGCGGCGAATCTTTACCTGGGCGAATGGCGTGGCGAACTTTTGGGAATTTAAGGCTTGGTTGTTCTGGGGTCGCTTGGGGCTTAGACATTCACAGGAGTCTTTGTGCAGAAGCTCTTAGATACGGGGCTCGTTCTGAACTAGGGTTCCTGATTCGGAGGCTTCGGAAACATGACAGAAGTTGCCTGACAGTTCCCTCGGCATCCCCAAAAGTTACGCCCAAAAACACTCACCACAGTTCCTGGATAAAGACAGTGGTAAATCCTAAACTTACCCTAAACCCTGCACTGAACAATTAACCCAAACCTTGCACGGTTCCAGCCTTCAGCGGCATCTTCGTGCAGCGCACCTCATCTCAGAGGAGGGGCCGTCGAGCCGTCGGGGTCTTCGGGAAGCCCGGCAGCGAGGGGAGGCATTTTGTTCGTATGTACATGTTTGCATCCGTTTATGTCTTGCCGTAATTTACATAGGTATGTGATGTGTGCATAATTGTATATACATATATATATATATAGATAGATATGTCTCTATGTATGTGTGTGTGTTTACTTAAGTACATTTATACAGTTTTTGGGTGCCCGGGAGAGGGGAGGGGTGCGCGGGTCACCGGCCTTGTCCGTGGGGAAGAAGGGCAGCAGGCTCAGGCGCTGGAGAAGGGAGGACTTGCCGACGCTCTCGGCGCCGAAGACCACCAAGAAGGGCGGCTCCCAGGAACCCAGGGTCTCCTATGTCTAGGGATTTTAGGGTTTAGGGTTTAGGGCGTTTGGGGCTGCCGCTTAGGGCCGGCTAGCGCCATTTAGGATTTATGGTCCTTGTTTTAGGGCTCGGGGTGGAGGGTTGATAGGCCCTCTCAATACCACATATTGCCGACGATAGTCTCTGTTACGTCCAGTGAGGGGGAAAACTGAAAGACAAAATCATCCCAACATCCCGGCGAGTCTCCACGAGCACATCCTGCAAGTCGTCCAGCGCGGAGAAGAGGCTGCTGAGGTTGATCATGGAACTGCCATTTGCCAGCTCAGGCGTCGCGCGGGCGTTGAAGGTCGTGGCGAGAAACTGCTTGATCTCCTTCGCAAGCTCGGCTCCATCCTCGTAGCTCTCCTCCATGGGATCCTTGGTGGTGGGCGACGTGATAGGAACGCCACGGCTCCGGCAGTCGCGCACGTGGGCCAGGAAAGCGGCCTCGTCGTAAACGAAACCATCCTTGGCACGCACGGGGATCTTCATGATGGCATTGGTGATCTTGCAGAGGAATCTCAGCGGCACCACCGCAGACCGCGAGCTCTCCGCCGTGACCTGTGCGATGCGGTACTTGTCATCCAGGTCCTTCAGCGCCGCCGCAAGCTCTCGATGCTTGTCTCTGAATTCCTCCACCAGCTTTCGAACCTGGGCTGCTGATAAGATCGCATGGTCTAGGGTTTAGGGTTTAGGCTTTAGGGTTCAAGGTTAACTAGGGGGCTTAGGTTGCCGCATATTTTAGGGCAGACAGCGAATCATGCTGTTTCCGACTGTTTTCCTTATTTCTGGCAGCCCGGGAGCTGCAAGGTTCGGGGTGAGCTGCTGGCTCTTCAGGGCCAGGTTGGTGAGCGGGTCCGTCTGGCGGCCTTGCCGGAACCACGCTTGAATCTCCTGGCTTGCTGCTTTCTTGCAGGGTTTTTTATCTACCACAATGAAGGCTTAAGGTTAAATCCATCAGGGCTGGGGAACCCGAACTTACGGGGTGCCAACAGCACACCACACACATCCGTAAGATCTATGGCAACTCCGCTCATAAGTTCCTGATCACAGGGGCCCAGTCTCCTGGCGCTCGAAGGTGTTGGCACCCTGGGCCGGATTCTCAGGCTCCACGGTCACGGGGTCCTCGAAGAGCTGGAGGCTCAAAGGGCACACCAGGGAGGACGGGAGGTCTAGCGCCTGGCTCACCCGAGAGCGCGGCGAGAAGGCCGAGGAGCCCGTCGACATCTTGCGCCGGGGGGCTGGCACTTACTGAACTTGTCAAAAAGCCCTCCCCCCCACTGGAAGCACTCAGACCATCTTTTTGGGGCTGTTTGACCTGTTTGAAAGGTATGGAGCCCTGGGTTTGGGCAGCCGCCTGCTTTTCACCTCAAGCCCAAACGGCTGGCGAGATGCAAGGCCTCGACTCCCGCTGCTTGCTGCTCAGGCTTTATGGGCAAGTCCACGCGCACCACACAAAGGACCAGAAATTCGGAAAAAAATCTGTAAGAGCCAAGCCGGGATCCACGCCCTCGCTGAGGTTGATCCCTTGACAACGGGAGTTGGGGCACATGGCGCCGCTCGCGGCTTCAGGCCTGGGGGGTCTTGGGGAACTTAGCAACATCACACTGACCTGCATCATCTTTGTCTGACTATTGCGCGTAAAGCGTGTAGGTCTGACATGCATGAGACCAGGTCCAGAACCTCGATAGCGAAGCTCGGAGTGAAACTTAGACCCTTCTGGCAACCCTTAACCCCTTTAACCCAAACCTGCTCAAGCTGTTGGCTGAGGTCACCAGAAGCCTCATCAATCCATGCAATCAGGCCTTCCCAGTAGAAGAGAAGAAGAAGAAGAAGAAGAAGAAGAAGTTGGTGGCTCCTGGCAGAACAGCAGGAAGACGGCCCCCAAAACCCTAAACCCTTTTAGGAACCCGAAGCCCAAAACCTTTGTCAGCCCTGAACCCTGAGGCTTATGAACCCTAAAGCCTAGACCTGGAAGAGCCCTAAGCCCTACTTGAACAGCATGACTAACAGGCCAACGCTGGGATGTTAAAGGCCTGGATGACGCCAGGGCTTTGCGGGCCCACAGCAAACTCGAAACCCTGGGCGACACCCGAGGATCCCCTGAAAGCTAACCCAAACCCTAAGATGACAAGACTGAGAAGAGTAATGATGCTAAAGAGACTACAGTAACAATGCAACAACACTAGCACGATAACAACAGTTTAATTAGAAAATGCATCATATAACTAACTCGGTATTCTAAGGCAGGCAGCCGCTGGCTTCCAGGAGACTTCAGAGCGGATCTTCAAGCAAACTTTGGGTTTCAAAGCAGACTTTGGGTTGCTGCTGAAGATCTCAAAATGAGGGAGAAGGAAGCCATGATACTGGCTACTTACTGTGCATCCCTACCCTGGTACCTGGCGATCTACGAAATACGAAGAACTCAGGGAGCTGGGCCTTGCCGCCGCGTCTGAATTTCTGTTGCTCTGACACACCTCAAGCTTTAGACGTGCATTAGTCCAAGCAGAATTTCAGGAGGTTCAGGCAAAACTTCCCGAGACGGGCCTTTACCCAGATCGCATACAGACCCTGTCGCGGGGTTGGCCTCGCATGAGTGGTTGATGAACTTATTGACGTTTTGAAGGCCTCAGGCCTCAGGGTTTAGGAAGGTGCACGCCTTAGGGCCCCAAAACTCAGCGGGCCAGCGGTCCTCAGAATGTCCATCGCCTTTCAGGCCCGGCAGCAAGGGCATGGCCCTTGTGACTACAACATGTGGGGGTTTAAGACCATCATGTGAAGATTCCCTGGCGAAGGAATCGGATTGCTTAGTACCTTTTTTTTTTTGGGGGGGGGGGGGGGGGGTCCAACAAGAAGGAGCATCGCATTTTGGGCACTGAAGGGGCGCCCAATACCCGTTGACTGCCCTCTCATGCATGAACTGCTGCACTGAGCACTGAGCCATGCCCTCAAGAACATCTAGGGCGTGTTGAAACATAATCGAGTAGGGGAACTCTTTGCGGTCTCTGCAGTCAAGGACTTCCGAGCCATCGAACACGTACAGGTTGTCAGAGCCTATGCTCCAAATGTCACTGAGGCAGGGTACAAGAACATGTATAAAGGCATTGAAGTAGGGTATATATTCTTGTACCCCCAAAAGGACACCAAATGAATACACTCACCAAGATTAAAAAGGAACCTTATGTACACTCACCAAAAACAGAAATATATGCCCTGTTTCATGTGAATCAGTAGTGCAGTTCCCTTGGAACCTGCCACTGTTACATGCATGAGGTCTTGTTTCACAGGCTGTTGCGAGACTACTCAGCAGGCACTGAATACAACAAGCGGGAGGGAAAGGGGAGGGGGGGGGCTCCTTTTCGCGACGCAAGCCAGATGTTGCGTGGCTTGACTCCGAGCCCTCGTACTGCGTCCTTGTCAGGCAAGTAACGTTGGGGGGGCGGGGGGGGGGGGGCGGGGGGTCCATCGGTTGAGGATCCTCGAAAAGGCCTTATACATCCGTAAGAAATCCTAAACACGCAAACATATCTATTGAGGATACCTGGCTGTCTGCGTTCCTAGATGCAGAAGTTGTCCCTTTCCTGCACTGCTTGGCCCCAAGCCTGTGCAAGGACTCAGTTTATGCAGAGGTGCCGGTCTACCAGGCAACTGTGGCAAAAGCCCCAAGAGAGCTCAAGCCACAGTCAAACCCTTCTTGCACCTTCCACATCAACAGCCGGCTTTGTGCAAGGAGTTGCAAGTAGCGCTTGCAGCTCAAACGAGCTGCTGGTGATTCGACGAAGTGCCCTTTTGAAACCTCTCTAAACCCTAAGAACCCGAGCAAACCCTGACAACCCTGAACACTCCAAAAATGCTGGTGCTTACATAAACGTTTACCCCATGACGGTCGCCAGGATGGCGAGGATGGCAAGCAGATGCATTTGTACAGGCAAGACCGGCCGGGGTGTAAGGGTTACGGACGTGACCTAACCCTAAACCTCAACACTAAACCCACAGAGGAGATTTCCTCTGCCATCGGTCTGGGGGTTCCAAAAAAGTCAGATGGAACGCTGAAAACGCTCGGATATTTGAGAAGATGGGTGGGCACTTGCTAAGATCAAATATCGGATTTTGGAGTTTTTGGAAGCCCCCACTTTCCTTGTCTTTGGGGGCCTCTGCACGTTGCCCCCCCTCGGAGGAAAATCCGTTGAACTCGCGTTGCCGTCAGGGGCCTCGATTCGGGACCTTTGTGGTCTGATCTGGGTTTAGGGTTTGGGACCAAGAACCCCGAACCCATACCCTCAACCCTATACTCTAAACCCTGCCACTCAGATACAATATACCCTATACCCAACATACCCTACCCTCAACCCGCTTCCCTTGCCCGGATCAAGGCACAACCGATGGGTTCACTCATGTTCACTCCAAGACACCTCGGGGTCAGACATCAGGCCAGCGCTCGCGTGAGATCCGCTGTCTCACCTGGGGTCTATCTCAGAGCTTTTTGGGGATTGAATGCGTTCAAGAGGTCGAGTCGGTGGTCTTTTGGGTTCTGTAAGGGCTTCGGGTTGAGGGGGGGGGGGGTTATCAGGGGAGAGGGCCCCCCTGAACCCCTCAGCCCTCGGATTGGGTGTAACACACTTGAAGTTGGCGCCTCGGTCGTTGGCCAAGTCCAGAAGGTGGTCCCCCCCATCCTGTAGCAGCACCTGCACCACCTCACGGTGCCCGAAATGAGGGGTTTTTGGAGGGTTTGGGGACTTCATGTTCAGGGTTTAGGGTTTAAGGGCTTATAAGGTTTTGGGGTTTAAGGGTTAGGGGTTCACCGTTTAAGGTCTAGGGGCTTCGGCCCTAAAATTCTTGGTGCACCCCAAGTCATGACTTTCTGGTTTTTACGCGCTGCGGCACCTCCTTCTTGCCCTCCGTCACTGGCCCCGTAGTTGCCAGGTGAAGGGGCGTGTCGCCTTCAAGTCTCCGACTTGAGCTCACTGCTTTCCAACCATGAAGTGTGCTCTTTGGGCGTGTTCCTGCAATGACCCGTATACATGTGTATCAAACTTGTGTATATGTATGTATGTAAATATGTGGCACATATTTATATATACATATATATATATATATATGTATACATATATATATATACATATATATATAATATGTATATACATATGTATAGATATATGTATGTGTCAGGCAGGGATCCCTATTTCGGGAAGAGCGCGGCTTGCCGAGGAGGAGAGGGGTTGGCGAGGGGGTGTAGTTCACTCATCTTGTGGTTCGACCGAACATACTCGGAAAACATCACACTTGGCAGCGTAACATTTCAATAGAACTGTAACCTGCATGATATTTGTCTCTACTTGGACCTACATGCAAGAACTCCCTTGAGCACCTCGTTATGTGAAGACTTCAATGCAAATCCTGCCGCTCTTACGCTTGGCATCTGGACTGGGGGATTGAAAACTTAGGCTGACGTGCCAGGGTTGAGGGCTTGTACCGCTTAGGCGTTCTGGGGTCAGAGGAGATCTAACTGTTACTCATTTGCTCTGAGACCCCGGCCATGAGCAGTCCGCGCTGCGGGATCTGCGCCCAGGAACAGAAGCTCCCGCACGATGGCTGCGTGGCCGCTCGAAGCCGCGAGATGCATTGCGGTCCTGCCTGGGGGTTTTAGGGCCGGTTTAGGGTTAAGGGTTTAAGCCTAAGCAATAGCACGGCGGGCAACCTACTAGTAGCAATACTGCAAAATCCTTTGGAAGCCTGATTAGGACCTCGCAGGTTATAGCCAAAATCTGAGGCTACGGCCATGCTCATCGGCTTGGTTCAGATTCAGATCGGCCTGGGCCATGGCCTCCAGCAATCGGCTCGCGACCTGCTGGTGGCCTCGAAGCGCTGCCTCGTGAAGGAGCGTCCTTGCACCTTACGAGCATTGGGAGCATGGGCAGACATAAAGAAACCACAGAGACTCCACACATGGGGTTTCTCAAGACCTCCCTCCGCGGTGCTTCCGACTATGGGGCTGTATGGAGTTGCCCGAGTTCCAGTCAATGATTTCGGGCAAGATTCTTGCTCGGCTGGATCTGCAAACAGTTGGTAAACCCATGAGTGTCGCCAAGTGTCCACGAGTGGCATGCACTGCGTCAGGGTCTTCAAGAAGACGGCTCGCGACCTCGTTGAGATCCCCGTTCTCGACTGCCCTGAAGATGTCTGGGCCTCAGCCCACGACTCTGTTCTATGTTCTTGCAAGACACAACACAAAAAACGTTCAAATGCAGAAAGCGCCACAAGTGCAATTGCAACGCAGCGGGGAGAAAGCTAAGACCCCCAAGGCAAAACACACATGAACATGAGTCTTGGTATATGTACAATATATGTACATATCTGTGTCTAATCAACCATACATAACCGAACACACTTTCTTCTATCTCCATCAACACTTCCTGGGTCGGAAGCTGGCAGCGGCTGCTGCTTCCGCCGCATGCCCACTGGCGGCTGCTGCCTCCTCAGTGCAAGAATCGTCCACAAAATCACGGAAAGACCACTTGAAGGACAGCTGTGAAACTGGAACACCGACTCCAGGCAGAGACGTGAGGTTTGATAGCTGCCGTATGGACCAATGAGGCTTTCCATCATTGCATGTCAGCCCTGTGCATGGATCATGAGGCGAAGGCAGCGTAGCCACCGCTCGCCTGCGCTGACCCAAGGCGAAGTACGCGAGCGAGCACCGCGAGCACATGTGAGTGGAGGGGTTGATCCCCTAAAAACCCTTCGTTGCATGTGACTTACGGGGCTTTTATTGCTTTGAGCTCATTTCGCGTGCAGCTCGTCTAGACTTCCTCATGGTTCCACTCCTTGGATCTCCTTGGTACAAACCTCCCCCCAGAACTTCCGAGGCAAGGGTTTAGCGTTTTGGGGGGTTAGCAACGCGCACTCGGAGCCCTCCCCGAACTAATATCCGCCGAGGCCTTGGGCCGTCGGTGTCTGGGTAGCACAAAGCAGGCACCCCACCTCTAATCCCCTCCCCACAGCTCAGCAGCTCTTGCACCCCTTTATTTTGCACGGTTTGGCCTGACATGGGTACCCCCCTAGCGGACAAGTGTCCGGGAGCAGACAGTGCATCAGGACCAGGGGGCACTTCAGCCTGCCATAGGGGCCGCCGCACCCACCCCCTCCCCCCCCACACAGATAGTCCCTGAGCTCGGCCTTTCGTTTTGGGCCTCCATTCCACCTGCCCCCAGCCCCCTGGTTTGGGTTGCGTTACTACAGCCCCACCTCATGGGCCTTTTTTGCCAGCACCCTGTCTGAGAATTTCAGTGAAAATACGAAAATCCCGGTTGGTCCTTGCTTTCAGTGGCGGATCCTAAAGTGAGGACTAGCGGTCCCCCAAATACCCACTTGGCCTGGGATGATGGAGGCGGCGCCGCCTGTGAACAGCTTGTCAAGCAGGAGTTTCTTTTCCAACTACCAGAATCCACAGCCAGAAGGAACCTCCCACAGCACCCTACCGCTCCCTGAACCCAACACCCGAAAACCGAGGTGCACCTGGCCTCAGCCTCGGGCAGCGCTCTTGTTGGATCCGGATCCGCTCGGGCTTCCAACAGCCGGCTCACGATGGCATCGTGACCGGATCTCCGCGCGTGCTCCAGCAGCGTCGATCCACCTCGGTGACATCTTTGGCTTGAGCTGCACCAGCATGCACCAGCATGCACCAGCGCATGCCAGCGCATACCAGTAACTGCCCTGGCATCCACGAAGCGCGCATGTCATGCGAGGGAGGCTTCTGCGAAAGCTGCTTGCCAGGCCACTCTTGCTCGAGTTAACGCACTCGGGCTCGAGGAGAAGCCAGCCCTCCACTGCCTCGAGATTACCACTGTCGACTGCCACGAAGGCGTCCGCGCCTCAGATTAAATCGATCTACTTGCCTATGCGGCCCTATTTCTGCAGAAGCATCATGACCGCACTCACAGCACTCTGAGTCAAACACAACAGCTTGCAGCTGCCTCAGCAATAGGAGGCCATAGGAAACGGGCTAGCCCTTGCCGTAGCTTGCCGAGAATAGTTCTTCACAGATGTAAGGCTCTGGCAATGTACGCGTTGCACGCCTGCGCTGCAGGTGCACCCGCCGCGTCGCGCGTTGCACTCTGTGGGCAGGCCATGCCAGAACGGAGTTTTGAATTCTGGGACTACTACTGAAGCATTGTCGCATCTGTCAGTTTTGGCCCCTCCAACGCTACGCAGTCTGCGTGAGGGCTCTTTCACCCTAAGCCTGCACACATCTTATCAGCAGACTATAACCGAATGCATCTTTTGACTTGGCACCTGGGTGCCACGCTACCTGAGAGAAACAAAAACCGCCTGCAATGATACCCAACGAGCGCACATGTCACGCTTACGATCGGTTGCCGACTGCTGCTTCGGGAATCTTACTGGACCAAAGCCCTGTCCAGCCTCCTCTGATGTGCTTCGGAGCACCTGCAACGTATTTAGGAGCTGGTCAGCGTCGGGTTTTGTACAACTCCGGATTCGGGGCTCCGTCGACTGCTTAAGCACATCCTCAAGAAGAACCTTCTGTGATCACGTTGGGGTTGCAGCCCGACAAATTCCCCAAACTCGGGCCTGGGATAGTGGAGGCGGCGCCGCCTGTTCCCGGTCATGTGCAGTACTCAATTCGGAATTGTGTTTTTGTTTGTCTGAATCTCTGATTTCGTGTTTCTGCGGCACAGGCTTCGGCCTCAGTCTGTGGTCTTGCGGTTGGATCCGCTCGGGCTTCCAATAGCCGGCTCACGATGGCATCGTGACCGGATCTCCGCGCGTGCTCCAGCAGCGTCGAACCACCTCGGTGACATCTTTGGCTTGAGCTGCACCAGCATACCAATCCCTCTAACTGCCCTGGCATCCACGAAGCGCGTCTGGTTATGCAAGGGAGGCTTCTGCGAAGGCTGCTTGCCAGGCCACTCTTGCTCGAGTTAAGGCACTCGGGCTCGAGGAGAAGCCAGCCCTCAACTGCCTCGAGATTCCCACTGTCGACTGCCGCGAAGGGGTCCGCGCCTCAGACAAGTCGATTTAGCAGTTTGGCCTACGCCGTCCTACTTCTGCAGAAGCATCGTGATCGTGTTCACACCCCAGCACTCTGAGTAGCAAGCAACTTCTTGCGGCTTCCTCAGCCATGCGCACCGGGCTAGTGCTTCCCGTAGCTTGTCGAGACCTACTTTCGCACATGTAAGGCGCTGGCCATGTACGCATTGCACACCTGCGCTGCGGGTGCAGTGCGCTTAGCGTGTCGCGCGTTGCACGGTTGTGGGGCTAAACTGCAAAACCGTCAGCATCAATGAGTCCGAACGAGCATATTCCAGGCACTTGCAAACACTTCAACCAATTTTTCTCTGTCTGCATAGCATCACATCGCCCCTTCACCTCAAGACACGACAGTTGACAAAAACCCGAAGCCCTAAGCAGCAGAACGAGTCTCGACTTGCAACAAGGCCTTGATACCTGGCATATAATTCTACCCAAGTCCCCATGAAAACCTCGAGACCCCAGAGCACCAAAAGCGTCGCCTACGACCTTTAGACGCATACATCCACGTATACCGTACCTGGAATCTTAGTGGTAGCCCAACACAGCCCTGCACAACCGAGCCTCCTCTTGTGTGTTTCGGAGCCCCTGCAATGCATGTGTTTGGGGCCGGTCAGGGTCGGGTTTTGTACAGCTCTGTATTCGTGCTTCATGCTCAAGAAAATGCCTGCGAAAGTGACAAGCAGGTTCCATGGTCCCGTCGTCTTGAATGCTCACGTTGGAATTGCGGCCCGATTACGGACTTCCAAAAATTCCCAAAGACGTGGGGGTCACATGCAGATGCTCAAGTCTGCTCATTTGGTCTTTTAGTCTGAACTGCATGGCTGATGTCTGACTACGTTTGGCTCTGCAGAACAGGCTTCGGCCTCAGTCTGTGGTCTTGCTGTTGGATCCGCTCGGGCTTCCAATAGCCGGCTCACGATGGCATCGTGACCGGATCTCCGCGCGTGCTCCAGCAGCGTCGATCCACCTCGGTGGCATCTTTGGTTTGAGCTGCACCAGCGCATACCAGTCCCTCTAACTGCCCTGGCATCCACGAAGCGCGTCTGGTTATGCAAGGGAGGCTTCTGCGAATGCTGCTTGCCAGGCCACTCTTGCTCGAGTTAAGGCACTCGGGCTCGAGGAGAAGCCAGCCCTCAACTGCCTCGAGATTCCCACTGTCGACTGCCGCGAAGGGGTCCGCGCCTCAGACAAGTCGATTTAGCAGTTTGGCCTACGCCGTCCTACTTCTGCAGAAGCATCGTGATCGTGTTCACACCCCAGCACTCTGAGTAGCAAGCAACTTCTTGCGGCTTCCTCAGCCATGCGCACCGGGCTAGTGCTTCCCGTAGCTTGTCGAGACCTACTTTCGCACATGTAAGGCGCTGGCCATGTACGCATTGCACACCTGCGCTGCGGGTGCAGTGCGCTTAGCGTGTCGCGCGTTGCATTGTTGTGGGGCTAAACTGCAAAACCGTCAGCATCAATGAGTCCGAACGAGCATGTTACAGGCACTTGCAAACACTTCAACCAATTTTTCTCTGTCTGCATAGCATCACATCGCCCCTTTACCTCAAGACACGACAGTTGACAAAAACCCGAAGCCCTAAGCAGCAGAACGAGTCTCGACTTGAAACAAGACCTTGATACCTGACATATGATTCTACCCAAGTCCCCATGAAAACCTCGAGACCCCAGAGCACACAACCGAGCCTCCTCTTGTGTGTTTCGGAGCCCCTGCAATGCATGTGTTTGGGGCCGGTCAGGGTCGGGTTTTGCAGAACTCTGTATTCGTGCTTCATGCTCAAGAAAATGCCTGCGAAAGTGACAAGCACGTACCATGGTCCCGTCGTCTTGAATGCTCATGGTGGAATTGCAGCCCGATTACGGACTTCCAAAAATTCCCAAAGACGTGGGGGGCCATATGCAGATGCTCAAGTCTGCTCATTTGGTCTTTTAGTCTGAACTGCATGGCTGATGTTTGAATACGTTTGGTTCTGCAGAACAGGCTTCGGCCTCAGTCTGTGGTCTTGCTGTTGGATCCGCTCGGGCTTCCAATAGCCGGCTCACGATGGCATCGTGACCGGATCTCCGCGCGTGCTCCAGCAGCGTCGATCCACCTCGGTGGCATCTTTGGTTTGAGCTGCACCAGCGCATACCAGTCCCTCTAACTGCCCTGGCATCCACGAAGCGCGTCTGGTTTTGCAAGGGAGGCTTCTGCGAATGCTGCTTGCCAGGCCACTCTTGCTCGAGTTAAGGCACTCGGGCTCGAGGAGAAGCCAGCCCTCAACTGCCTCGAGATTACCACTGTCGACTGCCGCGAAGGGGTCCGCGCCTCAGACAAGTCGATTTAGCAGTTTGGCCTACGCCGTCCTACTTCTGCAGAAGCATCATGATCGTGTTCACACCCCAGCACTCTGAGTAGCAAGCAACTTCTTGCGGCTTCCTCAGCAATGGGCAACGGGCTAGTGCTTCCCGTGGCTTGTCGAGACCTACTTTCACACATGTAAGGCGCTGGCCATGTACGCATTGCACACCTGCGCTGCGGGTGCAGTGCGCTTAACGTGTCGCGCGTTGCACGGCTGTGGGACTAAACTGCAAAACCGTCAGCATCAATGAGTCCGAACGAGGCACTTGCAACCACTTCAACCAATTTTTCTCTGTCTGCAAGGCATCACATCGACCCTTCACCTCGAGACACGACAGTTGACAAAAAACCGAAGCCCTAAGCAGCAGAACGAATCTCGACTTGAAACAAGACCTTGATACCTGACATATACTTCTACCCAAGTCCCCATGAGAACCTCGAAACCCCATCACTTGCGACCTTTAGTCGTATACATCCATGTATACCGGCGCTTTGGCAGCTGCCACCACCCTACCCAAGCTTCACTTGGCAACATGCCCGCGATCAGACTGCAAGGGGCAGCTTTTGCACTGCATTTTTCGGGTGGGTGAGGGGAGGAACCCTCTCCTTGGTGCCTTCTGGGTGTTTTGGCAGCTAACGCTACCCTACCCGAGGCTCACTTGGCAACATGCTCACGATCCAACAAGTGCACCCTCTTGCATGGCTCCTTTCAAATACCCTCTTGCGCTGCTTCTTGCAGCTGGGCGGGGCGGGGAAAATCCTCTCTTTGCTGCCTTCTTGACTTCTTAGCAGCTGCCACCACCCTACCCAAGCTTCATTTGGCAACATGCCCACGAGCGCAACTAACAAGCGCAAACAGGGCTTCAGAGGTGCTCCAGCAAGCTTATAGGTCTCCCAAGCTCACTTACGCTGCGGATTCAAGGTGTCGGGTCTAGCGGCTGCTCTCGCTGTCTTCTTCCTCGACCTGCAGTCGCTTTCAGCATCTGCAGCCTGATCGTATGGGCTGGAATCTGAAAGTACGCAGCTTGGACCGCCGACGCGCACTTCCCGTGGCTTGGGCCGGCCCGCCAACCTGAAGCGCCGCGCAGGCCAACAAGTATTCCCGAGTCCCATGAGAATCCCGAGCCATCACAGAACCAGAACCATCGCTCACGACCTGTAATCGACTGGTATACCTGGAACCTTTCTAGACCATAGCCTTGCATAGCACTGCACAGCCTCTTCTGAAGTGGTTCGGAGCGCCTGCACACGCATGATTATAGCCAGTCATTGTCGGGTTTTGCACAACTCTGGATTTGGGGTTCCGCTGACCATCGAAGCACACCTTTGAGAAGGAAGAAGACTCATCGCATGAAAGGACAATGAGGAGGAGCTACTTGGGCCACTAAGGGAGACCTGCAGCTGCTCTGGTCCGCGCATGTCAGGGGAAGCATCTTCGCAAAAAGCCCTGAGGAATGCAGAGGCGAAGCAGATCGTGGTCCCATCATATTTTTTAAAAGCTCGACCTGAGGAATGCATTCCTGCTCTCTCTTAGCCAGGCTACATCCTCCACAAAACGAGGCCTGTGATAGTGGAGGTGGCGGAGGCGGTGCGAAGCTGCCCATGGGCTCTTCAACCGCCTGTCCCGGGCCAGTAATACTCAGCTTCTCACGTCCACCGCTGGTTGCAGAAAGTGCAGAGTATGCAGGAGTGAGCTTGGATGAACTCCCAGAATGAACGAGAAGCGTAGAACGAGCATGTATCATGGAGCGCCTGACCAGGCCTCAATAACTCCGTATGGCTGTCTTTGTGGGTTCCATTTCCGAAGCGGGGGGGGGGGGGGGACACGTTGTTATCGGCTAGGAACCTACGCCCACAACTTAGATCAAGCCCCATAGCCCGAACCCTAAACTCAAGATCCCAAGTGCTTGGGGTTCAGGGTGCAGGGCTTGTGGTTTTCACCCTGTGCCCTCACACCACATCTACATGGCCTGCATCATCTGCTGGGCCATGTCATCTTCCCTGTCAAGGGCGCGCGACAACGGCGTCTCTCCTGGCAGTTTCTTCGCTTTCATTCCAACAAGAGCCTGCAAAGGGCCCCTGGAGGGAGGCCTTGGAAATCTGGTTTAGAGTTGAGGGTGGTCAGTGGAGTATCACTATTACTAAGCCCTCAAACCTAAACCCTAAACTGTCCACCCTCAACCCTGAACCCTCAACCCTAAACCCTCAACCCTAAACCCTCCAGGTTTCTCAGAACCCGGGGCTACCCAAAGAATCCGCATCCACCTATCGGGTGTTCCGCATCCACCTATCGGGTGTTGAGTCGGGCTCCCCTGTTCGACTTTCTCTGAAGTCGGGATTTGGGGCCTTAGGGGTTTGGGGTGACAAAGTGGGACCTTTGGGCTTGAATTCTAGGGTTCTAGTTCTAGTGGTTTGAGTACTCCTTCAAAACAGGTCCTGACAACTGGCCCGAAGTGAGAACGGCTTCCCTACACCCAAACCCTGTCAGGCCTTTGTGGAGCCCACCGTCATGGAAGGCTCTGTACATTTGATTGAGGGGTTTTAGAACCTCTGGGCCCTACCTCACAGGTTGAAGAAGGATGTACCTACTCAGAACAGCAGGCTTGGTGGGTATAGGGTTCAGGGTCCTCATCAGGGGCTCCCGCAAGTTTGATTCACAACGACATCTGGCCTGAATGGTCTTCTTCCTCTGGGTTCGCGCGTGCTTGAACGAGCTGAACCACCCCCTGCTCGGTTCAAAACAACTTCGGGGTTTCGGGTTCATGGCGGGTTTCAGCTGTTCCCCTTGCGGGTCAAACCAAAACTATGGCAGCGACACTTCAGGGGTGTAGGGGCGCATGGTCTGGTCTTTGTGGCGCTGACCTCAGTAGGTTTTACGGGCCAGATGTTCGAAGCCTGGAGCCAATAAGGCTTCTTGATGTTGGGGGAGAAAGCTGCCAAAGCCATAGCAACGATTGTGCCCCCAACAGTTCTGCATCCCACAGCTGCCACCGAGTACAGGGCCTCCAAATTTTACCCCTCCAGAAAGAAAGTCGAAATATGGTGCCAGGCATCAAGCTGTCTGTAACCCTCAGGCCCTCAATTTTCAAAACCCCTGCGCTTGATTCGGGCGCAGATGGTCTTGACATCTTTCCGCCTGACGGTTGCCGCTGCCGGCCGCTACGTGAAGGGGCGTGACACCTCGCAGCGGCTCGCAGTGGAAAAAAGAAGGGAAGGGGCCACAAACCCCTTGGACATTTGGGAGCCCTATCCTATACCCAGCTCCTTGTTGTTACTGAGATCGTTCAGAGATATTACTGATATTACTATTAAATGTTTCCACCACCTTTTTTACGATTACTATTCTTGTTAGGATTGGAGTTCCAGAGCGAGGCCTCGATCGGTCTTCGCGCACGGATCCGCCCGCAGTGTCAGGAGCCGGCCGAGGAGAGCTGCGTGGCCCATCTGGGCCGCTAGGTGTAGCGGACTCCAGCCTTTTCCGGGCTCTGGGAGATCACGTTGGGGAAGTGGGTTTAGGGTTTAGGGTTTATAGGGTTTAGGGTTTTTGGGTTCAGTTGGGCACCCACGAAGCCGGGAATCTTTGTAGAACCTCGCAGAATCTTTTCGTGCTGTTCTGCTCTCTAAAGGTATTCGTCGGCAGTCAAGGGCAAGCTTCCAGACGTCTAGGGCGGGGCATGGCCTCAAACATCAGGAACCCTCCTCTATCGACCCTCCTAGCCCACGACAGACACCCCCTGGTGAGCAAAAACCCCCAACACCAGCAAGACATCAGCCACACAACATGGACTCTTCCCTCGGAAGAAACCCAAGAAGTAGCGGCGATGTGTGACGATACAGAAGGTTTGCGTCTCTTCACCTTTATGACGATGGCCCAGGTCATATAATATAAGGCCAAGCCTCAAGGCAAATTACAAGCCCCCAAAACCTGGTAGCCCAATATCCTAAATCCCAAACCCTAACCCCCAACCCTTTCCCCCAAACCCCAAACCCCGAACCCTAAACTCTAGACCCTAGACCCTAAACTTCAGGCCCCTAAACCCCCTAAAAGGCCCAAAAAACCCTAAACCCTAAACCCTAAACCCTAAACCCTAAACCCTAAACCCTACAGCCCAGGACACCCCTGGCGCCTCCCTGCCAGGAACGCGCGCAGGCCGGGTCCCGCTCGAGGCAGCCCTCCAGCGCAGCCAGGTCACCGCGCCGGATGGCCTCGAAGATGTCGGGACCTCACTTGTGGGGTTTATAGAGTGGAAAAAGGGTTTGAATTTTCGGGTTTCGGGTTTTACTTTTGAGATTTCAGGGTTTTCTCGGGCTTTGGGTCTGGAATTGAGGGTCTTGGGCCTGGGGATGTCTGGAGTCGAGAGTTTTGGGTCCGGGGTTGAGAGTTTTGAGGCTTGGGGTTGGGGCTTCGGGTGAGTCAGGAGCCTTGAACATCGACTACTTTGAAGATCTTCGAAACCTCCGGTGAGCCTTACCCCTTGCTGCAGCCGGCTTTGGGCTTAGCACTTATGGTTAAGGCTTAGGGTTTAGTTTTGACTTGACTGTTGTTACAAACGTTGGGGGCGAAAAGGTTGTGTGAAAAAAGAATGAGTTCCCACGGGCAGCAAGAAAAACAAGGGGACCGTGACGCTTGGAACCCCATCGCGATTGAATAACCTTGGCCTTGACATGTTCGACACCGTGGAGCTAAACGAGAACCATTAAATCGCGAGGAGTGGGGAGCTCTCGCAGCTTTCAGGGAAGAAAAGATTCGCACAGTTCGCAGATGGAGAAGTCTGAGGGCCGGGCTACGGCCGTCCGCAGCCTGCACACGAAGTTCCGGAACCCCGAAAAATTGAGAATCCTGTGAACCATGAGTTGCGACGCTGCGGTATGTGCTAGCAAAAAAGAGTAGCCCAAGACAGCGCGTTTCGTACTTGCGTGCTTACCATTTCTGCAGTGCTGTCGACTCCCGTCTCGCCAAACATTCACAGGAGAAAGATCAACTCATCTCGGCTCTGAGTTCCCATCCCTCCAAGACACGCCCCGGACTTCTCTTGCCTCCATGTTGCCTGTCAAGAACCCTGCGCCATCATCGCTTCATATGCCAACCACTAGGCTCTGAAGAAACCGAACCAACGGACTGAATCGATTGAACACGGCTCCCGAGACATTAAGGAAGTGATTGTCCGGCGGCAATACTGCACACCGCCACAGACACACCCCCCAGTTCGCATCCTGCACACCTCATCCGTTCCAGATCTCGCCGCGAGTCGCGGGGGAAGGTTTTAGGTGCGTACACCTCCTCAAGCAGCGCCACTAGCAGAGTTCCCCACGTCCGGTCCTTAACCCAACGCCAACCCTGAGACCAAGCTGCGGGTGGCGGGGCATGCCATATTGGTGGTGTCTTGATCTTGGGTCAGCAAGCATTGTTGGGAACGCTTGCGACACAGCTTCCCCAAAGCACCATTGAACCTTCAAGAAGACAGCCTTTTGATGTCATGTAAGAAGCATTGCATTTGCCAGGACAGTAGAGCGCCAATAGGAACTCCCCCCACCACCGCACCAAACTGTTAAACTGTTAGCTGCCTCCTCGGCTTGTGCACGTCGTTGCGCCTCCCAGGCGGCGCGTCTTTGCGCCTCCCGGCAGGTATACAGACTACCATAGCAGGGGGTTCTACCACAGGGTGTACCAAGTTTGGGGTTCCCATCGCGCTGCGTGAGTACATCGTGGTAGTCCGATCATCATCCTGTCTCCTTGCCCACAGCAACCTTCCGATTTGATTGAAAAACGACTCCCTCTTCGACATCGCGCAAAGACCGGCTTGCCTTTGATTTTTGACAGGCCCACGGTTAGGTGCTTCGAGCTCTGCCGACGAGAGAACGAAACGAAGCTAGACTCGTGTCAGTCGCCAAGGGCCTCGCTCCTTGCGTCCTTAACCCTCCACCAGCACGTTTCCGCTTAAGAGAAGTGGTCGTTGAAAAGCACGTAAGACTTGATGTGCGCATTGCGCGCAACGATCACCCTCTGGCAGACAATTCTTCTGGCACACTGGCACACTTTCTGTAAGCCTGTACAGCGAATCCTCCGCCAAGACGCCGACACCACGCTTGCGACCCTAAACCTTAAACCCTGAAACCAAAGCCATGAACAGCTGTCGGGAGACGAGCAAAGTACCAAGAGCCCACCTGCACGTCCCTGCGATCTGCATCTGCAGCCTCTTGTGCGCGTCTTTGCGCCTCCGAACAACCAGAACGCTTGGGGGCCCATCCAAACGGGAACCTCAGCACACCTAGGCCGAGATGTAGCGGGTTGGAGCTGTAAGTTTAGGTCACGTAGTGCTGTCGTTGCAGCCCTTCGATCAAGAATACCCCCGCGGAAACCTCAAAGTCAGATTCTGTGTTCGTGATTAATAGGATGATAACCTTATGACGAGAATTGACGAGACCAGCCCTAATTCCACAGTTCGTACCTCTCCCCTTGGCTGGTTTTGGCTTGCTCTGGCTTGACTCGCAAGGCCCCTAAGACACCACGACTGTCCGAGGTATGAGAGGATTCTGCGGTGCTGGGCAACCATTCAGGGATTCTGCTTAGCAAGAGGTGTTCGAATATGCGGGAACGCTGCAGGAGCAAAACACCAAGATGCACAATCCGCGCACCTCCTCCCGGCGAGCTGCCTCGCGTCTTTGCTCCTCGCATGGTAATTGGAAACCGAAAAGCTCTCTCGGTCTCTCTCTATCTCTCTCTCTCTCTCTCCTTCTCGCTTTCTCCTCTCTGGCCGATTGTGCCTATCGGCATTCCTTGTGAAACCTTGATTGGGGTCTGGAGCCTGTCTGCAGGACTCAGCACTAACATACACCAACAGAGCAACAGAAGCCTACGACCTGGATTTCTTTTTCAGCTTACAAACTCGCACGTGGGAGCACATGGATACCCCCAAAACACCAAAGCTCCACATAACTAGGGCTGAACGCTTCGACCCTCTGCTAGAGGCGACAACGACATCGTCAACAGGTCTCACCGGGCTTGCGCCCAATTCCCCCTGAACTGGCTATTGGGACATCCTTTCGGTCCGGGGTCTGGGACCTTTGGGCATTGCTGGGCGACATGGTCTTGGGGTCGGCAGTCGGCGGGCGTCGTCATGTCAGAATGCTTGCCAAGAAACCCAGGGATTCTGCTTTGGAAGGGCGGTGTTTCGAAGCAAGTAAGCCAGATCAGCGATATTTGTGAACGCCAGAAGAACAGAGCACCGAGATGAACCAAGATCCCACCTCCTCCCTGCGAGCTGCTTCGGCAGCGGCAGCCTCGTGGGCGCGTCTCTGCTCCTCCCAGAATGCAAGGCGATGCGTGGCGACTTGGAACTGAAGCCAGTAGCCTTCGAACTGGATTTCTTTTTCAGCTTACAAACTCGCACGTGGGAGCACATGGTCATCCCCAAAACATCAAACCTCCGCTAGACGCGACAAGGACATCGTCAACAGGTCTAGTCCGACGGGGCTTGCGGCCAATTCCTCCTGAACTGGCTATTGGGACATCCTTTCGGCCCGGGGTCTGAAAAAACCTGTTGCAGTGCGGGGCGACCTGGTCTTGGGGTCGGCAGTCTGCGGGCGTCGTCATGTCAGAATGCGCAACGTATGAATTTAAGATGTTCTGTTGCTGCGGCTGCTGTATAGGCTTAGCCCAAGGGTCACACTTTTCTGAGCTGGCCGAGTATAGGCCAAACTGAGACTCGGATTTGTGCTGTGCGTGCAAAAACTTGTGCAGAGCGTTGAGCTCTTCCTCTCGGTATTGCGCCACCTCAACTGTTCACGAACCGTGTCGACCCAAACACGCTGCTTGCCGCTACTCCGGTTGAAAAATGCTCGTCGGAAACCCATATGGAAACCCACGGCAGATCAGACAGAACCTTCCTGCCTTAAAGAAAACGTGCCAGACATAGGCCGGGAAATTCAGGTATTCTGCTTGGGGAGGTGGTGGTTTTTCGAAGCGCGCTTTCACAAAAAGATCATGACTTGAGTATCGTGAACGCCAGAACAACAGAGCCACAGAGCACCGAGATGAACCAAGATCCCACCTCCTCCCTGCGAGCTGCTTCGGCAGCGGCAGCCTCTTGGGCGCGTCTTTGCTCCTCGCAGAATGCAAGGAGATGCGTGGCAACTTGGAACCCAAGCTTGCGTTTGAAAGCGCGAAAGTCAGATCAACGATATTTGACGTCGACTGAACGCCAGAAGCACAGAGCACCGAGATGAGCCAAGATCCCACCTCCTCCCTGCGAGCTGCTTCGGCAGCGGCAGCCTCTTGGGCGCGTCTCTGCTCCTCCCAGAATGCAAGCAGATGCGAGGCAACTTGGAACCCAAGCTTGCGTTTGAAAGCGCGTAAGTCACATCAACGATATTTGACGTCGACTGAATGCCAGAAGAACAGAGCACCGAGATGAACCAAGATCCCACCTCCTCCCTGCGAGCTGCTTCGGCAGCGGCAGCCTCTTGGGCGCGTCCCTGCTCCTCCCAGAATGCAAGGAGATGCGTGGCAACTTGGAACCCAAGCTTGCGTTTGAAAGTGCGTAAGTCAGATCAACGATATTTGACGTCGACTGAACGCCAGAAGAACAGAGCACCGAGATGAACCAAGATCCCACCTCCTCCCTGCGAGCTGCTTCGGCAGCGGCAGCCTCTTGGGCGCGTCTCTGCTCCTCCCAGAATGCAAGGCGATGCGTGACAACTTAGAACAGACCTCTCTCTCTGCCTCTGTGGTCAATAGCACCTATCAGCAACATTACTTGCGCAACCTTGACTTACAGTTCTGGTTGTACCAGAATTAATGCAAAGGGAAAGACTCAGCAAGCTACACCTAAGACCTGGGTTTCAATCTCCCCGTGCACAGCCAGCGGAGGAACTGATTCAGATGCCCAAAACTATAGCATGGTGATTCGCCCACTTGCTCTCCCATTAGGACACCGATGCCACCCCGTGCTACCACAAGCGAGGTCGGAGAATCTGCACAGGCTGTTCGTCATCACGCAGGAAGCGCGTAATTCAACTACACAGTGCCCACCTCCTCCCTGCGAGCTGCCTCGGCGGCCTCTTGTGTGCGTCTTCGCTCTGAGAAACCGATCTTGAGGACTCCAACTTACAACATACAACCCAAAACCCCCAACCCTAAACTCCCTAAACCCGGCTTCCTCAGGGGACCGGCAGAAGTAGAGTCCGGCTTCGCGAATCTGCGGCTTCTACACCCCTGACCCATGAATCCGAAGCTCTTGTGTAAGAAGTCATAACCCTAAACCTTGCGATGAGCCTCTGCAGCCTGAAGGGCGTCTTTGGCCTGCCGCAGAAGGAATACATATGCTATATAGGTAGAAAGCCCCAAAGAGCCTTGGGGTTCAGAATTTTTGGGGTTTAGCTCCACCCCATTTCGGAAGGAAAGCTGTGAGGATTCATGGGAAGCCGGCTGAGGCGAGCCATTGACTGCACACCTCTCTGAGCCCTACCCTCCTACCCTACCCTCTTCGGGTTTAAGGATTGTACGGTCCCTAAACCTTAAACCCTAAACCCTGAACCCTAAAACCTCTTCTGTGCCTCTTCCCATGCGGCTTGCACGGCCGCTGGCGGAACGGAGGGCCAGAGCCACTCACCAGCACCTGCCCAGGCGATGGCGAGGAGGTGTCGCTCCCCAACCTTGCAGGTCCTGGGCTGTAAACGCAGTCGAGGGACGTAAGTCAGGCTACCAAGAATAAAGGAAGCCACACCATCTACTTTTTTTAGCCCAACATGGCATCAATTTAACGTGCAACTTCCTTAACAGCAACCCCGGGTCAGCTGCTGAGGAGTCTGGAACTGCTGGCGCATCAGCCTGCCAGCCTCAACCTCCCCGATTGCCATCTGGTTGTCCGTGGGGCCAAGAAGGATGGTCGAACGGATGGCAGCACCCCAGTCTACCCCGAAGAAACTCTGGTACAGGGCTTCGGCATCGGCCAGTGAAGAGACTGGAAAGAGGACCAAGCGGAAGCAACAGCGAAGTGCGACCTCCGTGCCACCCACGTGGAACACCTTCATGTCTTCATCCACGTACTCTGACAACCAGTAGTCCTCAAAGGTCTCCTGGCAAGCGGAGGAAATTCTAAGAGGGGGAATGGCCCCTTTAGATTTGCAGGTGGTCCTTGTAGTGAATGAAATCTTCATCCTCCGTTCTGCTGTGCAGGCCTACGTGGCCTTTCCACCTTTCGCTCTTGCATGCTTCCGCGCTGTACCTTAGACCAAGCTACGCAGAGAAGCCAAAGAATAAGGGCGGATCGCATCACACATGGCAACCAACGAACCCAAGCCAGAGCAGGAACAAGGTGCTTGGACTTCCACTGCGGAGCCGGCAAGAAAAGGCCAAGCTCCTTGAACATCCGCATGCTACGGCTCAGATTGGCCAACTTCGCAATGTCTGCAGTCGCAGACAAGACGACCTTGTCACTTTCTGATCTCCAAAGAATAGAACTGGTTGACTGGTTGTGCTGAAGGAACTGAATCTACACTACCATGAAACGGATATACAACGGATAAGGTGGCCTACTGTGGCAACTGTATTTCAAAATTCCTTAACAGAACCCAGTTTACAAATGCGGGGTGTCCAAGGATGCGGAGGCAATAAGGACCTCTGACAAAAGTTTCTGAATACAGGTTCTTATGGAAAACTTCTCTAAACCCTAAACCCTAAACTCTAAGTACAAATTGTGCTGAAATAGGTTAAAGGAAGGTCCAGATGACCTTGACACAGCAGCGGCTGTCCAACTGCAGCGGCTCCAAGCGAAAAGCGTCGATGCCCACGTTCTGGAGCGTTTCCTTAGTGGGCCGCCCCTGCAATGTCTCCGCAGTCCATCGTCTTAACACCCTCTGGAACCGACATGCTGAAAACCGACAGACTCGGCAGCAGCCCATGTTGCCAAACATATCAGCACGCGATGGTCCGTGAAGGGTGTCGATACGAGTACCAACGCCCTTGTGAGGAGCGGTAAATCTTCCCTGAATAGCAACCAAAGATGGCACAACAACAGTAGTGATGATAAGGCGAGTATCCATTCTGGGAATAAGCTGATAGTAGCAGTAAATCTTCTGAGCCTTTGCAATCTTAGGTCCCTGGAAAGCCTCTTGACTGAAACTTTAATCCCCCAAAACGAAAATCCCATAACCGCCCTGACACCCCTAAAAACACCCGCAAGGCCCATCTTGGAAGGTCTTTCTGGGCCTCTCCCTCACTGCAAAGCATCCCGGAGCTGATCCAGTCTTTCCGTGGGAACTGCCAGCTGATAGCCTCTGAAGGAGACCTCTTGCAAGCACTGTAAGGCCGACGTCATGGCCTGCTTCGCCTCGCCAGGAGCCGATTTGGGGCGTCGGAATGATGGGGTTGAGGAGTTGGATTTAGGGTTTGGGGGGGCTGAGGGGCTGAAGACGTGTAGAATTTAGGGGAGTTTTGGGGTTTAGGGGGCTTAGGATGTAGAACTTAGGCTAGGCAACAAGGTGCTCCAAGGAGCTGCTCTGGCCCGCTCGTGCCCCAGCACGCTCGCTTGGGGAGCGGCATTCTGGGTGAGCGTGTCGGAGACTTCGTCGATACGTCGCAGCAGCTCTGCCTTCGTCGCCTCGGTTGGGTTTGGGGTTCGGGGCTTGGGGCCGCCTCCGAGAACTATTCCTGAAAACGGTGCCCTCCGAACCCAAAAAAAACGCCAAAACCACAAAGAGTGTCCCAAGGGCCGACCTGGCTGCATTGCCATTGTAGAGGAGCTGCATAAGATCCTCCTCGAAGCCACCATGCCCGCCGTGCTCCAGGGCCTCCAAGATGGACCTGCAAGGCCCGACTGCATCGACTCCGAAGGGCTCCAGCCAGGAGGCCATGGATTTGCTCCCTTCCTTAGGGGGACTCAAGGGAACCTAAAAGGGTTTATGGTCCATAGACCGGTAGTAGGGGTGTTAAAGTAGCATAGGGGCAGAGGGTGTATGACCCCAAAGTAGAGGGCTCATGTGGTCCCCCGAGGCTCCTCCAGTCGCCTGGCACGCTCTTCTTGCACGTGTCCCTGGAGCGAGGCGAGCTCCGCCTTCAGCAGCTCGGCGATCTCGGGCTCTGGGAGATGCTGGCAGAGCGCCGGCATCCCCCCGGACTTGAAAACATACTCGTGCCAGATGCTGGGGAGCCCCTCCTTCTCCACGTCGTGCACGGACAGCGTGAAGAGCTGCTCACCATCGGACTGCCTCAGGGCTTCTTGCCATGGGACGCCTGCCGAGCCCGCGAGCTTGCGCCCGAGCCATTTCTCCACTTCCTTGTGGACAATCGAAGCTGGCATCTCTAGGATTCCTGAGGCCGTCTCCTCCAGGCGTGCTTCGGCTCCCACCCAGGCGTCCTCTGCAAACACATATTCCTCTGAGAGCCGTCGGAGCTGCTGTCGCTCCTCCGCCGCAAGCTGCTGCAAGGCATCTGCCCGCTCAACCTTTCGGGCTGCTGCCTCGAAGGCGTTCAGGCGGTACCTGAAAGTCCCAAGCCTATTCACTGTGTGAGACAGGGAAAGAGAAGAGAGGAAGGGATGGATGGACAAAGAGTGGTGAATGATCCTCAGTGAGAAAGTGAGAGAGAGAGAGAGGGAGAGTGAGAAAGTAGAGAGAGTAGAGAGAGTGAGAGACCGGGGGAATACGAGAGACTGAGAGAGTGAGAGACCGGGGGAGTAAGAGAGACTGAGAGAGTGAGAGAGTGCGGGAGTGAGAGACTGAGAGACTGAAAGAGTGAGAGTGTGAGAGCAAAAGAGCAATGAGTCAATGAGGCTGTGGAGTCTGGCAAGGGACTCCTTTTGCAAGATTCAAGAGCCAAAGGGAAAAAATGAACCAAAGCCGAGTAACACAGGGCCACATGGAATGCGAGGGAAAGAGGGGCGAAAAAGATGAAGAAAAGGAAAGAGACTGCCCTTGCAATCAGGGCGCCGGATCTCCACGTCTGCGCAGCACTGGCAAAGGGAGCGTGCTGCGTCCAGCAAAGGCTGCACGTGCTTGTCCGAGGCCGACTTCAGATGCTTGGCCTCTGTTTCAGAGAAAGCCAGAGAAAACTCAGCAAAGACGATCCAAACTCAGCTTCCTGGTTCTTGGGAGACCTTGGGCCTCTGCGTTCCTCTCAGGACTGCATGAGAAACCTTGTAATTGCTAGGTCCCTAAACGCCTGACAACGAACCGGTTGGTCCAGGTCAAGGCGCCGCTATTCCTGCAGGCAGCTCGTGCGACGCATCTTGTGACAGCCCACCTAGCCAGATTTGGGGTAGAGGGCTCAATCAGGGAACCCTTTTGGAGTTTGCAGCAAAGCCCCTAAACCCTAAACCCTAAACCCTAAGCCCTAAACCCAGAACCGAGAAAGGCTTCAAAAGGTACTGCTGGGGCTTCATAGCTGCTGCTGCGCTCGGAGATCTGCTGCGTCAGATCTTGGATCTTGAAGGGCAGAATCCTTGCAGTCTCACTGAGCCCTAAACCCTAAACCCTAAACCCTAAACCCTAAACCCTAAACCCTAAACCCCAAACGTCTCAGGCTGTCGCTCTTCTGGGGGTCTCGACCAGAAGCGTGGCACCACTTTTTGTAAGGCGAGTTTAGGGCTTTAGAGATTAAGGGTTCATGGGGTTCGGGGTTTATAGGGGTTTGTAGGGGTTTAAAGGGGCAGGCTTATAGGCGTTGAGGGTTTAAGCAGCGGGGTTTAAAGCCCCCCCCCCCCCCCCAAACTCCCCCCCAAAGCAAATGAAGCGAGGCGCCGGACGGCCTCAACCGGGACGTCCTTGATGAAGCCCCGAAGCTCTTCAAGTGGGCCCAAGACCCTCATGCCTCGAACCACGCATGAAACGAGGGACTCGACCGAGGGCGTGGGGCTTCGGCTTAGGGCGCCTCCTCGAAAAACCCAAAATCAGAAGACCCTGAATCCCTACCCGGCCTAAGCCTGTAAACCTGAAAACCCTACACCTGAAACCCTCAACCCCAATGTCCTCAATTTAAAGCCCTGCAAAGTGTTCCCCGAGCCCGGAGTTTGTCGAGATCGATCTCTATCTATTCATCTATACGAATGTGAATGTGCAATGAAAATCTGGTGAGTAACCTTGAACCTGCAAAATGCATGTCTCCTTCTGTAACGTAGAAGCAAGGCAATGTAAACGAATAACGCAAGAATCATTTGATGCAACACAATGCATGCGCATGCAATGAAAGATGCCAGCCGGTACATGTCGGCAGCCACTAATACGAGAACTTGGTATCTCAACTTCTAACCGCCTGGTGAAACAAACATCGATTATGGCCCGATAGCCATTCTACACCCTAAACCCTAAGCCTGAACCCCTAAACGCCCGCCCCATTCCAAAACCCTAAGCCCAAGAAAGTAAAAGCAGAACTCAGAAAAAGGCCCAGATGCAGGGCTCACCATTGACCGTCGTCCTTTGGAGCATCTCATGCTCGCCACGCTTCACTCTCTGCACCGCCTCTCTCAGATCCTGTAGAGGTTCAGGCTTTAGGGTTCGAGGTTTCGGGCTTAGTGTTCAGGGTTCAGGGTTTAGGGCTCCGGTTCTTGCATAGCATGGGGATAACTGTACGTTCTGACTATCGGAGGATCTCATTCCATGAGCTAATATAGGGGTTCCTATACCTTGTGCAAACCCCGTCCTCCAAGGCACCCGGACGGGCCTGCGCCTCCACGTAGTTGAAATGCTGCTCGATATCCTGGGCTGCATGAGCATAGATTGAAAGCCATGGTCTTTGCCTAACATTGCTTTTTAGGAGAAATAAGTTATCCTAAAAAGTGACATGGCAAAGATTCTGGTTTCCTACTGTGTGAACTGAATGTCAAATCTCTTCCCTAACAACAACCCGGTCTCTGCAGTCAGCTTCTGCACCTCTTCGTCCAGCCATTCCAGCGCCGCCTTCTCCCTGAGTTTTTGCAGAGTTGAATGCCAGGGCAGGCTTTCTGTCGAAACGGCCTTGACTGTGTCTTGCAGAAGCTCCAGCAACTGCTCGGAGCCCTTCAGGAAGCAAGTTCTGCCGTCCGACTCGAACTGCTTGGGTGACAAGTTTGGCCAGACGTGCTTTGCAAGGATTGCACCCAGCTTGTCCCGGAAGCCTACTTCAAGGACCTTGGACACAACGTCCTCCTTGTTGACGCCAGGAACAGGGCTGGGGAGCGTGCCGAAGGAAACCGTCCCGAAGGCGTCGCTGATGAACTGCATGCTGTCCCGCAGATCACTCTTTCGGTTGGACAGCCGGCCGGAAGCCTCATCCCACGCCGCTTGGTCCTCGTCGAGGTTCTGAAGAGAGTTCCAGTCCCTTGCCAAGTAGAGGACTTTCGGCTGGTGTTTCGCAATCCACTCGTTCTGGTCGAAGAAGCTCTTGTACTGCAATGCCAGGCGATACAGGGGTGCCTTGAAGCCTTCATCCACGGTGTTGCTGATCTTGTTGTTCAGGATCATGACACTGGACAGGACACAGGCGATGGTGAAGAGCCTCACAAAGTAGTCCGGGTCCGTGCCGTCTTCGGCAAAAAGGCCCTCGGAATCCAGGAAGAGCAGGGCCGTGTCCCTGTTCAGGGCACCAGGGGCCGTCAAAGGCTGCATGGAGACCCACAGCCCCTTCGTGCACGCCTTCCCCGTGGCGTCAGAGCACTTGAAAAGCGCTCCTCCATCGCATTCGCTGCAATGCCGGCGCATGAGCTCCAGCAACGTGCTCTTTCCCTCCCGGGGCTTGCCGACGACGCTCAAGAAGGACATCTTCCTGTGGTTCACGAGGGCGTCCAGGCGTTCTACGGCCGAACTCAGCACGACGAGCTTTGTCTTTCCAGGAGTCTCCGTCTTGTGCACAAAATGCGCAGTCTCATCTCTGAGGTGGTAATTGTACTCGCCCAACATCTCGCACAGCAAGTGCTTCAGCAAAGCAAGGTCCACCTCCCTCTCACCTGCGTCACCCAGGGTCACCTGAAACTGGACTGGCAGCACCAGAGGCAGAGACTTGGGCGTCACGGCTAAGAGCTCGCAGCAGTTCGCTCGATCGCCAGGCAACAGGGCCTCGCGACAATTCGGGAGCTCAGCGAGGATGCAGCCGGGGCTCCTCTCGCGTGCAGCTTTGTAGACCTCCGCCATGCGATCCCCCGGCTGAAACGGGATGTCAACGTAGTCCTCCGGGGACCCAAAGACGCGCACGGCCCCGGCGGCCGGCGGCGCCAAGCCTTCCGGCCGCTCAAAGCGCTTCTTCGGGGAGGCTTCCTGCGCTTCCATCTGCAAAGTGCCCCGCACCCCATTCACCTCCAGGCCCTCCGGTAAGGGACATGATGCGAAGACCTCCTCAGCTGCAAGGGCCGCTGCCTCCCTTCATCCTAAAGTCTTTCGCTGGTTCCCGAAACCCTAAGCACGAGTTTTTGTCAAGCTCCGCAGAAGAGCGGACGCTTGCCGAGAACTTTGTGGACAAACGCCCTAACCTTTAAGCAAGACTAGTGGCCGTTGAATGCGGCCAAAGCGCCCACTCAGCGGACGAGATTCGCTCCAGCCGGAAGTCTCGAACCGCGCGCAGTTCCAGCTCATCTTTCAGGTCATCTTGGTCGACGCTCGCCTGTGGTGGCAAGCCAGGGCTGGTTGGATTTTGTTTTGGGACTGCAGCCCTAATCAACGTAACCCTACAAGGAACTATAGGCCCTATGACACCGATAACCCTTTCAAACTTCACCCCTAAAACACCCCAGCAAGACCAAAGTCCCGGTCCTGGAATCGGAAGATCCGTCTTGATCCATCGGGTGCAGACATGCGTTTAAGGTTTCGGGCTTAGACCCTAAACCTCCGGTACTATATGCACTGTCTAACTCCTGTGGGTATGGCCGTCTGACGCATCTCACCTTCTTCCGCATCTAGTTGACATGCCCCTGCATCCTCATGCGATGCGCTGTGTGCTTTTCGCAGTGGCTGAATGAACGAACCCCCTTGCTGGAGACTCTGCGGCAGGGCAGTGACTTGCAGGAAGTGCGCCAGCTTCGCAGAGCAAAGAGTGAGCCCAAACGTTCACCCTGTCAGCCCTTCCGTGCAACGCAAGCCTCTTTCCGCGGCGTGTGCTGGCTGAGCTGAGGATTTATGGGCGTGCGCCATGAGGATTGCCGAACGCGGCTTACTGTAATCCCTTCCCACTAAATACAAATTTGCTTCTCGTCTGACAAGTCCTGTTATTTCTTCTGGGGCGTGGAGGGGGGGATATACATAGTACTGTAGTGGGAAGGGATAACACACCTGCACCAGCCACTGTAGCAGCGGGAAGCGGACATCTGACGTACCGGGCACTTGGCCCGTGGCCGTGCTTCTAGACATAGCGAATTGCAACCTGAGCTCGCAACACAAAAACACAGACACAAGACTAGACGAGGTTTTCGGGAAACGATCTCAAGCGCTATAGTCCCGAAACGGAGGAGCTTGCTCGGTTGAGGAAGCCGCTGCTTCAAAGCCCCAGCCAGCGTGCTTGAAGCGCTCGCGCAGCACCAGCCAAGCCGAACAATTGCTCACGTAGCGAGGGGTTCCTGCGGTAGTCCAGCAGCTCTCCATGATCTTGGTGAAACCGTTGTCAACGATGACACGCCCGGTGCCCTCCTTTGCCTTCACCTGCTCTGTCGAGGCTTCTTTGGAGACAAGGACAGGCCTGTTGTTGGAGGACGTGCCAAACACCTTCCAGGAGCTTGGCAGATTGTCGGGGTAGCAAATGGTGACGCCCTCGTGGAGCTTCACGATCCCCGCGCAGACCTTGGGATGATCACCAAAGTGGCCTGGCTGCTTCGGGTTGCCCGGAAGCAGCTCCGTGCCACCTGGTGTGTTGCCTGTCAACCTGAAGTTGAAGAGCCTGGAGAGGATCTCATTCGCATGCACGAAGTATGGTTGGTTGTCGCCCCAGATCATGAGACCGCGGCCCTTCTCATGGAACTTTTGCACCTCGGACAGAAAGGCCTCCTTGTTGCCATTGAACCTGTCGGAGCTGATGATCCACGCCACGTGGTAGCGGCCCTGACGCATCTCCTGAGTGAACTCGTCCTCCGTGACACAGTGCTTTACCTCGAAGCCCTTCTTCTTGAGCTCCGGAACGGTGAGCTTGTCCAAGGACTGAGGCAACTGTTCTCCTCGGTACGCGCACAGCACCAGGATTCTGAAGCCCTTAAAGGCACCATCCTTGGCGAGGTCGAAGTTTCCGCCAATGGGATTACCGTACTGGTCCAGCTTGGCGTCCCCGTACTGGCCGGCGATCGCCCCCTCATTGTAGATGTCGGCCTGGCATCTGCTGGCTTGGTAACTTCGGGGCTTGAGCACCGAGGAAGAGGAGGAGGCCTTGGGAACTAGGCTATACTTAGTACTGCAACTCTGTAACTAGATCACCTGGGTCGAGGTCTTGTAACCGGGCACAAACCCTACACCCTAAACAGATTTCAACCCTCAACCCACTACCTGTTTACACCTTCGGGTCTGAGCGTCCATGTCGCCACCCTGGTCGGTCTCCACATCCATGGCGGTGAAGTCCAAGCCTGTGGAAGGTCCCGGCGGCGCCTCGCAGGGATGCGAAGCTCTTAGTGGAGTGGTTCTTAGTAAAAAAATCACGGAAACAAGCTATGTATAGTATATAGCCTTTAAGAGGTTCTGTAGGAACGCTAGTTCCCAATTCCTTTTACTAAGAACTGGCAAGCGATGCAAGCAGGCTGTGTGCAAGGTGTTGTCTCGGGTTGCTCTTGAGAAAATCTAAAGTAAGCTTGCATGGTGTGGGTATAGAACCTTATAAGACCCTAAACCCTAAACCCTATGTAACACCCCCCGCCCTTGCTTTTGCCACTGGATGCCCAGCCTCCGAGGAAGAAGCGGCAGCCGAGGATCGAGGTTGCGCGGCGCGCCCGGGTCCTTGAGGGGCCTTGGCCGCCTCGCTCCTCGAAGGCCCCGAAGGCTGGCCAGGCTGATCCTGCCAGGTTTGCAGGCAGGATTGCCACATGCTGCTACCTGGTCCCGGATTGCCACATGCTGCTACCAGGTCCCGTCTCTGCACACAGACTACACATAGCATCACATAGCCAACCTTCCTGGCCTGCGAGAGAAGACGGAGACCTTCCTCCGTCAGGTCATAGGAACTGTTGGAATGGTGGTAGTACATGCGATGCGCAGGGTCTTTCGCCCTGCATGTCCTTCCATAGCGGCACGGCAGAAGCAAGTCCCACATGTTCGCATGGTGAAACTTTGCTCGGTGATGTAAGTCGCCTAGCAAGGCGCAGTGACCGCCCGAAGGACACTCTGGCTTGTCCAGGTGGACGAACTGCTTCATGTGCTCGGAATCCCCACGCTGGCGACAGGTGCGGCCGTGGAGGCACAAGTGGCGCTTCTCCTTCATGTGCTCAGCGTGAGCTTCACGCCGCTGTGCCAACTCACATGTGACTCCTTTGTCGCAAATAGGCAGCTCTGAGGTAGTCTTGAACCAGCTGGCAATGAATGACAAGAGGCCCTGCGCCGGCCCTGATTCAAGGCCCACCTGCACACTGGCATCACCGCCATCCCCGCCATCACCGCCTTCAGCATCGTCCGCCTCAAGCACTCGCCAAGAGCGCTCGTGCTCCAGCAAGTGCGTGTCTTCATTGCCCACGTACACACGGACGTCCGTGAAGCTGATGTACCCTGGAGGAACACGAAAGCTCGCGTAGGTGGGCATGGTCGGGACTTTGGTCATCTCCAGGCTCGCGGTGGAGAGCATTGAGGAGACTCCGGCGTGGCTGAGGGTGATGCGACTCTCGGGGCCATTGATGTCCAGGCAGTAGAGCACGGGCTGGACACCCTGACCGACACGCTTGTTAAACTCTAGGTTTCGGTATGCTGTGTTGCGGCTTGGCTCCTGGGCCAAGCACTGCAACCCTGCGATCTGGAAGGAGATGGGCTGCGTCAGCATGCGGCTACTTCGCTGCGATGCCAGGTACACCTCAAACGTGGGCCGCGACGCTCGAAAGAAGATCCGCGTCCTCTTCTTCGGCTGCAACTGCACGGGGAGCACCACCTCTCTTGAACGAGAGGCCAGCGAGGTCCAGGTGAAGCCTGGGGTTGGCAAGGGCCGCATGATGGGATTCGAGGCCTGCGTCCACTGCGCTTCCTTCGCCAGCCTGTCCCCATCCACCAATTTCCTGGGCTGCTGTCACGGAACTTAATCACTAAGCCACCACAATAACAAGGAAGCCTAATATACACATTCTGGCACCTTCATGTCTGTTGATGAACAGCAGCCCAGCTTCAGGCGAGTGAGAAACACGTGCTGAGCACGTTCCTGGTCATCTCTGCTCATCTTCTGGAACGTACGCTTGGACATGATCACCGACTCCACCCATGTTAGAGGCGTGACGTAGGGCAAATGGCACTCCACAACCACGTGGGCGTTCTCCTTCTTGAGGTACCTCACCATGTCCTGGGCCGTGGCATCGGGCATTCGCTTGCCCTGCTTGTGCACAGCTCTGGCCATGAACTCCGTGGCCAAGGCTTCGTGAAACAGGGGCGAGCTGGGGTGGAGCTTCTCAGATGCCATCTTGTCAAATGGGCTGTTGGGCTCCTCACACCTCTTCCACCAGGGACGGTGCGCATCACCGTGACCGGAGTTGTAGAACGTGGCTGCCATGGGCGTGCAGAAGACGTCCGGATGGTACAAGGAGTCGGGCCGGAGGACCAGATGAACGCCGAGGTCCTCCTGATCTTGCGGGTCCTCGCCATAGTCGTCAAGAGTGTGAGGTCCCAGGATCGCAAAGACCATCTTGTTGGTCTCCTGAGGACAGAAACGAGCGTCAAAGAACAACCCCCCCCCAAAAAAAAAATGAAAACGAAAAATAGCACTCCCGACACCGCAAACCTGATCTACACCCAACATAAGCCCTGCAAACGAACCCTGGCCCCATCTAAGTCTTTTTTCTTATGCCCTAAATCAACCCTCTGCAAACCGTAGAGGAACCATACACGTGCAAGCCCTTGCTCAAACAGCTCGAACCCTAAAAGCTCTACAAGCCCTGGACTACCCCTACATGCCCTTCCCGACACCCCAAACCTTCCAAAAAGACCCTAGTGCCTCAAGTAGTGCCTCCAAGGCCTCCTTCAACCCCAAATCCAAAACCATCAGGAGCGTGTGAACTGGAAATATCAATCACGTGTATTGAACTAGGTTTAAAAACTGATTGAGAAACTCCACGACACTTGTCCAAAAACATACCCAAGCCTTCCCTCGGACCTGATCCCTTTCATTTCAACCCAGGCCCCTAAGTTGTCGCAGGGCGCGAAGAGGCGGTCGAACTGGTGGCCGATGCCGATTTTAGGGTCGATGCCCTGCGCCTCGGCCTCATCACTGGCCTTCTGTAGCTCATCGATAGCCTCTTGGGGGGCTTATATAGGGCTCCGGGTTTAGGGTTTAAGGCTTGGGGATGTCGAAAAGCTTTGGGATGTCTAGGGTGAAGGGTCTAGTGGGGCCCTTTAGCGTTTAGAGATTTAGTGGTTTAGGGTTCAGGTTCCAGAGTTTTGGGGGTCTAGGGTTTTAGTGTCTATAGGCTTGAGACAAAGCAAGGAATCAAGCAAGCATCGACCCGTTTGCACTACCCGGTCGCCATGATGCTCGTTCTTATGCCTCGGAAAAGGGGCGCCCGATGGCATGAGAACTGGTTTCAAAAGCAGAGGGTGCCTAAACCCTGTGTCTTTAGACTTGCAGGCTCTAAACCCCTTGGCACCCTTACCATTAAAGCCCTGAGGCCTAAAGCAGCTCTATGGAGCCAACACTACAGCCCTAAAAACCTGAAGCAGCTCTACGCTCTACACAGCAAACAGTAAATTCCCCCAAAGTGAAGGGCCAAAACCCCCTAAAACCCCAAAACCCTGAAGCCAAAAAAGACCTAAAGCCCTCAACCCCAAGCTGTGGGTTTACAGAATTCAGGGTATAGGGTCTAGGGGTTCAACAAACTTGGCAAACGCTCCACCCTAAACCCTGAACCCGAAACCCTAAACCCTAAACCCTAAACCCTAAGCCTCCAAGTAGGCCCTGAGCTCCAGCCCGATGTTCCGAACCTCCTCGGGACATCGCAGGGCTTGAGAGGTTTGGGGTCCTAAGTCTTACGTGCTCTAGGGTCAGCTTTCGGGGGTTTAGGGTTTAGGGTTTAGGGTTTAGGGTTTAGGGTTTAGGGTGTTTTAGAAGTTGAGGGCTTCAAGGTTCCGTAGCTTTAGGGGTTTTCGGGGTTCGGGTTTAGGGCTTAGGGGTAGCTCGGGTTTATAAGGTTTAGGGCTTAGAGTTGAACATGAATTTAGGGTCCGAGGGCTTAAGGCTTTTCATCCATAGGGCTACCAATCCCAACGGAGAGAATCGAGGATCCCAACTAAACCCTACTTGGAGGTTCATGGCACTCATTAACCAGTTATAATCGTACTTATATCTGTACTTCTAACCACATTAGGGCCCTTAATAGGCGTATAAGTGGGTTATAATTGTACTTATACCTGTACCCATAACCACATTCGGGCACTCCTAAACCCTGCCCAGCTTCGGCTCGATCGAACAAGGTCTCCATTCGCTGCCAGCGCCCGTCCAACTCCTTCCTCACGTCCTGCCTCGGTACATGGATTTAGGGTTTGGGCTTAGGGTTTCGGGTTTAGGGTTTGGGGCTCTCTTCGAAAGGACTTGAAAGGTGCCACCCCCCCCCCCCCCACTTCCCTCTAAGAACCTGTAGGATTACATCACAGCACGGACCCCATGCAAAAGATCTAAAGAGCATCCGGGCGGCAAGAAAGCGTGGGCGCCGCCGACCGCACTCACCGCCACCTGGTTCTCCTGCCTAAGCCGCTGGATCATCCTTTCGAATTGCTGGGAGCCGTCGTTCTCGGCCTTCAACATCTCGTGCTTGAGGAAGAGGTCCACGAACTCCTGGATTTCTGAGATGTTCTCCTTTGGGCTCTTCCCGACCAAGGCAACGACCGATGGCAGCTGCATGCCATACTCGCTGTCTCTGCTTCGCGTTTGAAGGCAGTGGTGCGAGGCAAGGAAACCTGCTTAAAGGGCTTTTGGGATTGTTTTTGGGTACGTAGGGGGAATATCGACAGTAGGGAAATTACAAAGAGAAGGGAAACTCACCTCAGGAAAACTACCTCTTCAGACATCCCCCGACCTGTTCTCAGCACGCTTGCAAAGCGTTTGACGGGCAGGCGATGGACGGGGCGGCAGTGTTCCCAGAAATTGATGGCTGCTCGCTTTTCCCCATCGGCTGGGTCGCCTGGAAGATGTCTCTTGATCTTGTCGATCATGTTGCCTCAGGTGTTCAAGGAACAACAAGCTTCAACCCTAAACCTGAAACCCTAAAAATGCTAAAGCCCTGAACCCTCGAAACCTTCAAGTCATAAAATCATCAAAACCCTCAGAACCCGAAGCCTAAGATCATGCCGGCCTAAAAATACTAAAGCCCAGAAGGTGGGGTGGGGGGGCGGTGTCCCAGACAAGGTCCCAGGACCGTCCCAGGGGGGTTCCCAAAAACCGTCAAACCCTAAACTTAAAACCGGAAAAGCCCAACAAACAAAAACCCTGTCAACACTACACCCCTCAAGCGCTCATGCTGCGAAAATGAAACCACAGGAAACCCCTAAGCCCCGATGACTGCGCCCCAGTTGCTGGCATTTCGGTGGAAGGAAACCTTCGCTGGCGCCTCCTCATTTTCCATCAAGTTCCGCCTTGGACTTCAGACTTAGTAGGGCCGAGCAGGGCCTTTGTAGGGATTCAGTAGGGATTCAGTAGGGTTTCTTGTGACTTTTTGGGAGGGTTTTGGGTCCCGTGTGCGGGCGTGCCTTGTGTTGTGGCCCCAGACGGCGGATGCTGGGAGCCCTTCTGGCTTATGATGCGCATACTTCTCCGCATGCTCCTTCCCCTGCTGCATTGGGCAGGGATGCTTCGCGGGGCACCAGTCGCGCTTCAGGTTCACCTGAAACTGCCAGGTTCTTGGATTCGGGGTCTAGGCGTTGAAGGCTTAAGCAGCCATCCCAAACCCGACATCTACACCCCCGAAGAAGCCTTATGATAAACCTTGTAAGCGCAAATGCTCAACGCCCAAAATCATAATCCACCTAGAGGGAACATAGATGTCAAAAAGAGACCAGTGACACCAACATGCTCGAACAAGTTCAGGTGGTCCTGCAGGGTAAACGCCTCTGAGTCTGTACCGCTGGGCAATCTTCGGGTGCAGGGGTTGGGGTTCGGGGTTCAAAGTGGGCCCAAACTCGAGGAGATTTGACACCCTTGTCCTCGAAATTGGATCGCTGGTGTGCATTGCAAACCCTCTCAGGACAGGGTGGGCGCCGAAGATGGATGAACTGCCGCAAGTGCACCGTGTCTGAAAGCCTCGGCTGCCAGGAAGCAAAGCACGGCCCACATGGCTATGGAAGCCGACGTCTTGCAATTTGAACCGTTCCCTTTTGGGACCCCCCAGATCTTTCAGCAGGGTTTGCAGAAAACCCCAACTCCTGAACCCTGAACCCTAAACAAACCCTAAACCCTAAACCCTGAACCCAGCATGCCAGGAGGCTTGTCACAGCGGCTCCCAGATGGGCAGATGTGCGCATAGCGAGCCTGAAAGTGAACAGGGGCTCAGGGTTTAGAATTTGGGGCCAAGGGTTCCTTAAACCCTCTTAAGCCCTTTTTTCCGTTCAGTCTTGGGCTGAAAAGACGATCAGCGTGCGGACTTTCGTACAGAACTCGGGAAGTTTCATTCCCTTCCCTGGTGGCTGATTCCCTGTTGGGGTTTCAGTTTTGAGGGCTTGGAGGGAAAAGGGTGAAAGGAGCATAGGCTGAGCATAGGTTGAATGCTGGAATTCCAAAAATGATGGGGGGGGGCGGGGGGGGGTCCTGCAAGTCATGGGCTTATGGATGGCTTGTAGGGTTTAGGGATGTTGGGTTTTCATTACTGGGTTGTAGGCGGCGTATACTAGAAGAGGGTTCAGGCGGGATACATATAAGGTTTGAAAAAAGCGATGCAGCTGAAACCTTTGCAAGGCAGACAAAAAGCCATGTGGTCGATGTCATGCATCATGTCACAGGCCAAGGGCTCGTCACAAGGAATGTTGAACTCGTGAGAGAAGTTCATCCGATGCTCTGGATCTGACCACTTGCCGCAGAACGTGCCGCGTCGACATTTCATGATGGAGTGGGAGTAGAAGAATCCGTCCACGTGCCGGTTCGCTCCTGAACCGCGCCGAATGTGAGACGACAGTCAAGCCCTAGACATCCCTAAACTGCATAAACCCTAAGGCCCTAAGCCCCTAAACATCCCTAAACATCCCAAACTCCAACAAAAACAAAAGGGACCAAGACTCCCTCTTTGCATGCCATGCCCTTCTTGAATGGGGGCGGGTGTAAGTGGCCTCGGTCTCTGCAGTCTGGAAGGATGCACTGCGGCTTGTGCTTGAAGACCTTCTCATGCTTCCGCCTTTTCTCGAGCTCCGGACCCGAATCAGGACCGAACATAATCCTGCAGTTCTCATCCGGACACAGCTTCTGGTGCCTCCACAAGCGCGCATGGTCTCCGGTCGCATCACAACCGGAGATGCCACAGAGGTCTGGATGCCAGAAGTTGGCTGTGTGCTCGTCGCCAAAATCCTCGCAGAGACCGAGCTTGGGACACATCTGCTTGAAGGACATGATCTTGCTGAAGCCACTCTGGCCATCACTTGCTGGGAACCGCTTGCTTTCAGCGTAATTCAGCAGGTACTGCCGAAAGATGCTGACATTGCTGTTTGGCTCATGCGGATTGCGGTCCAAAATGGCGAACTCGACAGTCCTGAAATGCCCAGCGTAAGCCTGCAGGAGTGTATTGAAGATGCTGGCCACCTGGCGAGGATTGTTTGCAAAAGCCCCACAGCCCAGGGCACTTAGCACCAGGTGGTCCGGCTGATGGTGAGCGGCGGCTTCAAGCAAGCTGGCCACGTTCCTCACAGTGCACCAGAAGCCCCTCTCCGTGAAGACCTTTTCATCTTCTGCGCTGCCGGTGCCTTCCATCACATCCCAGGCTTCTTTCTGTCCGCCTCCCTGCTTCCTTCCGTTGTAGGCAGCAATGGAAACGACGTCGAAGGAAAACGGATGGCTCCATAGGGCGTAGCCTCAAGGATGCTAAGTCAGAACTTTATGAAGGACGACACCTCTTTCGACATTACCAGACCACGCGTTGTGTCGTCATGTGATCTTAGGTGTACTGGGCCCCTCCCCCTCACCCACCCCCCCCCCCCTCTCGTACTGCATTTCAAGCACCCTTGCCTTCTCGGTCTGGCCCCCGAAAAGCGTAGATTCCTTCGGAGACCACGGGCGAGAACTCTGCAAGAGGGTACGTGATTGCAGATCCGTATTCCTGGCCAGACTGCGGGGGTGCTTTGGAACTAACACCTGAAGCTCCTGCAGAGTGTGAAGACAACACAGGAGTCTCCTCAATCCTGATTTTAAGAATCCCTTACACCCTGAACCCTGAACTCAACGCCCCCAAGCCGAGTCACATGCACCAGTGCCGTGCTCAGCGTGGTGCGACGGAAAAGGTCTTCTTCCTGGGCCTGACTCCCCTTCCGATAGCCGCCTGGAGGCGCCAGCTTTAGGGTTTAGGAGCTTTTGGGCGTAGAGGGCTCAGGGGTTTAGTTCAGGGTTTAGTAACTTCGGGTTCCGGATCTAAATTTGGACTTTAGGAGTGGGGGGGGGGGGGGGCAGCTGCAGCCTCCTGGCCCCTGGCGGTTCGCCATGTTCAGCACCAGAACCTTGCCTCCGCTGCGGCCGAGGTCTCTGGCAGCCTGGATGCCTCAGTCTTCAGGGTTTAGGTTTAGGAGTTTAGGGCGCTCAGGGTTCAGAGAGCCACAAGAGGGTTGCTATTCACAGGGTCATAGAGCCATTACGAAGCTCGTGTATTTGTACTATATGTACAAAGTTATTACCGTGTAAGGCTACGCTACAGTACAGAGGGCTTGGTCTTGGATCCTAGCTCTCGCGTTTTGGGGTTGCTCCGGACAGGGAAACAGGGTCCAGGGTTTAGGGTTTTGGGCAGCCCTCCTAGATGCATGAAAGAAAAAGCCTTCGAAGAGTGGAGCCCCAGCGACTGTCCTTGCAGCTCACGCTGACGGTTGTCGCCCCAAAACGGGGCCCTGAGACCAGTGCTTTTCCCTGCGCCACGACGCGCGAGGCACCCGGCTTTGGTAGCCTCCAGGTCCCTTGGCTGCAATGACATGTCTTAAAGGGGGTGCGGGATGTCCGAAGCCATTGTAGGGACCTGGGACACTTGGGTCTACCTTCTTGGCATCCCTGACCCTCCCAAAAAGACAACCCAAGCAAATTGCGATGCCCTTTAAGAAGGTCGGATGCCCAGCTTCCCCCATCTGCATCGGTGTATGTGCCCGCATCACATGTCAACCGAGTGTGGGCCATGACCTCAGGTGTCCCAGGAAGACATCTGGGCATTTAACCCGAAACCCTAAACCCTAAACTAAACCCTAAACCCTAAACCCTAAACCCTAAACCCTATTTTCCAAAATAGGGGTACCCCGTTTATACCCCAAACAGAAGAGAATCCCCGTAACGGGCCCCCAAAAAGAGGTACCCCTATTTCGGCAACCCCATATGAAGACAGTGCTGTGGGAAGACGCCTCATCTGCCTCGTTGCAGAAGCCACTGTAGATTCGAGCCTGCCTAGCCAACGACAAAGTTGACTCCGGTGCTCAGCCACGATGTTGCTCCAATTCATAATATCACTCTTTGCAATCCCAAAAATGGCAGAATTCACACTTGGGTAGTTTCCTAGATTAGGGTCCCTTTTTGGGTACCCATTTTAACGCGGCACCCTTTAACAAGGGATCCCAAACAAGGGACCCTAAATTGAGAGAACTACCCATTTACAAAAGGACCCCCAAGAAGGACTTTTCGGAAAGCCCCTCAGAAGCCTAAACCCTCAACCCTAAACCCTAAACCCTAAACCCTAAACCCTAAACCCTAAACCCTAAACCCCTCAGCCACGGGGCCATGACGCGCAGGGCCATCTGCTCCTCCCGCTGGCCCTCGCAAGCGCAGGTGAGCTCTTTGCAGGCCTCGGCATCCCACTTCCTGGGCTGCTGAAGGAGGAATCAGGAAAGACAATAAGGTTTAGGGTTTATTTATAGGATGTAGGACTTAGGGTTTAGGGTTTAGGGTTTAGGGTTTAGGGTTTAGGGTTTAGGGTTTAGGGTTTAGGGTTTCGGGTTTCGGGTTTCGGGTTTCGGGTTTCGGGTTTCGGGTTTCGGGTTTGGGTAGGGTTTCGGGTTTACTGGGATTTCCTTCGTCGTGGCAACTTTTAACCTTTGCTCCTCGGCAGCCCAGCTTCTTGTCAGCCAAGGCCGAGAAGTCCACCTAAGCAGCGACTTTCGGGCAGCAACTTGCCGGTTTAGGGTTTAGGGTTTAGGGTTTAGGGTTTAGGGTTTAGGGTTTAGGGTTTAGGGTTTAGGGTTTAGGGTTTAGGGTTTAGGGTTTAGGGTTTAGGGTTTAGGGTTTAGGGTTTAGGGTTTAGGGTTTAGGGCAACAATTTGCCGGTTTATAGGGTTTCTTGGCTTTGGGGGCTTCTGGGTTTAGGGGGCCGTTTTCTCGGGTTGAGAGGGCTTTGGGGCTTCTAGGGTGTAGGGTTTGCAGGACTTAGGGGTTCGGGGCTTAGAGTTTCGGGGTCGAGGTGCAACTGAGGCACCACGTCCAAGGACTTGAAGTCCGCGGTAAGCATGTGCCGCTGGTCTGAAGTTGGAATCGCAGGCGGCGCTTGGAACTGAGCCGGTGCCAAGACCCTGCAGCATGGCGAGTACTCTGGCGGAACTTGTGCTCGGACGTCGTCGATCGAGCTGGCAAAGAAGACCGCCTGGGACGGCCCTACAGACCCACTAAATCGCTCCGAAAGAAGATCCTCAGCCTCTAAGAAGCGTCTCTTCCATCGCAAAGATCCCGTGAAAACCCAGGTTTGAACCCCCTTAATGAGAATTAATGAGAAAGACCCACTTAGCCGACCGAGGCACTTCTCTCAAGGAGACTGGGAAGGCCTCACGCTCGAGCCTGGCCTTTGGATGGGTAACCACAGCCATTTGCAGCAACCTGAAGCTCGGCAACGGGATGATCTCGAGCTTGTCGTTCCATACATTCAAGCTTGCGTGAACGCGGCCCTCTTTCTCCCACATCTGGCCAACAAAGGCGTAGTTAGGGCCTCGAAGCTTGTCAAGCTCATCAAACGCTGCTTCAGGACTCAGTTCCGTCTGCAACTGGCAGGGGATTGCCTGCACAAGCTCGAAGTAGGTCGGAGCCGTCTCACGCATGATGCGGTCTGCATCCCGAAGCAGGAAATAGCAGAGCTCTCCCACCTCCCTGTGAGCCAGGATGTCACAGCCCCTTGCCCTGGCACTACTGAAATTCGGGGCATTCTGTCGCGGAAGCCTGCACTCCGTGTACCTCGCAAAGGCTTCACAGACCTCCGTCGCCGCACGGGCAATCTCTTGCCTGGCCGAGCCGGTCAAGGCATTCAAGATATGTTGCGGCACACAGCGGCGGCCACCGAGCCTGTAGATCACCTCGGCCACCCCCTTGGCATCGAGCGTCTTCGGAGTCACTTCGGCCACAAAGTCCGGGCGACGCTCCTCCTCAAGCCCGAAGAGGCTAGCGAGGGTCTCAAACTTCTGCTTGTTCTGCGCCCGCGGCAGCTGCCGGGAGGCGGTGCCCCGGAGCTCGTCCTGCATGCTCCGTGCGACCGGATCCTTCAAGGGCTCCCTCAAGGCGTGGACCAGGTTCTGGAGCATGTCCGCATCCTCTGCCTCCAACACCTCAACACAGCGCCCGTGGGCTGAGGGCTGAAGACAAGGAGCAAAGAACGCTGATGATTCCTTGTAGGCCTTCAACCCCCACGAAGCCCGCAACCCCCTCAACCTCCTCACACGATCTCACACTGGCCCACCTGGTTCATCAGGTCCTCCATTACCGGCCTCAGAGCCTGCTCCAGAATCGCGGATGCCTCCCATGCAGCACAGCACCCACAGAATAGTCACTGAATAGTCAGGACCTCTAGTGACTTGAAAGGAAACCAGAACCCAAAAGGGGAAAAAAGGGGGGGGGGGGGCCACCCGAGCTTCCCCAGACCTCCAAATTTCCGCGAACCCAATAAGCCTCCTCTTCCGGTCCCAGGCGGGCGCGGAGAGCGCTGGGCAGCTCGGGCTCCGAACGGGCTCGCAAGCCCGAAAGCTGCTCCTGAGCCGAAGGCGACGTAATCGTTTGGGGTTTGAGATGTTATCCTGTTATCCGGATCTTCGGTGTGTGGGGAAGAGGGTTTTGTTGGGATTTGGCTTCACTTGCCCGAAGCCCGAAGCCTAACCCCAGGGCTTCTTGGCCTTGGGAAACCCAGAAACCCGCAACCCGGAGCTTGAGTGCAGTCCAGCTACCAGGTCTTCCCGAATCTGGCGGCTGCGGTTGTCAAGCCTATCAGCCTCCTTCTTGCTCAGCGCGGCCGCCAGAATGGCGTCAACATGCTCTTGTGCTAGTCCATCGCGGAGCACTTCGCCTTTAATCTCGGCCTCGTTGAGGGGCTCGTCTGCACAGACTCTCTGCAGGACCTGCTGCCGGTCACTTTAGGCACCTGATTCCTACATTGTCGAAGGAGCACGGGCCTTGCGAATCATCCCGACATGCCTGTCTATGCCAGTCTCAACCCCTGAACCCCTGAACCCCTGAACCCCATGTTGCGCAATGCTGGCAATACCCCCAGCCTTCGCTTTGTGACCTTGGAAGAGTCTCGTCTCCACTTCCCTCCAAGCCGAGACCATGTCAGCCGGCGGGTCCATCGACCATATCCAGTCGTCGGTCTTGGCCATGACGATGGGGGAGAACTCCAACTCACCCAGTGTGCAGGTCAACTGCCTCGGACAATTGAAAGAGTCTTTTGCGCTTCGGCCAACCTCTACCCATGCAATGGCCATTCGGGTCGCATCGGGGCCCAGGACGGAGAAGGAAAGAACCTCCACACCCTCCGCAATCGTGAGTTTCTGGGACATCAGCTTCTCGGCGTCCGACTGGGGGAGTGGGTAGAGGACCAGGCTGAAGCGGGGGCGCACGGAGATCTCCTCCCTGTTCACCCAGTAGTTGTCTCCTTGCTCATAGTCGAGCACCACTTCCTCAAAGCTGTCCTTGTACTGAATGAGGTCGTCTTCTGGGCGGGAGGACGCAACGTGCTTCTGCCATCCCTCCTCCGCCGCTTTGTAGTACTTCGATGTCCATCTTGGGCTCGGCACCCATACTCCGAGATCCCTAAACATCCTCACACGCCCCAGCTTGGTGATCCTCCAGAGATCGGCCTGCGATAAGATCACCTTGAAGTTCGCCTTCTGCGCTCTCAAAGCCTGCACGCGGAAAGCTTGGATGCCCACGTCCTTGCTTCGCCCGGTTCGCCCCCGCCCCCCCCCCCCCCCCCAAAAAAAAAAAAAAAAAAATCGACCGTAATGCGTGTACACAACCCCTATAGGTGCTAAACCAACGTGCTCTTATTCTGGTAGCTCGAGATGTATGTTCCGCGACAGCAACCTAGTTCTGAGAAGTGTCCGTCAGCTTCTGCTTCAGCGCCTCCTCGTCCGGCGCCTGGACAGCCACCTGAGCCGAGGTTTAGAGTTTAGGGTTTCGGGATTAGAGTTTAGGGTTTAGAGTCTATAGGAGCTTAGGGACCCCATCTTCTAATCGCGTGCAAACACAAAGCCGCAAACTTAAAACCCCGAATCCCTGTAAGCCCTAAACCCTCGACCCATGTGATCTTTGCCCAAAGCCCTGAACTTCAACCTTTCAAAGAACCGAAGCCCCAAATTCTCAATTCCCTAAAACCCCACACCCTAAAACCCCTAACACCCGAACACCCCTAACACCCTAAAACTCCAAACCCCAGCAGATGCACCTGGTAGTCGACGAAGCCTGACGTCTCGAGGCCTCTCCAGACTTCGCCCAGCGCGGTCCGAACCTCCACAACGATGGTTCAGGTCGGGGGGGGTCAGGGTTCAGGGATCAGGGTTTAGGCTAATTTAGGGTATCAGGGTTTAGGGTAATTTAGGGTAATTTAGGGTAATTTAGGGTAATTTAGGGTTTAGGCTTCGGGTTTGAAGATCCGGGTTTAGGGTTCAGGGATTAGGGTTCAAGCTTTAGGTTTACAGGGAGGGCCTGTGGCCCTTCATGGGATTCCTTCAAAAGGCGGCCCAAAAAGCGAACCCCTGTATACCCCTAAACCTTGGGTGTTTTGTGTTTGGGGCAGCGTTTGGGGGTCAAAGCACTGGAAGAAAGCTGAAGTCTGACCTGACACCCCCAAAGGAGAAACCTACCAATGCTAAACCTACTGACTGAGGGAGTTTGGTGCCCTTGTCCCCCTATTATGCCCGTTTAAGGGATTCGGTCCTACTAAGAGCCCTCGTAGGGACTGGGGCTTGAAGTTACCCCGCAAAAAAGGGGGCCATCATTGAGAACGGTGCACCTCTTGCTGTCCGAGCCACCATCTCAGCGCAAGCGCCGCCGAGCATGGCTTCCTGCGGAGGCTCTTGCTGCAGCAGCTTCTGCACCTCCGCGACGCAAGGAAGCAGCTCCGTCTTCTGCTGGGCGCAATGGGCCCAAAAGGCGTTCTGGAGCAACTGGCCCAAGGTTTGAGCAGTGGGCCAATTGGGATTCGGGCCTGGTTGAAAGAAGTCATGGCAGATGGCGCCGACGAGGCTGCTGTCGGCCCGGAACGGCATCAGCAAGCGGACCAGCTCATTCTTGAGCCTGAGCCGCCTCTCATTGCACATGGCCTTCTCGAACATCTCCACCTTCTCTGCCAAAAGGCCCTGGATGTCCTCTTCTGGCAATCGTCGGCAGATTTCTGGCAGGTCCGTGCGAGGGAAGACGTAGTCCTGCAAGAGGCCGTGGATCGCCTCCTTCTCCTGCTCCGGCATGGTCACCATGAAGAGCCGCTCACCACTGGACTGTTTCAGGGCCTCTTCCCATGGAACCTCTGGTAAGCACCCCAGCTTGCGGTGGAACCTTTTCTCGACTTCCTTCTGGACAATCAAAGCTGGTGTTGTTAGGATGCCTGACACCACCGCCGCAATGTGTGCGCCGGCTCCTGCCCACGAGTCCTCCCCACATGCATACTCCTCCGCCAGCGCACAGATCTGTTGTCGCGCGTCCTCCGCAAGCTTCTGCAGGGCTTCGGCGTGCGTGGCCTTCTGAGCAGCTGCATCGAAACCTTGTAAGAGGTACCTGGGCAAGAATGCAGCTGAATCCCTAAGCCTCTGACACCTCCTGTGACACCTCCTGTGACACCTCCTGTGACACCTCCTGTCACACCTCTGGTTCTCGCAGGGGTAAAATGAGTTCACGGTGCTTGCCCCATCTTTCAGAACTTATCCATTTCCGCTGATTCCGTGCGGCGAGGGGACGGCTCGCTTGGGATAGATCCCACCTATTCTCACCTACTCCACGACCTTACCAAACTTAGGATGCATGCACGTTGACTGCGAAAGACTGACGTGCAGTTGAGATGCCGAATTTCTGAATCCACGCAGCACTGGCAGATAGAACTCGCTGTCATCAACAGAGACTTCGTGTGCTTGTCCAGTGCTGCCTTCAGCCGATCCGCCTGCGCAGATCAAACTCAACAGGCAAGAAAGTTTCTGAGCCGAGAGTACAACACCAAATGAACATATACATTATATGAGTCGAGAGGCCCAAGGGCCTGAATCCTGGGGGCCTCTGACCACAAGGCCCCAAGGATTTCTGGGGAACTTGCAGGGACCGCGTGAGGATGTAGAGACTCGGGAGCCCTAGAACGGAGACTATCTAGGGACCTCTAAGCACAACTGGCCGGGGCGGACGATGTGTAGCCACAGTCATATACCCTGCTTCGAGAGCCCTGCGCCAAAAATCTTGGACTTTGCGTGTCGAGGCGCCGCGGCTTGCGGCGAGTAGCCCAGCGGCGCCAGCTCCAGTTCCACGGGCTGCGCGAGCCTCTCGCGGCCTTCGGCGATCTGTCGCAGGAGGTCCTGGATCTTCAAGGGCACGATCCTCGGTGTGTGTCTCGTTGCGGGGCTTGACCAAGTCTTCATTATGACACTTTGACCGTCAGCCCCAAGCTTGACGCAAAAATGTCCTGGAGGCAGCGCCAAGGCTCTGGACAGCCTCGATGCGAAGGTCCCCGAGGAAGCTCCGAAGCTTCTCGAGTGGACCGGACACCCTCAGGCGGGGACCCTGCGGCTCGCTCGCGCTGCCGCGGCCCCGCGTCTCGTCGAAGACCTCCAGCTGGGCATGCCGGGCGCGCTGTGCCAAGTCCTTCAGAGCGACGGGGTCGGATCTGGCCTGTGCCTCCACATAGTTGAACTGCTGTTCGAGCTCTGCGGCCAGCTTCTGCACCTCGCCACCCAGCCATTCCAGCGCCGCCTTCTCCCTGACTTTGTGCAGCGTCGCGTGCCACGGCAGGCTTTCTGTCGAAACGGCCTTGACTGTGTCTTGCAGAAGCTCCAGCAACTGCTCGGAGCCCTTCAGGAAGCAAGTTCTGCCGTCCGACTCGAACTGCTTGGGTGACAAGTTTGGCCAGACGTGCTTTGCAAGGATTGCACCCAGCTTGTCCCGGAAGCCTACTTCAAGGACCTTGGACACAACATCCTCCTTGTTGACGCCAGGAACAGGGCTGGGGAGAGTGCCGAAGGAAACAGTCCCGAAGGCGTCGCTGATGAACTGCATGCTGTCCCGCAGATCACTCTTTCGGTTGGACAGCCGGCCGGAAGCCTCAACCCACGCCGCATGGTCCTCGTCGAGGTTCTGAAGAGAGTTCCAGTCCCTTGCCAAGTAGAGGACTTTTGGCTTGTGCTCTTCGATCCACTCGTTCTTGTCGAAGAAGCTCTTGTACTGCACCGCCAGGCGATACAGGGGTGCCTTGAAGCCTTCATCCACGGTGTTGCTGATCTTGTTGTTCAGGATCATCACACTGGACAGGACACAGGTGATGGTGAAGAGCCGCACAAAGTAGTCCGGGTCCGTGCCGTCTTCGGCAAAAAGGCCCTCGGAATCCAGGAAGAGCAGGGCCGTGTCCCTGTTCTGAGGGCCAGGGGCCGTCAAAGGCTGCATGGAGACCCACAGCCCCTTCGTGCACGCCTTCTCCGTGGCGTCGGAGCACTTGAAAAGCGCTCCTCCGTCGTACTCGCTGCAATGCCGGCGCATGAGCTCCAGCAACGTGCTCTTTCCCTCCCGGGGCTTCCCGACGACGCTCAAGAAGGACATCTTCCTGTGGTTCACGAGGGCGTCCAGGCGTTCCACAGCCGACCTCAGCACGACGAGCTCTGTCTTGCCAGGGGTCTCCGTCTTGTGTAGAAAGTGCGCAGTCTCTTCGTCTCTGACGCGGTAGTTGTACTCGCCCAACACCTCGCACAGCAAGTGCTTCAGCAAAGCAAGGTCCACCTCCCTCTCACCTGCGTCGCCCAGGGTCACCTGAAACTTAGCTGGCAGCACCAGAGGCAGAGACTTGGGCGTCACGGCAAAGACCTCGCAGCACTTCGCTCGATCGTCAGGCAGCAGGGCCTCGCGACAATTCGGGAGCTCAGCGAGGATGCAGCCGGGGATCCTCTTGCGTGCAACTTCATAGACCTCCGCCATGCGATCCCCCGGCTGAAACGGGATGTCAACGTAGTCCTCTGGGGACCCGAAGACGCGCACGGCCCCGGCGGCCGGCGGCGGCAAGGCTTCCGGCCGCTCAAAAGCCTTCCGCCTTGGCGCGGGTATCTGCCCTGCCGTCGGCGAGGCCAACGCAGGCGAAGCAAGGCTGGATGATGAGTTTGCTGCTGGCGCCAGGCTGGATGATGAGTTTGGGGCTGCCGGCGAAGCAGCGCTAGACGGTGAGTCATGGGCTGCAGGGTATGCACCCACTGGTGCATTCCCAGCGAAGCTGGGAGGCTTTGACATGCCTGCAGAAGTGTCAAACGTGTCGACTGGAACCGGTGCTGGACCCAATGAGGTCTCCAGCAACTCCAAGTTGTACTGCCTCTCAACATCGTCCACTGTGATCTTCAGGCTGCCCCTCTTCTTCGTCACGTAAGCCTTCGCCTGTGCCATGTCCTCAAACCGGATCCCCACTCCACCATCCTGTGTAAACGCTCTGGCATTCATCCTCTTTAATGCTGTGAGGCCATTCAAAGTGCTCTCCAGGGATGAGGCCCCCGAGGCCCCCGAGGCTTGCGAGGCTCCTGGCAGATCGTGTGCTGGCGATAGCCAAACCACGGGAGTGAGGGGAAGCCCTGCGCCCAGGGACCCCACGACCGGGCCAGCCTCGGTGTCCACCTCCAGCGAAGACCCCAGCTTCTGGACTTCCGCTGTGGTGATTTCCTTTCATTTCTTTTGTGGGAGGTTTGGGCATCGACCTAAAAACCCTAAACCCTAAACCCTAAACCCCTAAACCCCAAACCCCTAAACCCCACGAATTCCCCCCCTGGGAAAACGCTGCATATCGTGCGCCCAGAGGGGCCCAGACCAGATCAGAGACCTGACGCAGGAGGCAGCCTTGCAAGCCTTTGAGCTCCAGGGCCTCCTCCAACTCCTCTTCTTGAACCACCTCCTCCGGCTTCATGGGGGGTTTGTGGGGTTGATGGGGTTGTAGGGTTGAGGGTTTAGGGTTTAGGGTTGATTGACATCGCACCCCTCTTTTTGGGGTGTCAGCCAAGGATTCGGAGAGTGCGCAGGCAGAAACTGGAGAAATACAAAAGCCAGCAGAGGGGTCCCCGGAACCCTTGATCCGGAACCGAAAAAGCTTCTCGCTGGAGATGAGACACCTCGAAAGGCAGGCTCAAGAAGCTGCCAAAAGATCTACAGTTTGGGCTGTTTGGGCTCCCTTAGGGTCTTAGGATTCAGGATCTTCTATTCGGGTATGAGAAGATCCCGGAGTCCTGGAAGGTGCACAGGATTGGACTGCCAACCATCGCCCAGGAGTCGGTGGAAGCCATGGCCTTCTCCATTGGGAACGGCTTGAACGCCGTCCACCAAGGAACCCTCCTGTTGCTATTCCCCCGCCACACACACACCCAAAACACACTAGCCCTAATGTGCTAGAAGTATATTGAGCAGACATATAAGGTCCCAGTTTTGGAGGCTCTGTGAGGGGATGAAAGAACCTTCTCTAACTGTGAGCCCACAAGGGCCGGCAAGCATGTGACAGCCTTTGAGCAGCACGAACGGTCAGTTGTGCTGTGTCAGCGCAAGAAGCTGGCCGCGTTTGCTTTTCACAAGTGCAACTCCCCCACCCCCCCCCCCACCCCCCCGCGCCGCAGCACTTTTAATTTGACGCCTGGCGAACAACATCAGAGCTTCGTGTCACAGAGTGGAACCGATGCTCGTAGCAGCAACTGCAGCAGGCCATCGACCCATACCTCAGCAAGCACTTCTCCTGAGATTTTCGCATGCTACCAACAGCATCACAAACAATGTGCACTGCGTGCTGGCGACAGACTCGTAGCCAATGCCAAAGCGAGCTGGCCGCCACCCGCGCTACGCATTGAACAACTGCATTTAGGGTTTTTTGTACTTCTTTGTTTCATTGTTTTTTTTTTTTTTGGGGGGGGGGGAGGGGGTACAGACTACACCCCCAAACCCACAGTTATGGAAATTCAAACCTTGAGCGCTTTCAAGGCGCTCTGCCCGAAGCGCACTGGACCCTAGGCATCGCTGCTTCGCAGCGCCAGGATGTGCTGGTCATCGGCTTTCTTCACTTTGCCTCAGGGTTTAAGGTTTAGGGTTTAGGGTTCAGGGTTGACAAGGATTACGGTTCAGGGTTTATGACAGGGGCAAGAACCTCACCCAGCCTCCGCCGTGGGAGTAGTTCTGGTTATGAGGCTTCTCCCCTGCTCGCGGGCACTTGTCCCCCTTCGGACAGCGGAGAATCCAGTCTGCCAAGCCTTGCAACAGTGATAGGGAGTTGAGCTCTGGGTTTAGGACTCAAAACGCCTGCTCTCGCCTGCACTCACATAGCGATCGAAACATGAACACAGATGCTCCGCATCGCTGCCTGTGCTTCGCACCGCGCGTTTGCTGACAACTCATGAAAACCGTGCGTCTCTTCCCTGCTGGGCCCCCTTGATTGTGTTGAAGGCCTTCGTGGTGGTGGTCGGCCCGATGGCGAGGCTCGCTGACCTAACTGGTGCTTCAGTGGAGTTGGGGAAAAGGATCTTTTATCTGGGAACAAAAGGGAATGACATCTCCCCCCTTAGTGGTAGCACCTGGGTAGCTGACCTGCTTGCACTTGTCACCGAACTGGCACTTGGGAAGGTCCTTGTGGGAGTAGAGCCGAAGGTGCTTGGCCGCTTCTTTCCTCAACAGTGAGCATAAAAGCACTAAGCAGAGCTGCTTGAAACGAGGACTTACATAAGTTCTATGATCTGAAGCGGGGGAATCCTGTAGCAGGTCTTTGAGGCGATAGGTATAACATAGACAACTCTCGACAGAAAAAAACCAAAAAAAAAAAAAAAAAAAAAAAAAAGCCCCAAAGCAGACCCGTGCTCGGATTCTTCATGGTAGTACACGACCGGCCCCATGGGCAAAGATGCCGGAACTGCTGGTTGTGCTCTTCGCTAGCTCGGAGAGGACACATCTCCAGCGGAAGTCCCAAAGCAGCCGCTTCCGTGCAAAGGGGTAGAAGGTTCAGTGGCTCCAGCTCAGCTGGTATTTCAAGGAGCTTGGCATTCAGCTGGCTTTCCTTCGATCATGCTACCCCAGGTGGAAAAGCACCCTAAACCGCCTAAACCTGACCCTCAACCCTAGATGTATGGCGGAGCAAGCAGAGGGGTGAGCCCCACCCCCAACATCCGAACCCTGTGAAACGCGGCGGCTCTGGGCTCCCAATTCCGGGATACAAGAATGATGCTATATTAGGGTTTAGGGTTTAGGGTTTAGGGTTTAGGGTTTAGGGTTTAGGGGAAGTAGGAAACCCATTCTGGCCCATTCCCCAATTGACGACCTAGGAAGGCCCAGTTGCGGGATTCAAGAGGATGTTTCTGACAGTGGCTTGGGCAGCGGCAGGCTGTGCTGTCAGCTGATGCAGGTCCACGATGCAGACTGGATCCGCTTCGCTTTCCTAGGATCCCCCAGCGGCCAAAAGAGTAGCTGTCAAAAAGAGCTCCCTCTTTGTACTTAGCTACATGGCTTGGGAGCCGAAAAGACACAACTTTGCTTGGGATCCTGGATTCAGGACAGCATCCAACGAAAACATGGCCTTCCATTTTGAACGGCAAGTCCACCTCAAGCGCGCCGCTGTTCACGAAGAGCTCAGTAAACCCGTCGTGGCGGATGATGAACTTGTCGTCCTTCAGCTCACAGATGTAGCCCATGAACTGGGGATGGAACTTGCCAGCATCGTCATCGCCGAAATCAGCCTCAGCTCGAAAGCAATTGAAGTCCTGGAAGGTTTTGGTCCGCTTCACCTTTGGCTGGTCCGACTCCACGGTGAGCACCACCGTGCCTGTGTCGACGAATTGTGCCACGACTAGCGTTGCCTGGTGGCCTCAGTCTCCAGTAGTGGTTGAAGAGGGAAAGAGTACGGCCCTTGTGCATGTAATTAGAATTAGGCCTTCAGGGGGCTAACCTAAGATAACACATTGAATTTGGCTGGGAGCCACTTCCTGTTCCACGAGCAGAACGTCCCGTCATATGAGGGTACCCAAAAACAGGGGACTATGATAACCCTAAGCCCAAGCCCCTAAACCCTAAGCCCCCTACATTCCAAGCCCTAAACCCCTGCACCCAACTAAGACTGGCCGCCACTTTATCAATAAACAGCGTAGGCCCCTGGCCGGTCGAAGCATCGCCCACCTTTCCTCCCAACACGATGTTGGGGTCCTAGGTTGGCGCTTGAAATAGACAGGAAGTTTAGGGCTTCGGGTTTAGGGTTTAGGGTAAAGATGGCTTAGAGTTTAGGGGTTCAGGGTTTAGGGGTTAGAGTTCGGGGCATCTCTACACCCGAAGGCTCTAAGCCCCAAAGCCCTAAAGGGCTTTGGGTTAGGGCTTAGGGCTTTTGCTGAGGGTTTTTGAGAGGGAGGCCGTCAAAACCCCATCGGAAAATCTCAAAACTCTCCCCAATTGGGCCCACCGAGGAGCCAGGGAAAGCACCAAGGTGAAGGAGACTCCGACCGAGGCTTTGAAGCCAAAAGCTGCTGGGCGCTTCGCATCGAGCTTCAGTCCTGTGAGCTTTCTGGACATTTCGGGGCTTCGGGCCCGGAATGTGCTGCTTACAGTCAAAGATGAGGCATCATATCAGGCTGTCAGATTCAGATATGATCTTGGTACCTGAGATTCATGTCCAGTCCCCTTAGACATCATGCTTGAAAGAACCCTCTTCCAAATTGGGCGGCCTCTAGTTATGGTCCCTTTATGGTCCCTGCCATATTATGACAGGAACAGCAAGAGGGAAGGGTTTTAGGGTTTCGGGTCTAGGGCTGAACACATGTCCTGTCGGGGGAAAGCGCGTCTGCCTGGTTTTCGTCTGCGAGGAGTTGAATGTAAAGCCTGGATGATGCACGGGCCGCAAGCGGCAGGCAAGCTGCCTGGCCTCTGCTGTAGACTCACCTGGGGATTTCGGGAAAGAACCCTAAGCCCTAGAACCTAAGCCGAGTTAAAGGTTCAGTTAGGGTTTCGGGTTTAGAGTTGAGTCTGCGAGTCTAGTAGCAGGTGTAGGCCTCATGTAGGGGATTTGAGAGATCCCCTGAATGCTCTTAGGGTGGCTCCCACAATAGGGATCCCGAAGCTTGGGGTCTGCCCTAAGTTTAGGGTTTAGGGTTTAGGGTTTAGGGTTTAGGGTTTAGGGTTTAGGGTTTAGGGTTTAGGGTTTAGGGTTTAGGGTTTAGGGTTTAGGGTTTAGGGTTTAGGGTTTAGGGTTTAGGGTTTAGGGTTTAGGGGAAAAGACCAGCCTATGCTGGACTTCACATGTAGCTGCGTCTGCTTCCCCAACTTGTCCATGAGCTCCTGCTTGGTCATGCCCGTTTTCTGTAACTCCTCCGCCGGCATGACAATGTCGGTGACATAGGCGAGCGGAAGCTCCCGAGGAAGGTGAGCCTTTCGTATGTCTTCTCCCTATTAGACCCCTGAACCTCGAACCCTCGAACCCTGTAGACTCTAAACCCTTTGCCTTTGACTTGCATACAGACAGAGACGGACAAAGAGAGAGAGAGAGAGAGAGTGAGTGAGAAAAAAAGAGAGAAAGAGAGAGAGACGGAGGGAGCCGAGTTACGTCAGCAACTGCATTTTTCGAATTCTGCAAAGACACCTCTCTTGATCTAGACCCTTTAAACCACGTGATGGCCTGTAGGTGCTCATGGAAGGGGTGAGGAGGGACGTAGGCTTCTAGGGTTGAGGGATTGCCAAAACACCTTCATGGCTCTTGGTTTAGGGTCTTCGCATGGTAATACTTCGCCCCACAAAACTCAAAAACCTCAAGCAGCCCCTCAGGCGCCATGAAGTGCTGGGATCCAGGCCTCCAACCACGAATGCCCCTCGCATGCCTTGCAGCTTCCGCAAAACTGGGGTGCCTTCCTAACAGTTGGAGGGGTATGGGGGGGGGGGGGGGGGGGAAAATTGGGACCCCCTATTTCTGGGCACTCCCGCCTGGTTGAACTTCATAATATCATTCCACGTCACGATATTCAGGTTGGAAGTGTGCATCCACTGAGCCGTGCGGGCGATGAGCTCCTTTGCCACCACCTGAGAGGCGACATGGGAGCTTCCAAGTCATGTGGGTGCTTCCCTTCCAAAAAACCTCCCCAAATGTTAGAATCAACCTTGAACCTTATTCGGATCTGCATCAACAGGCTTGAACCCTGCCTGCCACCATCCAGGAACAGAGCAGTGCCACATGTTCTGCATGAAGTTCTTTCTCTTCTCAGCATCATTCAAGCCGCCCATCTGGGCCTGGCGCTTTGAAACATGCTGGGCCCATGTGCGATGGATCACCGGGCTCTGTCCCATACCCGTG